CGGGTGGCCATTTCCAGGAACACGCGTTTCGAGTCTCAACAGGCATTCCTTCGCCTGGCTCCGGGCTTTTCTGCAATGCCCCGAGGCATCGCAGCAGATTTGCTTTTCCTGAACGACTGCCGGGCCTTGCGCCAGTTCTTCAGCTGCAGCCGTGCCCTGCTCGGAAGTTGCGAGGCGCCAGGTTTCTGCATAGGCTTCCAGTAAACACGCATTCAAGGCCTAAGGCGCTGCCGATTCTGTGCTTGTGACGTTTCGGCCCAGGTTGCGAGGCCAGCGCTGGAGTGGAACAACCAGCACTCGTGACGCCCAAGAGGGGCAGCAAGAACTCCGGCGCTTGTCTCTTCAACTCAGTCCGGCACCCAGAGGTGTCAAAAGAATTTGAGAGCGCAGGCTGCACTCCTGCACTCCCTATATATTGGCCTACTTTGATCCAGTGGAAATGATTGAGTCTTTGGCAAGCCTGACAATTCGACAGAGAGTGCGAGCCACAAAGAGCCGCTCTTGAAGGACGTACTGCGACATCCTCCTTCTTGTGAGGTAGTCCGGTACCCAGCCTTCAATGCGCAATGTTGATCCGACGACTCTGAGGGGAGGCGGCGCATGCCATGTCTCAACGCAAACAGGCCCATGCAGATACTCAACGCCTGTGTGCTTGCCGGCTGCCACTGACGGTGCGGCTGTTAGAGCAACTGAGCACCCGAGTCGATGGTTTGGCCACAGTTCTTGCAAGGGTCGTTTCAGTCGCCTTCTCTCGACTCCTTGACATTTGTCTTTGGTCGCTGTGCAATCATCCTGGCCATTTCGCCAGGCCGCAGCAGCTGTGCTCAGGGCTTCCACTGAGTCGCCTCGCCGATCACAGGCGCGCTATGCTTATCACAGTAGCTTGTCACTGCGATGTTTTTGGCATGCTGTGAACGGCAAGCATTGCATGGTAGGATAGCAGAGAGCGACCACCTTTCATGTTTGGTTGGGTACCCACATGTCAGGCGCCGCCTCGCTTGGCAGCGACTGCCGAGGCCGAAATATTTTGGGGAGAATTTGAGGGATTATATTCGACTTCACGGAGTGCACCAAAGACACTTTCAGCAAGTCTGGAAGCTGGCATTAATGCAATCGCATCTTCCGCAGACCCTCAGAGAGTTTGCCTCTCAGCTTCTGCCATCCCGCGTGCCAAGTGCCTGATGCCTCAGGCTGCCGTTGAAACACGCAATGGGGTCTCGCAGACTCTGCTCCCAAGATTGGTTGCAGAGGACCTGAACTGCACCTTGCTGAAGCGAGGTGAGACACAATTTCACAAGTCGACTATTGAGCACCGCAAAGTGGACTGGATTTGATTTCCCAGAATTTGCTTCTGCTTTGGGTGCACTCTGATCCCGCCACGAGAGGCGGCTGGCTGGAAGCCCGGGCTGCGGGCGGAGGCAGGCGATGCGATGGGAGCGAAGACGGAGACTGAAGCGGCTTCGAAAGTTCGGCGCTTCACGGGGGCCAGGCTTACCAGGGCATGCAAGCAGCTTTTACGAAGGCGCGATGTGCCAAACCTCATATGCTCCTTTTCACTGTCACCCTGCTGCCATGCTCGGAATGTCAGATGTTGGGTTCTCAGCCGTGGTTGTTTTTGTAGCTGGCAGGTGCCGCAGGCGGCTGAGGCCGTTGACCTGTCGTTCACCCTACTGCTGGTTGCTACTGGTGACAGCGCCTCTACCCTCAAGCAGACGCTGCAGTCTGTACAGGCAGCCAGGCCAGCTGGGTTTTATAGACGGGCCGCAGCAGCACGTGTTCATTTCTGTTGGATTTCGTGTCAGTTTCGGCGATCAACGATTGGACAGAACATGTCAGGGGCTTCTCCTCGAGCAGCTTGCTGGTTTCCCTTGGGTGCTGTGGGTTGGAGGCCCGTTGGGAGAGCAACCAGTGATGCTTGGCTGCTGGCAGACAAGGCCTCTGACAGTCAGAGCTTCTTTGGCTCAACTGGACTAGTGGTACATACATGACATGCACACACACACACATTGCGATTTGTGGTGAACTATATTTGAACATCAGGACGTGATGAGAAAAAAACAAGCCAAATTGGCAGTCATGGCTCCAAGCCCTCAAGACCGAAACTGGTGGGCATCGCCCGCAAATTTGGCGGGCATCGCCCGCGGCTCGGCACGGCACAGCCCATGGCCAGCGGCGCAGCCATGCAGGCGGGAAGTACAGATCCCCGCGCATGCCCGGCCAACGGCTCATGGAGCCCGAAAAGCCGAGCAAAGCCGAGCTGAGGCGTCCGGCTGCGCTGCGCTGATGCTGTCGCCTCTTCCAGCACTTCTTCTTTTCGGGGCGCTGCATTGCTCTTGGAGCCGCGTGGAGACAGAGGCGAGAGCTGCGAGCCTTGAGCCACGATGCGGTTCCAAGCGCAGCCGATGCGTTGGGCTGAGGCCGAGGGCCCCTCGCTGCGAGCGCGATTCACGCTCGCAGAGGGCTGCATGCGGGTGCGCTTCTGGCCAGATCGGCTTCATCCAAAGCCGGTGCCGCACACTAAGCAGGGAACATCAGGGAACGGATCGATGCCATGGTACTCGCATAAAGTTTTCGCGGCTGGAAACCATTCGCTTCTAGGCCCTTTCAAAAGGAATCAGTGCAGACTACTGCGTCTGCGGCGCAGCTAACAGCGAGAAGAAAAACAACAAGACAGCTTCCAGAAGTCAAATCATGTTCACGGGCGGGCAACAGCACCAAGTTCAAGTCACCGAGCTGAATCAACCGCGAAACCTGACAAATGTGTTTCGCACTGGCCGTGCCGATTAACCACCTCCCAGAAGACAAAAACAAGTGAAGCACCTTTGGAAGCGGTGCAGTAGGAAACTTTCAGTTCAGCTATTCCAAGAAAGCGAATACACATTTTTCGGATACCCAGCCTTCCGAGCTCGGAGTATCCAAATGCCGCGCTTTTGTCGAAATGGCTCGTAGGTGCCCGAGCCCCTGCGAGTTCCATGGGTGCCTCTTCAGCAGCTGGTGGCTGGCCCACCCGCGCTGGCGCGATTCCGCAGGTGGGGCATGCGGCATGCGGTGCCATGCGGTGGCCAGAGAATCACACAGCGAGGTTCTGTATCTTTTCAGACTTTGCACTCGGACGTGCTGGGTTTCAAAGGCCCTGAGACCTTGGCCCGAGGCAGCTGCTGCGACCGGGGCAGCGTGTAGACGTGCTGGGAGCCATGCCAGGTGACCGGGACATGGACTCTTGGAAACGCAACCGCCTCGCGGGACACGGGATTTCAAGGGCCTGAATCCGAAAACAGAATGGGGGTCATGATGGGGTTCCGGCTTGGATTTGGGGAGCCCTCTTGGGGGCCGTCCGAACACAGAAGTGCAGTGCGAACAAGTCCTTGGGATTTGATCGCTTGACACAGATCTGAGGAGTTTGTGGTGAAGAACCTGGATCGAGCTGTCAGATGTCGCGAGTGGGACCCAACTTTCTTCCGGCCCTTTGACGCGGCATCTGCCCGAGCCTTGGAGCCTTGGAGCCTTGGAGCCGAGTGGCTCGGAACGGAGCCTTCTGCCCCTAGGCGGCCACCCACCTGGCCACGATCACGGCTTTGGGATTGAACGTAGCTGCGATGCTGAGCCACGTGCTCGGCTTGGCGCTTCACAGGTGCGAGACTGGGAACGTGCAGTCTCAGTGTGGCGAAAGCGTGCAGCCTGAGCTTTGTTTTGCAGGCGGGCGCTTCGCCTGAATCTTCAATACCCAAAGCAGTGGAAGTCTGTGCTGCTTGGATCGAGTTGGCACACTTAGATTGTCAGACATGGAGAGCCGCGCTGAGGCTGGTCCTTAGACTCTCTGGCAGTGCCTACATCGCAGCGGCTGTGGTGATAATGACTGCCCTGACTCGCTACACAGCAGTGTGCCACCACCGGCTTAAGGCCTTGCGAGCTGAAGTCGTCGAGACTCTTTGGACTTTTGGACGATGAGAAAGCCAGAGACGGACGGCCTCGAGAGATGTTGAGATTTTGAGACCTTGGCCACGCCGCTTGCGTCGCGGGCCACACTGCCCCTTGCGTCGCATCACGCGCGTCGCGTGCAGGTCTTGGTCTCGGAGTTCGTGCTGGGCATCACTGCGGGGGATGTGAACCTGTGGCCCCAGGACCTGGCTGTGCACCTGGCCCCAGGCGCGAACCACAGCCGGAGTCAAGGAGAATGCTAGTGATCCAAGAACGAAGACAGAAACGCAACAAATCGGTTGAGTGTGTCTACAGTTGCTCAAATATCAAACGCTCTCGTGCAATCTTGCATTCTGAGACACAAAGAGACTTGCCAAAGCGCGTGAGGCGTCTACTGCGCTCTCACGGGAGCCGTCCTGAGCTTCCTGCTGGGGATGTTTCAGTTGAGTGCAGAGTCGCTCAGCCGCAATCCATGGGACCCGTATCGCTGCATTCCTGCTTTGCCTCCTGATACGCCAGCCATAGCTATCATCTATTTTGGGCAGTTTGCTTGAGCAGCGCTCTTGGCGCTTTCTCGCAATCCAAGGTTTGTCGCGTCTGAGCCGGCCGCTGTGAGAGCCCAGGCGCAGGCGGAGGCGGATGTTTCAAGCACAGTGGCAGGTTCAGGAAGGTAGGGGCCAGGGCAGAGTACATGGTGAAGTAGATTTCAGATGGTGTTTCTTGCGATCTCCACACAGCAAGAAGTAATTGATCAAAATGTGCAAACACATGAACTCAAAAACACACCAGACAAAAGCCAACACCGTTTTCAGCGGACTGTCGAAAGCCAGGTGCGCCAGGTCCGCAGCGAGCTGGAGGCACGGGCAAAGCGACAGACTCCCCGACTGGTTGCATCGCCAAGCTTCAGTGCATTTCCCTTGAGGCATCATGATATACAAGATAACTCTATACATCTCTATACCAAAACGACAAACGACCAAAACGTAGATTCCCACGTTGCAACGGCTGGTGGTACAGTCGATGTACCGTGTTGGCGTGGATTGCGAGTGGCGCACGCAACATGGCGGTTTTTGTCAGCAATGTCTCTTGCATGATATTTTGTGTATGCTTCAGCCCATCCTGGTCCTAAGCTAGGAGGATGCAGAATCCGACGCGGAAGAGGAATCCAAACGCGAAGACAGGGAGTATCTCATGAGCCTCGGCAGATTGGTTTCCATAGATGATCTTTGCAGCATGTTTTTGTCCTTGATCCATGCCCTTTGTCGGATCATTGCCGCAGTCATTTCTTGACGGATGCTATCATGGTGCTTCTTTTGTTTGCTTGCTTTGAAAAGCTTTATGTATGTCGTTATTGCTTTTGATTGGATTTCAGTTGACCTATTTCTCACCGAGAAGTTCCTCAAGCAAAGCCGATGCAGAGCTAGTGCCCAGGAGAGCCCTGGAAACTACGCGAGTGCAGCTCAAGGCTCACAACCGAAACTCGGCCAGAGGCGGCGATCGCGCACCTCGCTGTTGTGAACGTCGCACATGTTGTGTCTTCAAGTTTGCTTTCGTTTCTGTGTTTTAACGCTCTATTCCCTGTCAGATTCTTCAGTTTGTTTGCTTCTCTGTGCTAAGGACGTGTGGCAGGCACAGTGATCTTGGCGATGGTCGCATTCGTAGCTTTACTTTGCGCTGTGGCCTTCTTCCTTGGTCGAGACGTGGCTGAATTCAAACATGGCATGAGAAAGCTTCCTTTGGCGCGAAGGGCCGAAGTAGCCGTCAAAGCCAGTGTGTTTTTTGAGCTGTTCCATAGATCACGACCCACTTGAAGCTGTGGATTCGGTGCGCCAAGGCGTGGCTGTGGCCCAAGGCATTCAGAACGCGCTGCGCGGTCCGCAGCTCACGGTGAAGCAGACGACGCTTTCTTTCAGGAGCTTCGCCATCCGCGTGTCGTGTGCAAGTTGGTGACCGGTGACCGTCAGGAAAGCCAGGGAGTTCGCCAAGGACGTCGTCGTTGGGGCAGGCCGGCACGGTAAAAGATGCCATTTGGCTGGAGAATGTTTGGGCATGGCGGCATGGCTGTTGTAGTCTTAGTTCTTCCACTGTTCTGTTCCCTGCTGTTTCTTGATGTTTCTGGTTGCTGGTGGGCGACGCATTCGATTTCGCGCTCGCCTTCGGAACACGCGGTAGCGCGGTCGCGCGGTCGCGCGGTGCGCAGGCAACGCCACGGCGGTGGGCGTGTGGACGGCGACGCGGCAGACCTGGGGCGCCACGCGCCACGCGCAGCGGGAGCTGCGCGAGCTGGGCCGCGACGCCAAGAGGAAGGCGCAGCACGTCGCGCAGGCCGTCCAGTCCCCCGACTGGCGCCAAGTGGCCGGGAACATCCTCGCGCTCCCAGGACTGAACCAGTAGGCTCGGGCTGGAGAAGGCGAGAAGGACACCGAGAAAGAGACGAGAAAGGGGCAACATGAGACATTGAACGTGAGAGACGAGAGCGTAACATGAGATGGTTAAGAGAGGGGTTTCCATGAAGTGAGGCTTTGCTAGGGCTCGAGTTCGGTGCCAGGACGCTTCACCATTCGAGGCCTCAGCCGGTGGATGGAGAGTTTTTGCGAGAGCGCCCCACATGTTGGTGCAGACAACTGATCCACTCAAATGAAATCTCTGCTTTGGCCATTTCTCATTTTTCTAGCTCCCCATACGAACCTCGGCTAAAGCGTCGGTCAGCGCCAGAGCGCTGTGCGAGGCTTGCGCAGCACTGGCCGCGGCCTCAGCCGCTCAGCGCAGCACGCGGCCGCGGGCTTTGGCCACGGCATCAGCCTGGCGGGCCACCAGACACGGCGGGCAGCGCATAACCTCTGGAAGCGTTTCAGGACTGGTGGACCGGTGGCCATTGCGCTTGGCACGTTTTTTTTTTCCTTCTTGATTTTTTTTCCCCTGGAAAGGCCAAAGCCACCACGCCTGCCAATGGCCCAAGTTCAGCCGTCCGTTTGAGACTCGAGCGAGGATGCAGCAGCTGCGGCGCGGGTCCGAGCCAGAGCCGCCCCAGCGCAAGTGGCCCTGGAAGTCAGAGAAGCCGAAGAAGGACGAGGTTTGGTTTTGAGGGACCGAACCTGGACCCATACGAAGCAAGACAGGCAGGATATTCCACCACAAACTCATTTATAGGGGTTGATGAGTCTAGGGATGAGCTAACATTGGTGTTAGATCAGGTGGTTCCGACTCTCCGGATGCACGTTGGTCTGTTTGAATTACCACACGTTCAAAGAAAGCTGCAAAGCCATGCTATTCCAGGAGGAGCCTTCCTGGTTCCGTCGCCTGCTTCCAGGGTCAGAGAACGAAAAAGCGTGTGAGCTGTCACATTGTCAAATCTGAGGCGGATGCATTCCGTTGCTGCTACCCATTCCGAGAAAGCGTTTTGGAGGGGCTGACTTGGAGCACGTGCACGGTGCTTGACACAACTTCAGGTGGAGGCGTCCCGCCGCATGCTGGAGGTGCTTTTTGAGAAGGGAATGGCCAATGCAAGTTGGCTTCGGCTGCAAAACAGCTTGAGTTGTTGAGAGAGAGAGAGAGAGAGGCCTGCAAACCGCATGCCCACGGCACTAGGTGGAGTTTCAAGATGTGCCGCTTGCCGTTGAGGACTTTTCGACCTCTCGACCGCTCTCTTGCCGATTCGATTCTCGCCTACGCATTTGCCAGTGAGGACGCACCGCCTGGCGGATTGCGAGGCGGAGCTGCAAAGTGCATGGACCGTGAGCACCAGTTCGGTTGTTCTTTCGGTTGTTTCTTGTGCTTTCAACTGAAGCCGTGTAGTGAGATCGGGGTATCAGAGGCCGCACGCGCTTCCTTGCCCAGTCCGAGCGAGACACTGGGCCCGCCCGGCGAGTAGTGAAATGAGGTATGTTGCCAGCTCTTGCCACCGACAACTGATTCACTGTGCTCTTCCCGTGAGGCACCTGCGAGCTGCTTTGCAGCGTGCCTTGCGTGCGCCCAAGAACCGCAGCTTGCTGGTGGTGCACGAGGCCTGAGGCCGGACATCCCGCCAAGCCAATCGCAGCTTGGGCCAGGGGGCATTGCTGTCTCCAGACGCTTTGGGATTCTTCGGCCAGCTGGAGCCCTTGCTCGAAGAGGAACTTTGCAGATCTCACGGTCCCACGTTTGTGCCGTCCGTGCCTTGGGCCCTCGGCCAGGATCCCACCATTTGGTGCATCGGCGCTCGAAACGACGCGGGCGCGCAGAGACTTTGGCTGGTATCTCGGGCCTCTCGCCGGGCACTCCATGCACGCTAGGCCTGGCGCCCTACGTGGCTGATGTCACCGCGCTGCTCCGCACCGCCAGTCCCAAAGAGAGAAGGTGAAGGGAAGAAGACGGAGAAAGTGGGAAGTTGGGTCCGGTGGGCGCGCCTCCGGGGGCTGCATGAGGACTGGCATCCCGCGCGCCTGGCCTGGCTGATGCGCGGTGAGCTGCTGCAGGACGGAGTGACGGAAACGGATCGAAACGAGAGGTGCAGAATCGGGCCATTGGACCATGGCCTTTGCTGGAAGGACCTTCTGACACGCTGGCCGGAGCGGGAGTGGGAGAGTTTCCTTCGTCTGGACGAGGTGCCGAATTCCCGTTTTCCTTTTTTTGTGTGCGACTGGGACTTGGCTAGGAGCGATTGGGTCGGCAATGTGTGATCCCGGAGGCACGAGGGAGTGGAATGCCAGATAGTCCAAGAGCACTTCATCCTCGTTTGGGTTCCGGCATTGGCAGGTGTCTCGCTGCCACTCTGTTGGACCACCTCCCTCCATCGATGATCCCGCTCTGCTACTATCTAAGAAATATCTAGACAGTCGAATGATGCCCCCAAAGTTTCTGGCTCAGGCGCCGGACTGAGCGTGCCGCCTTTGATGACTTCCAGCGGACGATCTTCTGGAACCAGGTTGGGTGCTGCATTTCTGCAGACCAGTGGAATCCTTCGGGACTTCAAGCTGATAGGACCTGCCGTTTGTCCACCTCGGCGATCTGAATCGCATGAAGGAGGCGCCAGGGCCTCGGAATTCTGCCATCGATGTTGCTCTCCAATGTTGCTTCAAACCGTTTCGAGTGAGGTCTTATGACCAGCTCTTGCTGTTCGACTGGCCCGGAGAGGAAGGTCTTGCAGGGGCCTCGCGGTTCTTTTCCTCGAGCGATAGCTGACCATGAGCTCCTTCGCCGAAGCCGAGCGGCTCCAGGCGAAGAGCACCCGTGTGCTGCCACGAGAACTTCCGGAGATCTCCACGGGCAACTACCACCTGGTGCTGGACCCGTCGCGTGTCTCGTCTCGTCTCGTGCTTCGCTCTCTCGGGATGCCTCCGCACGCCCCAGGAGGACCGCCATGGGAGCTGGTCGCGAGTGGCTGCCTTCTTCCGGCTTCCTTCAAGCAAGGCAGGGCCGCGAAGCTTTTTAGGCGAAACTGAGGGCTAGCATGAACGTCCATCGCATGCACGGTTCGAGTAAAGCATTTCTTGATAGAATTGGTGTTTCTGAAAACATGCAAATGCTTCTGGTTGCTCATGTTGGCCGGTTAGGAGCGCGCAGGAGCGCGCAGCGTAGGCGGCGGAGCGTAGTTTGCCGGTGCGCGAGCGGGGCCAAGTCCACGAACCAGAGCGCGTGCAATGCGTGCCGGGCCAGTCCTACGAACAGCCCTGCGCGTCCCAAGTTCCGCGTCCCAGCGAAGGCCTCGCAGTTCTGAGATGGTCCTTGGGCCGGTCCTGGCAGATTGGAATGCACTCCGTCCCAGGGCTGATCTGGGTATGTGTCCAATTGGTAGCCCTTAGGCAGTAAGGTGGTGCTCTCAGACAGCGCTTCCTGGGGAGCCACACTTGATCAAAGGCTGGATTCACCGTTCGCAGCCCCTACAGAACCGCAGGACTACAGAACCGTGTCAAATCTGAACGTTTGGTGTGGGGTGTGTGCCAGCGCTATGTGGGGCGGGAAGGGACTTTGTATCGTGGAGGGAGAGTCTTTGTGACGGTTCTCCGCTGCCATTTTTGCTTTTTGACCTAGGGGCAACAGGCCCCTGCTTGGCGTTTGCATCTTGACGGCGGATCACATTTTGTTGCCAGGAGATGCGAATTCCCACATCCTACCAAGGCACCCTCAGGCGCGTGATGCCTTCTCATCCGCGGTCGACTCGGGCATTTCGATCGTAGGCTGCGCTGGCGTGGGGCTGTGCTGCACCTGCTGCTATGGAGCTCGCCCTTGTTGCTCCTCGCTTGGAAGGAAGGCAAGACTCAAGACACTTCTGGGCTCATTCGGCTCACTCAGAAACGGTCCATTCAACCTGACCAACTCCGCATCGAATAAGCTGAATTTGGTTGTGATCCAGTTGACCATCGTCTGATCTTGCTGGATATTGGTCAATGTGAAAAGATGATGGCGGTGATTGAGATTTGAAGGCGCCCAGTAGAGGATCAGGTAGCACCAGCCAGTGTTCTAATGAAGTTAGCTTTGAACCTCTCTCTTCACCAACCAAACTTTACGGGATTTGATATCGACACCGAGGGCGGCAGCAGGAATTGCTCCACAGGAGGCCCGTCGCGGGCAGGACCGCTCGCCTCAGGTTTGGCATTGCATTGGTACCATGCAGTGGGTTGAAACACCAACGATCAAACAGGTGGAAGGCAATGTCATCAAGCCATTGCCATTGTGGGCCTTGCGAAACAGGACTTCCCCCTGCAGCCAGCAATCCTGCGAGCCCCAGTTGTATCTGTTCTCGTGTGGAGCCCAGATCAATCCGCCTCACATTGTTCTCGCAAGGGTGCTTCATCTTGAAGCTCAATTGAAGGGGCTGGCACATCGTGCAAACTGGGCAAGTGAGGACGAGCGGCTGCAAGGGCAAGGTCCCACAAACCATTTTACATCTCTTAGTGTGCCACGTGCCGACAAGCTCCCATTTCCAGCAAGTTTTATTTTTTTCTTCTGCAAGTGAAGCTTTGCATGCGGCCATCCTCTTGCACTTCATCTGCCAGGAATTACAATTTTGACTCCAATCCGGTTTGCGAGCAACAGAGAGAAGGGCTTCTTCGAAGTTTATGGCCCAGTCGGCAAGCCGATACATCACAACACTAGCAAGCACCTAAATGCAGGGAAGACCGGACTTATGTAGAACTTGGTAGTGTGCACATTGCCTCAACTCCAATCAAGATTCTGCCTTAGCTACCATTTTGACTCAAGCTACAAACTAGTAAGCACTGGCGGCTGCAAGCGCAAGTGCAAGCTGCAGGGGCTGGCTTCTTTCCCATCTTAGCCAGTGTTTCACCATTCGTTATTTTTTGCACGAGAGTGTTGCTTTGGCTTGCTGGCAGACTCCTCTCCCAGGTCGGCTCTGCTGGCTCGAGCTGTGATGCCACGTGTGAGGCCTCTGCCTCCAGGCTGGGCCTCGTACGAGTTTTTCGATGGAAGTGCATGGAGGAAGTCATGGTGAGATCTTCACGGGCATTTGATTGAGCATCTTGAGCACAAGGTGTCACGACTCGGATCTGCTCTTCCTCAACGCCTTGGCCTCGGCGTCCCACGAGAGTCGCCCTGCTTCCTCCTGGCCAAGGGATGCGGCGCGATCCGGCAGATCCTGGGGCGGGAGTCCTGCGGGGAGTGCCTGGCTGCAGAGGGCCAGGACCCGCTGCAACTCTGAGCAAGCGAGGTGAGAGAGGTTGAGCATACAGTAGTTTGTCGGCCAAGAGTCTGCTTGATCTTTGTTTGCGCGCGTGTGTTGACGGTTGCCGTTGGATCACCTCAAGTGCTTGCAGCATGGAACAATGAGTTTCAAGCTCGTGAGGAGCATCCCTCGGCCGTGCTGTTGGACTCCCGCATGTCAGTCTGCCACTGAGATATCTTCACAACTTTGCGAGGGATTGAGAGACGCAGAGGCCGAAGCGCCTCACTTCCGGCCAGACTTCAAGGGCAAGTCCCTCTTGGTTGGCCTCGCCTGTTGGCTCTGCCGGACTGACTGGAAGTGTTCGGTTCCAGGAGCAGGGCCCAGCCCCTGGCAGCTGCCTTTGGAGTGCAAACCTGGCGGAGCCGCTGGGGCCCCGGAAGTCAGAGCGACGAACAAGGGACACGCGGAAGCAAGGCCCGCCTGCAGCGCCTCTCATCAACAGCTGGCTTGGCTCTTGGAGTCTCATGACATTTTGTGTGTTCGACATTCCATGTGTTTGGTCAGGCCAGATTGTGTCCCTGTCGGCCAAGCCCAGAAGTGCGGGGCTGAAGTCTTCAGCTGTAATAAGAGTCAAAAGATGCTGCGACTGACCAATCTGTGTGGTTTACCAATCTGTGTCGTTTACCAATCTGTGTCATCATCCTCCAGCCATCAAAGTTCATTTTTGGTGGCAAGCTCACATTGGATTTGTGCCGAGGTGACGCCAAGTCCGGTGACAAGCCCAAGCACGAGGGTCATTTTCAGGCTTGTCACTGAAGAAAAACAGAAATTCTCGCGTACGTGGCGTGGCAGGGACCTGGCGCCCATCAGCCCCGGCCTCCTCCAGACATCCGTCGGACAGATCCGCGAAGCGCGGAGCCTTCGTCCGAGGCCTCGTCGCGGAGAAGCTGCCGCCGCAGCGCTGCGGCGCCGCGTTTGGCAACCGCCTGGGGGCAGACTGCGCGGCCTGCGGCCCGGTGGGGCCCGGTGGGGCCCGGTGGACGCCGCCGTGCTTAGGCTGCGAACATGTGGTGCTGCTCCGCAGGGATGTGGCCAGCTCACTTAGCGGCGAGCTTTTCATCTCAGCCAGATACTTGGAGCGCCGCAAGGTGTGGGAACAGCAACGAGCACTGCAGGAGCCCTGACCACGAGTTCTGGGCTTATGGGTGTGAGGTATGGCCAACGGGCATGCAACATGTTCTCTTGAGGTGCCGGGGTGGTGCGTCTCCCCACGTCTTCTGTGGAGCAGGGCACGCCGCGGGGAAAAGGGGGTGGGCGGGTGGGTGGGTGGAGTCACACACCTTTGTGGGCTGAACATGAGGAAAGAAAAGGCATGACATGCCCGTGGCGGCAGGATACATCCGGATACACAGGGCCGTTGCAGGGGACCCTTTTTGTGGCACGTGCAGGTGGACCTTGCGTCTGCCAGCGTTCAACCTGGCGCCCCTGGCGGAGCGCTGAAGGCCAGCTTTGCCGCAACGCGGAGCGCGGCTGGAAAAAGAATATATGCCTTTTTCTTCATTTGTTCACTTCCATACAGGGCTTGTGGCAAGGAATGGCAATGCGGCAAGGTGCACTGTCTTGCCTCATGGATTCCTCCAGATCAGCAACATCCGTTTGTGCGCTATCAGTCAATCAGTGGCAATTGCATGGTGTGATTCTTTTCTTCTTGCTTTTCCCATGGCAATTGCATATTCCCAGCCCAGTGAAGCACTTCGCAGCTTCCACTCAGTGGCCCCGCTTCCATCCAGATGTCAACAGTACCTAACGCCAGGGGTAGCACAGACAGCAGCTGCCCATCCCAGCTTGAACAGCGGGTCTATGGCAAAAACAATGATGTTACGCATGACACAGCCTTATGAGGCAAAGATAATTCCGTTTTGGTTGACAGGATTTATTTGTGCAAGCACGCGACCATTTGCATGGACGATTCTCCATGCGATGCCGCAGCTGGATCCTTCTTGGCTGTGAAACAGGCGTTTGCGGTGTGCTTGTGCGATGCTTACCCGAAGAGGCTGGGCTCGCACTTGCCCATGGACCATTCTTTGACCACTTTTTTCCGGGATGGCAACACTCTGTCACTGCTCGCGATTCGCAGGTGAAAGGAGCGAACTCAGGCCAGTCAGCGAGATGGTGGGAGGGGATAGTGTCGGAGCTCCGTTTCGACTGCTGAAATGGCGTTGGTGCAGCATTGGATGCCCTAGTCCCGACCCTTGAGTCAGAAGCTCGCCGGCGCAGGCTGCCTTTGCGTGGAGGAGCCGCCGCAGCTCTGGTCCGAGAACACGGCGCGGGAGATCCTTTTTGGTTGATTTGGTCGGAAGATAGAGGGCCCGGTTTACCTGGTGGTTCAATCAACTACCAGGGCCATCTATTTTCCCAAAAAGGACACCTATGCCTAAACGCCGTAGGGGCAAAAGCGGGGAAGCGGGGAAGCGGGGAAACGGGGAAACGAAGAATGGATTGGCACGCGGAAACGGCCTGGAGGCCTTCGAGGGCTGTGCGGCCGAAGCGCGGCGTGTCGATTCCGGGCCGGTGGCCTTTCAGCTGGGCCCAGGCCGAGTTCTTCATATGGAGTCGTCCTAAAGGTCCTTGTACGGAGTTTAGTATTCGGTGACCATCGGTGTTGGTTGAGATAGCTCCGAGCAAGATTCGCGATGGAGTTGCAAAAGTAACTGTTGTTCTTCGCGACAGTTTTGCGTGACTGGATCTTGTAAATTCAGTGATATGTGAAACCTTTCATCTTCTCTGCTGAGCCTTCCTTCTAAGCTGATTGTTTATTTGTTTATGTATTAATTTGCGATGATAAAGCCTGGTGAGGCTACAGTTTGATACCCTGCTTGGCTGGTTAGTGATCCAAGTGTGTGTGTGTGCGGAGTTCCAGATCTACCCTGGAACCATTGCAGAAGTCATAGCAGGGGGACGTGGCGTGCAATCAGGAACCACGTCCAACGAAGCTACCTGATTGCACGGGAAGCAGAGCCTGATCAGCTCTGTGTACCTGCGAGTGATACAATGTCCTTTTGGCCCGCTGTTTCTCTCGCTGTAAGTGCTTCTTGTTGATTCTGTAGCGGTTTCGATTCTACCGGAAAGCCAAGTGTCTTGCAAGCCGAAAGTTGTACTCGAAAGTACTCGAAGACGAGCAGCCTCCTTCGGGAGTTCAAGTGTGTTCACCCCGTTTCGGGGGACCCTCGGATGCACCCATCGTGTGGCTCCGGGACGGCATTGCCGTTTTATTTGACATTGGCGTCGATCACTAGACCAGCGGAACTTCTCTTTAAGCAGAAACGAGGTTTCACCAAAGGGAGTACTGCGTCAACCATGTTTCTTCTTTTGTTCTTGTGGTTGCTCCAACGTCGCCCCCGTCATCCGCTTGTCCGTCGTCTGGCACTTCGCCCGTTTAGGGATGGCTTCTGCTTCCTCTCGTTCTCTTTTTCGTGCCTTTCGTCACCCGCGTGTTGGTCTTCTTCCTCTTGGCCCGCTTAGGGATGGCTTCTCCGTCTTCTGGCTGTTTGCCTTTTTCCTCGTCGTCCTCTTCCAGTCTGACTTCTTGCTCGCGCTCCTCGTTCCCCTCACGCAGTTTGGCTTGTCGTCTTCTTCCTCTTCCGTTGGCTGCAGGTGTACTTTCTCTATGCCCCTGCGAAAGATTCGCGAAAGTAACTTGTTATTCACGAAGAATGGCCGTTTCGAGACAAAGGAATGTAGAACAACCACCATATGTATATATATATGTGGTACGTTCTGTCAGGGACCAACCTGTTTGAAGAGTTCACTGGTATTTGCATTGGTTTTCACTCTTTTTGGGTTTTGGGGAAAGCAATGGAAAAGAAACATTTCCAAGGGCGTTCTGGAAGCTTCAGGCTCGATTTAAACCGATTTAAAATTAGAATTCGGCCTGGTCTCAAGATTCAGGATTCAAGAATCCAGGCCACACTTTTCCAGGGAATCTGAATCCAGGCCTCGATTCAAAACGATTTAAACCAACATTCAAGATTGAGAGATCCTTTGTTCTAGTCTTACTTGGTCCTAGTCCTAGTTGAGAGATCTTTCCTTCCAGGCCTAGATGGGCAAATCATGCACTAGAGAGGCAACAAAAAGGTAGGTTTTGAAGGGGGGTAGCATATGTGTGTATATATATATATATTATTGCATGCTTCGCGTTTTGCACGTCGCTGCTTGCACAGGAGCTGCTCCAGGCTCTATGACCTGCGTGCCTCTGAGCTGCTTGCCATGTCGAGGCCGCCGTTCACTTGAGGTCATCTTGCTTGCGATTTCTTGTGCTCTTGTGCTGAGTGCTAGGCACGCCTCCCGCGCTGCCACCAACACAGCGCCGGACCTTCGCTACCCGGCCCCTTTGCAGCGGGGCGCCAGTCATCGTCACCGATGCTGCGCTGGCCGCACAGGAGGTAGACGCTTGAACGGCTTTTACACGCATCTTAGCGAGGGTCCAGAAAATGTTGTTCATATTGAAAGCACATCCCTGTAGTGAAGAAGCTGCTGGATGAAAGCTCTTGGATATATTTGGTTTGCATTGGTTGAGGGTGGAGGAGTTGAGTTGATCAGCTCGTCGCTTCAACTGACTATTTTGGGCTCCCTCGCATGCGTTACATCACAACTAGCCCGTCTGAATGCCTTGTTGTCAGAACGCCTTCGCAGGCATTCCGCTCATGTTGCGGATGTTGGTCACGGTTCGCACATTGCAAGAATTGCTTTGCATTAGCTGATCACGCTGCCATCTTTGTCCGCTACTGTCCCTCTTTCAATTCCATTCCTTACCGACCAAAGCACGTTGGTCCAGCAAAGCCAAATCTGAATAGACTTTTGAGGGAGAAGCTGGCAGGCGTCTCCGGTGTGCGTTGCGTTGGGAGTTTCTTTGTTGGGCGCTTGCTCTTCTTCCTGATTGTGATTGTCCGTCGCCCTTCCCCTGATCTGAGCTCAAGATCTCAAAGAGGTCGGCAAGAGGTTGCATGCTCTTCCCTTGTAATGTTAGCGTTGAGAGCGCGCTTCTTTGGCGCAGAACACAATCACCTGAGGTAGGCGTTTGATCCGTCAAAGATGCCGTCAAAGATCTGAGGAGTTCGTGCAGACCTTCGGTGCAATGCGCGGCCAGCTGCGAAGCCTCCGTGGGGAGTGCTCCTCTCAGTCGCAGCGCGTCGTGGCGGAGGTGTGCAACGGCGAAGTCTGCGACGAGTGGAGCAAGTACGCCCAGCCCAGGCAGGGGACCTCACTTTGTGACAAAGACCACATGTCACTTACTTGTAGTTTCCACAAGTCGACTTGTGAGAGTGCGAGGTGTCGCATCATGGTGGGCTTTCCGTACGACCCGCAGCACATGAGCTTCCTGACGGCCCACGCTTGCGCTTCGCTGCGGCAGCTCTACTGCCCGCCCAACGTGCCCATCGCCATCCGAGCGACGCTGAAGGCAGCATCCAGGCCCGGCCGTCAAACGGGAACTTCCGCAGGGGAAATGGGAAAAGCGCACGGGAATTCCCAACGAGGTCGACTGGTCTCTGGGCGGCCATGATCGAGGGCCTGCTGCCGGCCTTGGTCGCCATCCGGCGAGCCATCACAGCGTCCCTCCAGGAGGCGATGAGGGTGCTGAAAGCCAAAACTCCCCGCTGGCAATTCGAAAGCGCAGTTGAGTTCCAGTCGCCTTGATGCATGGCTCAAAAAATATATTGATCAACATTATCATGTTCCAGATATCCTTGCAGTCTCCCTGCAGGCGTCACTTGCTGGCGGTATCTCTGACGCTGTCTTCAAGCGCTTTGGTCGTGAGTGGATTGAGCACGAGACCTTCCGCCTTGGCTGCACCCAAGAGTACTGGGAGCGCAACCTGAACAGCATCGCTTCTCAGCAAGCGTTTCGCATCCCATTCATCCTTTTTGTCAGTGTGTGCGTGCCTCACCACCCCACCAGCCCGAGATGCTCAGGTGAGCCGACACTTGCACGATCAGCTGCCGATGCTGGCTTTACCCTTGGGCCTTTGCCCAACCTGCTGCAAGCACGGCACTGGGCGGCTGCAGGCAAGAACGTGGCAGTGTGGCAGTGTTGCTCTCCTTTTCACGTGCCAATGCATTTGCCCGATTTGCCCGATGCTTCGTATTTGACCCTTGAGGTGGTGGTGATGCGCAACCCCTTTGCTCGCTTGGCGAGCTACTGGCGAGACTGGCGTGGAAGCAAGGGGCACCTTGCCCCAAACATCACCTTCCAGGACTGCGCGCGTTGTGCCGTGCGTGAACAGCTCTCACCTCCAATGAGCGTCACCCAATGCCCAGGAGTGGTTGGACGAGATCCTGAGTGACCAGCCGAACAGGAGTCTCATCAGTGCCAGAGACGAGTTCCATGTGGAGCCCGCTTTCAATGAGCCGCCTACTGATGAGGCCGACTCAACACACGCTTTTTCGCTTTTTCGAATGTCCTCTTTGCTTCAAGCCCTTCCGAATGTTTCCAGGTGGTGTTCCTGGTGGAGGAGCCCTTGGCGTCGCTGCGCCGCGTGGAGCAGCGGCTCTGCGCGCTGGGCGCCTGCGTGCCGCTGCCCGCCTTCCCCGCCGGCGCCGAGGGCGCCCGCACGCGCCGCGCCCAGGTGCCCGGCGCCCCAGGAAGGCCACCGCAGCTCGCGAGTTGAAGTTACAGTGGCGTGCGGAAATGCGCGCCCTTTCTGATTGCGAAAAGGGATATATGGATCTTGTATAGATAGGCACTAGTAGCAACAAGCAGGTAGCACTGGAATTTAGACACCGAATAGTATTTCCAAGCAAGCGATTTGGCATTATACCCAGCATGCAATGTACGAAGCCTTGGCTGGACCGTTCTGGTTTGAAGTCTAGTAGCGCTGCTACCTGACGCACCTTGTCAAATTGTTGGTTTCAGACACCCCGCGCTCAGCGCTTGGACTTCAGTTCCTGGGGCGCTGCTGCAACGCTGCGGATCCTGCAGCGTTACCGCCATGACTTGGCCGCAGAGCAGCGTGCCCGTGAGGGTGAGGGCTGCACGGGCGAGAGCGGGTTGCCTCGACTCAGCATTGGCCTCTGACCTGAGATCGCCGCGTTTTGCCTCATAGACCTGAAGCTACAGGCAGCACCCACACAGATATCGCCACTGCGCAAAGCCAGTCAAGACAAACTTGAAAGATCCATGTGTTTTTGGCCGGCACTCTTTCTTTTGGTCGTCAACACCAGCAAGTCATAACTTCGCGGCTTCCATCGTTGCCTCCCGTGTGAACTTGACCCACATGGAGGAGCGCATTGCGAGTGACTGCGAGGCTTGAGGTTGGGGAAGCGCGTGCATCCAGAGGAGCAGATGGAACCGTCTCGGTCACGGCGGGCTTTTCATGTGCGCAACTCAGTCTTGTGGCCGGCAGCAGTGCCTTTATTGGCGGATATTCAGGATGCGTGTTGCTTCCTTGCAAATGGTGGGCTATTGTGGAGCATATGATGCACCCTGCGGAATGCTGGTTCACTAAAGTCTTGCCTGTTTTGCCGTGCAACTTTGCACGCGACAGCAATGCGAACGCGGCTGCAGGATCAAGGTGAAATGGCTTGTGAGCAGCAAGTGGTTTTGAAGCCCGGTGAATCAAGGGCATACCAGGAGCCGGTGGTCCAAGGAGTAACTGAGGCCACTCAAAACATGATGCGCAAGCATTAAAATTTAATGCCTCCGGCTCAGGCCGCCGACACTACAGGCCTGCTTTCTTATATGCGTCCCTTTGCAACGCTTTCATTGGAAGTTTTCCTTGGAATTTTCCATTGGGCGTTTTCCTTGGAATTTTCCCATTGGACGTTTTCCTTGGAGTTTCCCTACCGGAATTGTCCCTGTGGATTTTTCTTTTTTAGGTTTTCCCCTTGGAATTTCACCATTTTTCTTTTTTTAAACGTGACGTTTTACTTTGGAATTTCCCCAGCGGAGTTTTGGCATTCCTTTGGAATTCTCCCAATTTGCCCATTGGACTATTCCTTTAAGACTTTCCCTTCGGACCTCCCAGTGAAGTTGTCCCATTGCAATTTTGTCTTTGGAATTGTCCCGCTTCTTCCCTTGAGAATTCTCCCTTTGGGATTTTCTATTTTCTCCCATGGGAATTCTCCCATTGGAGCTTTCCCTTTCGAATTGTCCCTTTGGAATTTGTCCGTTGCAATTATCCCATTGGAATTGTTCTGTTGGAATTTGCGCATTGGAATTCTCCGATTCAACTTCTCCCACTGGAATTCTCATCAGAGTTCCCCATTGGAATTGTCCTGATAGAATTGTGCCATTGGAAAGTTCCCAATTCAAATACCCCCATTTGCATTGTGCCTTTGGCATTTTCCCTTTGGACATTCTTCCATGTGATTTTTTTCTGTGGAGTTCTCCCTTTGGAAACTTCCCATTAGAAGCTTCCCTTTGGATCCTTGGAGGCCTCCCCTTAGAACTTTCCCATTTCTCGCAGAATAATTCTCCTATTGCAGTTTTCCCTTTGGATGTTTTGCATTGGAATTATCCCATTGGACTTATCCCATTGGAATTTTTCCATCGGACGTTTTCTCCCTGTTTTTGTTCTTGAACTCCCATTGGGATTGTCCCTTTGGATTTCCGTCTGCAATTTTCCCGTGGGACTTTTCTCTTGGGAACATTGGTTGCTTCGACTGCGCTCGCTTGTGCAAGTTCGCAAAGTCGAAAGCCAACGTGGCCAAGCCAGCACTACCCCCAGAACAAGAAAAAGCAGCCAGCAAGCCGGGTCAATCAGAAAAAAAGAAAAACGCAGGGGAGGTCGCAGGCGTCTCCAGCTTTTCCATCCCCGTGGCCTCCGATGGTTTAAAGTCTTAAGATCTTATTGGCTTTTCGTGTTAGCATCTTAACGGCTCAACATCTTAAAACATTAATGGCTGAACATCTGAATCCTTAATGGATTAAATCCTGAAAAATATGAATAGCTTAGTGACCATCTTAAATGCCACAAGGGGCCCTTCATTCGACCGTCATCCAGACCATGCCAGTGATGCTGGTGATGCTGGCGATGTTGCGCTGGTGCTGCTGAGGACAAAAGCGGACCCTGACAGAAAAGGAGGTAAGGAACATGTCTTATGTGCAACATGCCGTCTGTCGGCGGGCTTCACGCGGTTGCTCGAAAGAGTAACTCAGTAACTCATATTGATATTTTGTCGCGCAGTGGGAAAACAAAAGCCAGAGCACCTGTCTCCGTGAAATTATGATACCCGTGCCGACGACCTCTTGGACTGGGATGCTTTCACAATGCTTGATAGCATGACACCTTACAGAATTTGACACCTTACATTGTGTGTATCCAACATCCCAGGCATTCTTCAGTGATGCTGGTGGACTGCGTCTCAGTCACCTCGGTAAGGAAGAATTTTGCTTGCTGAGCAGCTTGTAAGATGTTCGTGCTTGGTGGGTTCTGCTGGTTGTTTCCTAAATATGGCACTTAGGGCCTCTTGCCTTAGACGTGGCCCATGCGCCAGCACAGGCCCCAGAACATGAGGCTTGATCTATGCAAGGGCTCCGTCAGTCTTGTCACATATCGAGCCTCTGCATGGGACTTGCGGGAGCGGGAGTCCGCCAGGTCCGACGAAGCACAGCAGGGCCCTCTGAACCCTGAGAGCGTGTAGAAGTTCCCGCTTCCCTTGTGGAAATCTCCCTCTTTTCAGCCTCTTCCCTCCCCGAGGCTGCAGCCTTCTTGGGCTTGGAGCCGGATGGCTTCAGACCCCCGGCTTGGGGCTCAGACAGCTCTCCGACCGATGCTTCGGCTTTTGTCACGTTGCACGCTGGAGGTGCCTCGAGCCACTCGCAGCTCCTTCACAATGCCAAGCGCCCATTCGAGAGGGCAACTCGCGAGCTCGCAATTCGGCACGCAGGGCCTTCTGCGCGCGAGGGGGGATACAACATCTCAGGTTCAAGGGCGACTTCCAGTCGGAGCTATGCTCTGATGGGGAGGCTATGCGGATTGATCCAGATGGCCAGCCCTACTTGGTGCGCCCACCTGCGTTTGGATCAATAGAAATGCAGGGCTGATAATTGATTGTTTCTGAGGTTGACACCGAGGCGCGGCATGATGCCAGGGGCCTAGCACCGTGCCTGCCAAGTTCACTGCAAAGGGACTGGCCCTGAAATGCCGCGATCCCCTGACATCGGGCGCCAAGGCCCAGCTGGAGTTTGCGCTGCTCTGCGCCTTGACAATCTTTGCCGCTTGGCCGAAGACCGGGGCGGGAGCTGTACGCAGCGCGTGACACCGCGACACAGGTGGGAACGGCCATGGCCGGCATCCTCTTTGGCATGAGCCAGGCGAGAGATCTCGGACCTCGGGAGCGACGAAGCGTTTTTTGACCAGGCCAAGTCTCGCAATGAGCCGGAGGCGAGCTGGGGAAACGCGGAAAGGTCCAAGGTCCAAGCAAAAGTACAAGCTATGCGCGATGCCCGCCTTCACGCCTTCACAAATTATTCGGCAGGCTGCAGAAGCAGCTCCAGCCGCCTCGGCGGAGGCGAACGGTTGCCGAGAAATCGATTCGTGACACGCGGAGCCTTCCCTGACTCGCGCGTTGGCACGTTGCTTTCAGGCAAAGCCCAAAGCCAAACCCAAGGCCAAAGCCGGCGAGGCGAGGAACGCATGAGCGGCTTTGCTTTTACTCGGGTTTACGTTTTTGTGGTGTGGTTTGAAGTTTGGTTTGCATTTTTTTGTTCAGACTGCACACTCTCACTGGGACCCGGTTGCCGGTTTGAAGTTTGCAGGCGAAGGCGAAGCCAAAGCCCAAGGCCACTGCGCGCGGGCATCCATTTGGCATCGAGCATCTGCTGGGCAGTGGGTTCAAAAACTTGGGTGCCCTCAATTATCTCAGACTGCTAGGCCACGCAACCTTATCCCTCAAGAAACCTCATGCAACTTTCCTTCCATCTCGGTGCCGCTCGGTGACCTAGCCATGTCGGTGGCCATCTCGTGCATGCGCAGGCGGCCAGCTAGTGAGCACGGCCCAAGAGCCCCAATAGCCCTTGGGAGGATTCCGGATTTGTGGCCATGGGAATAAACTGTCCACAGAGTCAACATGGGCATGCGATCGTTTGTTTACATCCAATTAGCCTACGGCTGTTGTGAATTTCGCTGGCAGCTGTAAAAGCGGCGCAATTGCGGATGGCGCCTCACATCTAAGCAAAGAGCAGCTTGCAGTCAGGCTCTTCAATCAATGCTTGGCCCTGCATTTTGCTCTTTTCATGGTTGATTGCCAGGGACAATGATTGAGTCTGGCCGGTGATCTTTCAACTGTTGGCGTCTTGCTTTAGTCACGTTTGACTGGGCTGTTGCCACACACCAGACGGCACTTGAGTCAAAGCTCGCCAGCCGCAGCTGCGTCGAAGATGTAGGCAGCCGGGCGATGCAGCTTGCTGGAGCGCCGTTCTGCTATCGCGCCTCCCGCATCGCATCGGGCAGTTGGGCATCGCAGGAGCATGGTGGGGTTCAAGGCAGCGTCTTTGAGCAGCTCCAGGCTGGGCCTTTCTTCGCGTCTTTTTCTTCTGGGATTCGATAGGCTGTTTCCCGACTTCGCGGCCGAGCGCGGCGCCACTCGCCATGACTTCTCCAAGCCGCTGGGCACCTGGGCACCTGGATGCGTCGTGCCACGCGCTGCGCGCACCTGGATGCTGTGCGTGGCGCGCTCGAGGCAGATGCTCACGGCCGATCAGTTGTTCCAGAGCGGTCCAAAGGGAGGTCACGGCAGCCCCCAGGAGCGAAGGGAGCTCGGGACGGGCGTGGGAGATGCATGGCTTCCTTTCGGGAGAATTTGTCCACACTCGGCGTTACACAGAGATCTGCATCCAATTCACTTTGGCAGAGCTGCATGTGGCTGCCCCGGCCTTTGAAGTGTGTTGCATGAAGTATCAGAATTCCCTCGGCCAAGCCTCTTGGCTGCCTTGAACCTTCATGCTTTCAGGATCTGCGCTATAAACGCATCGTCCGGAACCAGGCGCTTTGTGACTTGGCTATCGAAGCCTTGGAGCCAGCGGCCAGGCGACTCTGCAGAGAGCAGCAGAGGTTGTCATAGATCGGCCCTCCAAGCTGCGGAAAGCTCTGAGCACGCCGGAGCGATCGCTTGCACTTGCGTTGGTGTAACATTGCATCGTCATGCATCCCAAGAAATTAGAGACCAAGGCGTTCTAAACGCACGGGATTTTCACATGTCATGGTCCGGCTGTGAAATTCACCAGGACTTGCTGGATGTTCCCACCGCTTGCTTGACGGACGTGCGCAACCGCCTGGGCATCGTGGTCGGGGAGCGAGCTGGAATTTCATGATGCCAGTTCGAAATTTAAGGCAGATCTAAATCGGCTGATTGGTGTTGCGGTCTCCACATATCAATCAAGCTGAGCGACTAGGGCTTGGTTTGCCTCGCAAGGACAAGGTTCGGCATGCCTTCCTGGAGACGTCCTTCTCCGGGATGAGGCTTGGGATGCTTGTAGGTTGCCATAGCGCAGGCACAGGTCAGCGGCATCTGAAAAGGAGGGCTTCGATCATTTAGATCATTTCAGTATACTGTACTGTAAGATCCAGTTGGAGGCAGGGGTAGCTGCCTGCCAGGCAGGCATTTCATCAAGTTTTCAAGCTTGAGGTTTCGACACACGACGGCAGGAGCAAGATGAGAAAGTCTAAGCTTAACCGGCTACACAGAGAGACATCTTGGGCGGCATGCTTAGTTAGCTTTCGGTCCCGAAGTGTTAGGCACCCCGTCGGAAATGTGTGAGGCCCGAAGCTACAAGACGGCCTTGCATCCGGAGCTCAAAGGCTGGGGCTGGATTTCGAATTTTGATCGATCCGGATTCCCCAACCAGCTGGACTGGGGCTGTCGGGATGTCTGAGATGGTCAGATGGGATTGTCAAGGTGGACGGGATGCTGTTGGCACGCTTGGGATGGTCAGGACGGTCGGGATGGTTGGGAAGGTCAGCATCGTGGGGTTGAAGTGGTTGTGATGGCTGAGAGTCGGGACGTTTAGGGTGGCTTGACAGCGGGTTTAGGGTGGGTTTGGGTTGAATTTAGGGTTTGTTGAGGGTTGGTTTCGGGTTGGTTTCGGGTTGGTTGGCTGTTGGCTGAGGGTTGGTTAACGGTGGTTTGGAGTGGTTTAGGGTGAATTCAGGGTTGGTTTAGGGTTGGTTTGCCGTCGTTGTAGGCTTGCTTTTTGGTTGGTGGCTGGTTTAGGGTCGGTTCAGAAGTTCAGAGTCCGTTTAAAGTGGGTTTAGAATCTGTTTAGAGTTGGGTTGTGGGTTCAGGGCGGGTTTAGGGTCCATGGGTGGTTTAGGACTGGTGTAGCTCAGCAGGTTGGCTGAGGCCTGTTTGGGGTGGGTCGAGGGCTGGTTTGGGGTTGTTTAGGGGTAGTTTTGGGGGTAGTTTTTGGTTGGTTTAGAGTTGGTTTGGTGTTGGGTTTAGGTCCGTTTTGGGTGGGTTCAGGGTCTGTTTAGAGTTGGTTTAAGGCGGTTTTGGGCTGGATAAGGGAGGGTTCGGGTTGGTTTACGGTTGGGGTTGCTTTTGGGTGGCTCTAGTTTTGCTCCAGGTTGCTTCAGGGTGATTTAGGGTCGGTTAGGTTCTGTTTAGGGTGGCTTCAAGGCTGGTTGGTGGGTTCGGGAAGGGGTCAGGGTTTGTTTGGGGTTGGCTTGGCTTTGCTTTTGGGTGGGTTGAGGATGGCTTCGGGGTTGTTGCAGCGTGGCTTCAAGGTTGGTCGGTACAAATGATGTAATGCTTGGGATTGTCGGGACTGCGAGGATGCTCAAGATGTTCCAGTTTTGTGAGGAGTGAAGCGCCAGGCACGCAGTTATGTTTGATTGGGACGGTTGGGATGGTCGGGACGGTTGGGGGGTGGAGATGGTTGAGGGGTGGAGATGGTTGGGAGGGCGGGGCTGTTGGGACGGTCGGGATGGTTGGGACGCTTTGCGGGCAAACGACGGCTGCGACAATGTGGGCTGTCGGAGGAATGTCGGCCGAATCTCCCATGTGTTTCGGCCGATTTGAACAAATGTGTCGGCCGAGATTCACATTCCCGTCTGCCGAATTTCACATCAGTCTCGGCTGATGGTGTCGGCTGAATGTCACATCTAACAATGGCCGAAGTGTCCAAGAGTACGTCGAGGTCCAACTTTGAACATCAAAGAGTACCAACAAAACTCAAGTCAAGAGGCTGCATACGTTTACGATATGCGTCACATGCAGCACAAGCAGCACAAGCAAGCCTGCAAGGTTCCGTCACGGTTATAGAGGAGGGCACAGAGGCGTTGCTCGCCACGCAGCGGGCACAAGCGGGAGCCCCAGCATGCGCGCACGCCGCGACACCCCCGCACAGGGCATTGATGGCATTGGCAGGCCTTGAAGGATGAAGCCCTCAGAGCTGCCAAGTTGCTTGACCGTTCACAGCTTACTCCCCACTTTGCGCTTGACTCTGAAGCAATTGATTCTGCGCACGTTCAGGTGAGACCTTCGCCAGGCAAGACTGTCAGATGCTTCAGCAGTTTCAGCTCCTTGTGCCATTTGTTTGACTGCCAGTGTCGGCCGCCAACCCCCACGCATCATCTCCACACATTCGATCAGTTTCAAACAAGAGACTGAACCATGTCAGAAGGCAGGCAAAGTGCTTGTTGGCTGCAATTGATCGACTCCATGATGCAGCTACCACTCTTTGAACCTCAAAGAGTGTCGGACATGCTCTCAACGCAGGGCTGCGCGGCGCCGATCCTTTGCCAAAACAGATGACCAGCTGGTGAAGTTGCTGACGCCTAAGTCGGTCGGTCACCGGAATCGCGACGTGCCAGCCCCACTTTTTCCAACTTCATTCCAGCTGTCCAGGCGAGGCATTCGGGAAGAGACTCCGCCCAGGCAGCCAGAGGAGCGACAAAAACAGCTGACTGCGCTGTCAACAGATCATACTGATCCGTCCACGCACCAATTTTAAGATGATGTATGCACATTTAAAAAGAGGCTTTTTGAAACAACTGTAAATATCCCATCAGGCCATCGTCAGAGAGGCAATGGCAATGCTGCAAAAGTGGAAGTTCCACGAAGAGGCACTGGTTGCTGGCATACATAGCATGCGCAGGAGAGAAACTGGTTGAAGGAATTGAAGAAATTCTGTAAAAACCTCCTTTTGGAAGCTCACGAGCCAACCGAGAATGTCGCGAGGGCCTTTTTCGTTTCTTTCCGGAGAGGGCCATTTGGGAGCTCAGTGAGACTTGTACTGGTAGGTGGCGCGCACGCTGTGTGATGCTTTGCTGGGCATGGCGGAGGTGGGCATTCTGAGTGTCAGTGGCATCAGTGACTCCCACACGCCTTACGACAGGTAGGAACAGGGTGTCCTGAAGCTGCATACACCTGAGCATGCAAAGGAGGCATGCCATTGCTCACGTCGCATACAAAGGCGCACACACGGAAGAGAAGGACTGCCGACATACAAGCCACCACTCAGCCAGAGCTGTCTGCCATGGCGCCAAGCGTCAGTGTGCAGCTGGAAGAGAGCGCAGCTTGGCAAATGGCCATGGGCCATGGGTCATAACCTATGCCTCCATTTGGGGCGGATGAACACCCCTGTACCACCTATTTTGATGTTCACCAGGGGTACAGGGTTTTTGACCCGCAGCCAAGTTTTCGTGTGTCTCATGGTGCCTCGGTGAATTGCTGGTGCCTTGTGCACTCGCTCGGATTTGAGCGCCCGAGCTCGCGCGAGGTGCGGGCGCTGGCGGCGGCCAAGGACCGGGTGGCGGACGAGGGCCCCGAGGCCTTCGAGGCCTTCCGCAAGGCGGTGACGCAGGCGGAATCCGAGACACAAACCACGCGTGGAAATGTCCTCCGATGTTTCTCGAGTTTCGGCATTTCGATTGCCTCTTGGACTTCACATTCATAATTGTTGATTTTGCCGGTTGTTTGTTCGTGTTCTCTCTAATGCTGCTTGTCTTTCGCTCGCGAGATTGCAATGTGCATCACTTCGGGGATTCCCTGACTCTCCTTGGGCCGCGTTTGGGTCCGTCACACGGAGTTGACTCTCTGTGGGCGGGGTCGAGGCTGCCCCTTGACAGGCCTCGCGAGGTCGGGAGGCGCCGCCTGCAAAGCTGCTAGGGCCCTTGGAGTGCAAGGACTGGTGAGAGACGATCCGTTTCAAGCGTATCTTTGTGACTTTGATAGTGCTCATCATTGTTGCCGCAGGTTGCTACGGACCCAGGCTTGCAACATTGCTGCTGACACCAATGTTGGTTTGTTGAGAGCGGGAGGGACAGGGGGAGAGAGAGAGAGAGCAAGTCTATTGTCGATGGACACGTTCAAATCGCTTGATTGGGGCTCTCATTTCATGTAGCATGCCCTGCGTTTTTCCCGACAAATAAGGCCACCTGAAAGACTGGGGCCGGATTTTGATAGCCACTGGTGTTGGCAGCCACTTGCGTAAGTATGTCTGAACAACTGACAAATCATTGGTGAATCTGCTGGGAATGTGGGGAGGACATGCGGGGCACCCAAGCTCGCCGCAACAGCAGGGGGTTTGCCCAATTTTCCTATGGCCTTCAGGGGAGCAATACATGTTAAGTCAATTGTTCATGCGAATTCACTGTGGCTTTGACTGTGCAACACACATCATGCGTTTGAGGAGGAGGTGATCAACTTCCTCGTAGCGCTGCATGCTTCGAAGATTCTGGGCAGCACGTCACGCTTAGTCTGCAGCGTGAATCTTCTGGTTTCAGGAGTTGCTTGAACGCGCGGACGCTTGTCAAAATCCCTCCAGACCACTAAAGAAACTGAGCCACATGTGCCGTGCTCGGTATCTAAAATACGAAGTCAACATGATGAAGGCGTGGATTGGTTCCTAGGTGCACAGTCTGCCAACAGCTCATGTAGCTGGAGGATCCCACCCCTCAGCTCTTCTCAGGAAGATGTACCGCCGACAGATCGTGGCCGTCATGTCCGTGCTGATGCACGAGAGGCCCTGGTTGGAGACTCTCCTTCAGATCGAAGGCTGGGTGCTCAAGGAACCCGGCATTGGGGTCGATGTATGCAAGATTATCCTGTGGATGTGCCGGATATGCACGGTGAGATTGATGGGAGAGCGAGTGAAATGATACCTTCAATCCCCTTAGACTTCCGGTCTTAGACTCAGGTCTCAAGGAGAGGCTCCCGGAGGATCTCCGCACCATCGTGGAGGACGAGCTGAAAAATCCGCCTGAGGTCGAGGCCGAGGAGCGCTTGCCGCCGATAGCGGAGTTCCTTTGTGAGAGAGCGGAGTGAGGAGCCGGAAGAGCCCGAGGAACCGGAGGCGCGGTTACGAGACGAGTCGCCAAGCGCATGGATGCGACTTGCAGGCGGGTCCAGCGCAGGCCAAGCGCCGCTCTTCACGGCCGGGGAGCCTGGAAGGGATGCGGCCGGTCGTTTCAGGTTGATGGAACGGCCGCAGTCCAGTCGCCAGTCCCTGCCAGTCCCATGCTCAAGGCGCCCGGCCCGGAGCATGACTTGGGAAGTGAGCATGCAGGCAGAGTGCCATGCTCACGCCGAGAAATGTTCCTGGACTACCAATGCGAATGTTTCAATTTTACTTGGGTGGAAAGGAAACAGGATGGAAGCAGCTGAGAACGTCCGGAAGTTGATCTTTGACCCCGCGAGAATTCGGGGGGAGCAGCATGGCAACAGTTTTGGTGACACCAGCCGACGGAGCGCTCAGTCACTTTCTTTGCTCCGCGCCATGTCCACGCCTCTGCTGGATGATGGCATGGTGTACCGCACCTCGTCGTGGAAGGAGAAGTTGGTGGATGAAATGATCAAGGTGCGCGATCTCCCAGAGCCTGAGGACTGACGAAGAGCTTGCGATCTTGCGCCAAGCTACGACCTTTAGTTTGACAATTGAGTCCCCTAAAGAATAGTTGCTCCGCCGGCCACCGACGCTCTGTTCATGACCCATTTCTCAGGGTGTGTCTCTGTTTGATCTCTCTAATGCGCAGGCATGGCGCCACCGCTTTCTTTCTGGCCTGATGTTTTTTGAGCAGGCGTGCGTCCAGAGCCCAACATGCCAGCTGAAACGACCAAGCAAAATTCTGACTCTGTGGGCCAACCTCGATGATACCGGGGATGGCACCTATCGACTGAAAAGGTTGTTTGACAGCAAAATCAAGACAACGCCGCACAAATGCCCAACATGCAGGCCCTAGGCTTTGGCAAGGATTCTGGAGGAAGACCCTACTCGAGACGCAAGATATCCGCCACCATGTTTGCGGCAGCTCCTGCGCACAGGAAAAAATAATGGCCAACTTGTGCAAAACGGTTTTATGCACCAGAAGTCCGACTTTGGTTTGTGAAAGATCCCAAGGCATCGAAGCTTAAAAGGTCACGTCTCTTGTGAGCGAATCGAGAGGATGGTGAGCTGGAGCGACGGTTGAACGCCACAGAGCTCACGCTGCTGGGCCACTCGGTTCGGGGGTGCGCATGGCCCACATGGCCTCGTGCAATTTCGCTTCTCACATTCGCCCGCAGAACCATAGGGCTGGCACATGTTCTGAGGCATTTCCTCGGTTGTGCAAGCCGCAATTATGCCTCTCTTTTGGGAGAGGCAACAAGTGGAAGCCACATGGCTTCCTTGCTGAGGTATCGGTGCCTGCATCGGTGCGGGGGTCTTCGTGCTCACTGGCGCAGAAGCCCGCATAGCCGGGCCCTCCGCAGCTCGACCCATTTCAGTTGATATACGTTATGCACCCAGCCAAGTTTGGCCAACGCTGGCTTACGGTATTGTGAAGCTTTGAATGTGTCGACACCGCTTCAATGGCTCTTGCAACTATGGGTGCCAGCATTAGTTTCTACCGTGCCTCGAGAGCCTTGCTTGCCTCCAATGAGACTACTGAGTTTGTTGCTGATGCAATCGGAGGAGTGTATTTGTACGTATCGCTGAGGTCGGACTCTAGAAAGTTCACTTGAGCTAGATTTTGCTCTCCTTTGAAAACACCATGTGGATGGGCAAGAACACACACACACACACACATGTGACATGGGGTACTAATTTGGATACTTGTTTGCTTTTAAAGTCACCGCGTGTCCAGCTCGCCAGCTCACAAGCTCGTGGGAGGTTGCCGTGTCCTTCCTGCTGGCGGGCATCTCTTCCATCTTCAATGGGCTTTGTTTCGCCGAGCTCGCCACGCGGCTGCCTGTCTCGGGCTCCGCTTACCTCTATGTCTACTGCATGTTTGGGGAGCTGCCCGCGTTGATGCCCGCCGGCCGCAAGTCGCCAGAACTTCCAAGCATGGCACATTGTTTGCTCTGGAATCCTCCCGTCGCATTGGAGTCTCCCGGTTTTGGAAAGCGCTACTGGCTCACTTCCAGCTCCGCAAGAGCGCAGTCTCCTTGCATGCTTCACTCCACAAAACAACACCTTTCAAATGCCATTTTTGAAAGCCATTTCCCTTCACTTCTTTGGGTGTTTCCGAATCGCGAGTTCAGTCCGCTGGTCCGGTGACTTCGGATGAGTCGATGAGTCCGTCGGACCGGTCGGTCCGTCGGTCCGGTCGGACCGTGAGGCTGGTGGTGAACCAGCTGGTGGACTACCACATCGGGGCTGCCACGCTGGCACGGAGCCTTGTGGCCTATGTGGCAGAGGCTATGAGCCCACCCAGCTGCAAACAGCCCGACTTCGAAGTTTTTCGAGTTTCTGTTACTCCTGTTATTTCTCTTTGTTCGGATGTTGTTTTTAGAATTCGACTTCTTTTTCCTTTTTGAAACTTTGTTTGCTTTTTGGCTTCCTTTCTGTTCCTTGGTTTTTGTGGCTAGTTCTCTTTTCCTTCGTTCTTGTTCCTTTAGACTCGCCTTTCCTTCGCCTTTTTTGCGGGACTGGGAGTTGAGGTCAAGTCGGGTTCCCGTTCCATGTGGCTTGCCTGCATGTATGCGCCCGCGCAGTAACTATATTGCGCTTGTGCTACTCTCGGTTCCAATCCAAGCCCTCGAGGAGTGCATCTCCGGATGCCAGCCCTTCGAAAGCATGCCCTGGGTGGATCTGTCGCTGGGCGCTCCGCTGGTTTTGGCCTTTGTGGCTATGGTGGTGTCGAGGGGAGCCGAGACCAACGCTGTGGTCACCTCCTTCGTGACCCTGGCAGGGGAACCCAGTGAAGTGAAGGTTGGCCAGCAACCTTGCTAGGCATGCAGAAGGCAACATTTGCCCCCAGATGTGAGTTGTCAGAGGCCCGAGGCAATGAATGGATAGTGAGTGGAGAGTGCAACGCACGAGGTGAAGATTGCAGTCGTCATTGTGGTCATTTTGGTGGGGTATCAAAGGATGCAAGTTCAGTACTTGCAGCCCTTCTTTCCCTATGGCGTCTCAGCCACCATCCAGTCGGCTGCAACGCTGAGCTACGCGTTTATCGGCTATGACGTGAGCCTTGGCTGAAAGTCCAGCTGGCGAAGCTGGTTTGGGCCCAAGATGGCTGTGTACAATCTATGGCTGTGAGGAATCTGGGAAACTCCAGACAGTCATGTGCGTGCCTTTCGGTGTCCTTGGTCCTTGGAGCCCTAAAGGGGAGGGCGGTTCATTTGACCTATTTACACGCTACGCGAAACAGCCGTCCACCGGGAATTCATCAGCTTACGCCCGCCGAACACTACACAACAACGCTGTTTTTTCAACGAGTTTGCCCAAACACGTAAACACAGACACAGACACAGACACAAGACGCAGACACAAGACGCAGGCACGGACACAGACGCAGACGCAGACGCGCAGACGCGCAGACGCGCAGACGCGCAGACACACAGAGACACAGATATATAGACACACAGACACACAAACACGCAGACACGCAGACACGCAGACACGCAGACACGCAGACACGCAGAAACGCAGACACGCAGACACGCAGACGCACAGACACATAGACACACAGACACACAGACACGCCGACACGCAGACACGCAGACACGCAGACACGCAGACACACAGACACGCCGACGCGCAGACATGCAGACATGCAGACGCGCAGACACGCAGATACGCAGACACGCAGACACGCAGACACGCCGACGCACACCCACACACCCACACACCCGCACACGCACACGCGCACACACACGCACACGCACACGCGCACGCGCACGCGCACGCACACGCACACGCACACGCACACGCGCACCCGCGCACCCACACCCACCCACACACACACACACACAGACACACACCCACGCGGCGCGCGCGCACGCGCAAGCGCACGCGCGCGCCACACGCACGTGCACGCGACGCGCCCGCACCCGCGCCCGCGCCGCCGCGCCGCGCTCACGCGCCTGCGCACGCGCACGCGCAGTGCGCGCGCGCGGGCGCGCACGCGCGCAAGCGCGCACGCGCAAGCGCACACGCACGCACGCGCACGCGCACGCGCACGCGCACGTGCACGCGCACGCACGCGCACGCGCACGCGCGCATGCGCAGGCGCACGTGCAGCACGCCCCACGCGCACGCGCCCGTACACACGCACACACGCACGCACGCACGCACGCACGCACGCACACACACACACACCCACACACCACACACCCACACCCACACACGCACGCACGCACGCACGCACGCACGCACGCACGCACGCACGCACGCACGCACGCACGCACGCACGCACGCACGCACGCACGCACGCACGCACGCACGCACGCACCCACACGCACGCACGCACGCACGCACGCACGCACGCACGCACGCACACACACATACCCACACACGTCCACACACGTCCACACACGCCCGCACACGCGCACATGCACACGCGCACGCACGCGCGCACGCGCACACAGGCGCACAGCCACACAGGCACACAGGCACACACGCACACACACACACACCCACACGTGTGTTTTTTTTTTGCGGTTTCTAGCCTTGCATTTATGAAAAACATGAAAAAGAGTGTCTTGTCAAGTTTTTCAACACCCGCAGGTGCGCATAGTGGACAGCATCGCCCGCATCAGTAGAATCCTTTGCAACAATACTTGTCATTGACGTTGATGATGCTGGTGATGGGGGCGATGTTGTCGACTATGAGTCCTTTGAGGCTGGCTGTTGCAGCTGGCCCCCGCAAACTTCTGAGATGCTGCGTAGAGCAGACTTTCCGTGAACAAACTTGCGACGGGCAAGCTGAGCGGGGGGATCAAAATCACACCTCTGGTTTCTTTCTTCGCAGCTTGGCCACGTAGTTTGTCCGGGACTCAGCTTGTCATGTGTCCAAGAGGCCACGCCGCGGCCTTACATTGCGTCTTGCCAGAATGCGATTGTTCCTCCTCTTCTAAATCCTTGCCAAGGACTGCTCGTAGTTGCTTGAGCCGTGTAATTATTTCACCTTCAGGGCTGACTTGGAAATGGCGGCGTTGCCCCTCACTGTAAAGGCCAGGCGGGCTGGAGAAGGTCTCTCCTGATCTGTGAGACCTGAACACATTGCTGTCAGATTGAGCAGCTTCTCGAAAAGCTGGAAAAGATCGTCGCCGTTTTGGCACGAGGAACATGAGGCTGGGGTTGTTTGCGGGCCAAGCGTCTCCACTGGCAGGATGTGCGTGCTGCGAGGAAGCAGGCCCGCTGCAGCATCGCAAAGATTCATGCCTGTCAGCAACTACCAAGGAAAGGGTGGAGGCGCTGAAGCGAAAAGTGGCAGCAATGTCTCGGGAGGAGACTTGGGCCAAAGCGTGTCAATTCCGTTCTGTGTTCACACATCACTGAATTCCTCCGCACCACTGCCGCGGTTGATTGGCCCCGCAGACGTCGCGCTCCAAAACCTCCCAGCCCTAAATCCCAAGCCTTGGGCCAGGACTTTCGAACGCAAGTGCTGCGGCCAGCGACAGGGATTGACAGGGTGTGGCTGCTGCAGCTACGCCCACGACGCACGGGGTCGGGAAATTAAATAGCTCCGCGTTTGTTCGTTATGACGCAACGGCGAACGAACGCTGGAGCTTCAACGCGGTGTGAAAAACGAGCGACATGTGACCGCGAGCGAGCGACTCGCGCTTCATTTCTAAGCCTTTTGATTTGACGTGATCTGACGTTCCGAGGATCGCCAACGCTGCCGAGGAGTGCCAAGACCCTGCGAGGGACCTGCCTCGCGCCATGATCTATGCGCTGATGACCTGCGCGGTGCTCTACGCCACCTGCCTGTCTAAAACGGGAACTCTCAGACACCCCAAAACCAAATCGGAGTCTAAGGGCCCCAGAAAAAAACAAGCCCTGTTGACGCCAGGGTGAAAAGAGGCTACTTCTGAGTCAGCCACTTCAGCCCTTGTGTGACTCCCCAGGTCTGCGTCTGCTTGGTTCTCTGCGGAATGCAGGCCTGGCTGCAGACGTATCAAATGTTCCGGTGTGTTTCAACCTTTGCCCCAGTGCCAGCCTTGCGTTTGCCATGGACTCAACTTCGCTGACGGTTCAGTCTACGCGAGCCCTTTGCCAGACCTTTGCGACCATAGACACCTCTGCGCCAGTCTCTACTTCTTTTCAGCTGCAAGGCCGGAGAATGCGCAGTATGTTTGATCATATGATCCCAATTGTTGTTGAAAGTCTGGGAGCCTGGCTTTGGTATGTAAGGTCGGACGGTAACGGGCGCTGCAAACAAGAAGTGTGGCAGGCATGCAGCAAGCTAATTGCTCACAGTGGTGTATGCTTTTTGCTTTTGTGAAGGTATGGAATGGGTTGTCAGCATCGTTGACGTCGGCAGCTTTGCAGGGATGCTCACGGGGTTATTAGCAGGGGTCTATGGACACTTGGTCTTCACAAGTCATCCTCGTGACGCACAGGTTTGTATGGTTTGCCACCTCTTCTTCGCTGCAAAACAAAAACAGTATGGCGAGCTGATTTTGGAGACAGGAGAGTGAGTGACCGATTTTGATTTTGGCTCGTGCACTTAAGGACAAAGCCGCATTTACTTCGCCATGTCTCGGGACGGGCTGGCACCGGCAATGCTTCAGGCCTTGAAATTGTTTTGCCGTTGTTGGACTAGGCTCGTATACTCACACATGCACACATGCACGCATGCCCGCAAGCATCACCGTGGCCTCGTCGCTGAACAGGGTGCTTCCACGTGCGCGTGGTGGTGTGGCCTCGTCGCCGCGCTTCTGGCGGCCTTCTTCGACGTCAAGAGCCTGGCTGCCTTCTTGAACATCGGAGTGCCCAGGTATTCACACGGTCCGCACGGTCCGCACGGTCCACACGGTCCACACGATCCACACGGTCCACACGGTCCACACCCGACACTCTCGCATCACACCGTCGCACCATTTGCACCATTTGCACCATTTGCACCATTTGCACCATTTGCATCACATCCCAAAAGGATTTCAGCCATTGACCTTTGCGATGTGAGTCCTTAGAACGCCTCAGGTGCTGCTCTCCTATGCCATGACCGCAGCCTCAGTTCTGCTTATCAACACCTGCTGCAAGACGCGAGAGAGGCCGATGATGTTTCTGGCCGCATGCCTCTCCGGAGTTCTTTCAATGGGTGGCCTCACCGGGATGCTAGGAGGTGCCGGCTTGCTGGCCCTCTTTGTCTTTGCATACTGCACCTGCAACTACAAGCGCCCGTGTTTTGAGCATCACACTTTTTCGTTTCTGGCGATTCCCTCCAGCGTTCGATCTGTTTCCATTTGGATCAACTTGATTTATTTGGTTAAGGTGCGGCCCACCTAGCACCTTCAAATGCCCGGGCACGCCGATCATACCGCTCATCGCCTTGTGCGCCAATGTCTACCTCATGTGCCACCTCAAAAGCTTGGCCTGGATTCGATTGCTCGTCGTGAGCTTGCTGGTCTTCATGGTTCACAGCAGCGCGGTTTGCCTGGGGGTGCTTGATCCAAAGAAGGATCGCAGGAGGCATGTGTGCAAGACCATCAAGAGCGCCACCCAGCGTTCCAACATGGGCCCGGCGTCGCATGGACTTTGCGACAAGAAAGTTGAACCTGAATGCGTACCATGTGGCCGCTGACTGGCAATTCATACTGGCCTAAAGCAGGCCTGACAGAGTTGCTATTGCATTGGCCGGGCTGGCTGACGATTGAGGTAGATCAGAAGAGCGCTTGCTCTTAGCAGTGCGTGGGTGCATGGCTTTGTTTTGAAGTTCCAAGCACCTGAAATCCCACTTCGACACGCACCTGCGCATATTGTAGCCTGTGTACAGACCACGCACTGCAGAGATAGATATTTTGCGGATGCAAGGCACTGCAATAGTTGGCTAGCATCGGCGCAGACGGCCTGCAAGTCAACCAGTTGCCGCATGTTGCCTGGATGTTCAGACTTATTCGCCTGAGGCGGTGTGCCTGCAGCCTGAAAGTCAAATTTCTTGAGCAGAGTGACCAGCGTCTTCTTGAGGGCTCCCAGAGTCAACTGCGCATGCTTGAATGGCAACAGAGGCTGTCAGAGATTGTGGGGATTTCAATAGCGGGTCAACAGCCAAGCTCCGTTTTCTTTGCGAGATCTTAGGCTGGAACGCTCCGTCCAGCAGCTGGCAGTAGCGCGGGCGGGCTTGCAGCGACTGGGCCAGGGCCTTGGCGCGCGGCGGCCTGTGACTTTGCATGTCTGACCTGTGGATACTGTTCGGGGCGCTGTTTGAGGTGCTGGTGCGGCAGTGTTGTGGGAGGCATGCAGTTAGGGGTGCTGGGGCAGCTGCAGTTTTGGGGTTGTGTCGGGTGCTGTTTGATGTGCTTCTGATAGGGTGCCAGGAGGCATGCAATTCGGGGTGCTGGTGCAGGTGCTGTTTTGGGTGCTGTTCGGGGTGCTGTTGGAGGTGCTGGTGACGGTGCGAGCGGCAGAGTCCTAGGAGGCATGCATTTCGGGGTGCTGTTGGAGGGGCTGGTGACGTTGCATTTGTGCGAGATTGACGGCAGGGTGCTAAGAGGCATGCAGTTAGGGGTGCTGGTCAGGGTGCTGTTTGTGTGTGCTGGAGGTGCCGCGGTTGTCACTGGCGTTGCTTGGTGTGCTCAAGGTGCCGCACTGGTTGCCGGCGGTGCTTGTTCGACGATGCAGTCTGAGTGCTGTTGCAATTTCTCATGCTATCTGGGGTCTATGTTTTTTGATAGAGAAAGCAAGTTTTTGCATTTGGAGGGAGGCGTTCACAGTGACCCAGGCTTTTCCGCCGTGGACACGGATGGAGCCATTGACGCCTTCGCTGTCCTAAACCGAGCTGCACCTGGGACATATTTGGTCCGGTAGGGGTCAGCTTTTCTCAGGTCAAATCAGTGCCCGGGAAAGGTCACACGAATTATTGGTGTGCATGTTCACCACAGCTGAGACGGGCTCTGCACTCTTAAGAAGGCAACAAGTCAGCGAACCCACTTGCGACTTAGGTCTTGTGGATCATCCAGAGCCCTGAGAAGGAGGATGACGAGGTGCTTGCTCGCATGGACGACAAGGAGAAAGTTCTGGAGTGGCTTGCCAGAACCAGGATCACGACGTTTTTGTGGTTTTGCTTCAGCGGAAGGGCACACGCCATTGGTTGAGAACTCTTGGAGCTGGATCAAGTTTCGCGTGCAAGGGATACTGGAGGTCACGGGAGACATGGGGCCAAGAGGTGGTACAAGGGTGGCAGCTCTTTGCGTCAAGACACAACAACATCAGCAAAAGGCTGTCGTGTCTCGTTGCTGCCTTCAAACCCAGTTCAGATGAAATTGTTGGCCGTGTTTGCAACGCTCACACCTGGCTTGCTTGCCAGTTTGGGCCTGTCAGCCTTTTTTGTGCAGGCCGTTGCAAGCAAGATGCGTACCGGAAGCTTCGAGGCAACGCATGCTGCCTTCTCTCCAAGCTCAGAGGACCCTCCAATTCCCTTTCAGGAATTCTGGACGAGAGGCAAAGTCTCAAGAACATCTGCAAACTTGACAGTGAAGACTTACAGTTGGGGATACGTGGAGTCGCCAAACAGCCTCAAAAAGAAGGTGGATTCTCTTAGCCCCTCAGGGTTCGACAAGGCACACTTGCGGGGGGTGCTGTCCACAATTGCCCCACGTTTGGCTCCAAAGGGGCAACGATGCTCCAAAAGTGTGTGGAATACTTCGCCAACCGCCGGTTAGGCTCTTCGGGCAGGCTTGGCGGCAAGCGTTGACTTAGCTGAGGTTTTTGGCCGATTTCCATGACAGGAAGCCCAAGCATCGCTCACGCGTCACAGCGCTGTGTGTACGACTGATGGAGTTTGACTCTTGGCGAGAGGCCCGAATGCCGAGTTGCAAAAGGACCCATGTCAAGCTTGATATTTCAATCTTTGACGTCGTGTCGCCAAGCGTGTTGCAACATCATCGCATTGCTTCGACTTGTGCAGTAGCCTGGCACTTTGCCCGTCGGAGGCCTTGGACAGCGCCAGCCCCTCGATCTCCGCGACGCTGCACGCCATGACGGGCCTGGCCGCAGCGCCTCCCGCCTCCGTGGCTGTGAACGTAGAGACGGCCGCAGAGCTGGCGGCGCCGCGATGGACACGGGAATATGGACAAATGGACAGGGAACCGGGCCCCGAATTCTAGTCCTTCTGGTTCTCCAACATTTTCCACCGTGATTACTGTATATCAGCTTTCGGTCTCCATTGGTTTCGGCCTGTTGTTGGGGCTTTGCTTGCAGCGCGGGGCTTTGCAAATCAGAGTAGCCCACTGCGCAAGGCTTCTCGAGGCTGCGTCGGTGCAATCTACATCAGGGTCATCCGGGGGAGTCTTGGGCAGCAATTGAACGCAGAATCACATGAGCCCAACCCATATAAGGCTGGCCAGTCTTTTGATCCTTACATTCTCCCCAAGCGATCAGGACCAGCACCCGATTTGACACACTGTGGATCTGTCTGAAATAACTTGAAGACAAACCGGAGCAGATCTTGGCCAGTTACTACACACGCCATTTTTCGGCCTGTGTGAGGAAAGGGCTTGCCAGCGGCAATGCCAACCCCTTTGTGCGCGTGGCCGTGGGGAGCAAAGTGCAGCGCACCGAGAGCTGTGAGGATGAAGTCAGCCCGTGCTGGGACGCTGCTCCCTTTGTCTTTGAGGCCTGGCTACATGGGGCTGGGTTATATGAGGTTCGGTCTCAGTCAAACTTACTGGTAGTCTGTGGTCCATTTGAGGATGACATGGGGAGTCACTCAATGTCCCCACAAGAACCAGGGACGCACTAGTTTGTCCATGTTCTTTTGGTGAAGCACGTAATTTTGACCATGGCTCATATGCTACTCATGACCGGAATTAATTTCTAGAGCCAGCGAAGCTCGGGTCGAAGTTTCCAGCAGCATGGCAAGCCCAGGCTTGTCTTTTGTTTTTTGGCAACGACAGTGTTTGCGGGCGTTTCTCTTGACGTTAGCGGTTGGTGACTCGAACTTGCAAAACACATGACGATACCTAAACCAGCAAGCTATGGTTCAGAGCAATAACTGAGAAATTGTCGTACTCAACAGCTGGATATAGTAAGCCAGCCTTCTCGCCTCCAGCCAGTCAGTTGGTTGGTTAGCCAGTTAGTCAGTTAGTTTGTTAGTTAGTACAGTTGGTCAGTTAACGTCGGCAATCTAGCTAGCTGCACAAGCCACTTAAGTTTGCCTTGACTCAGTCAAGCGGTTGAGAAGTGACGTTTGCTAAGTGAGTTGAGTGATGCCAGCCAAGTCCGCGTGGGCAGAGAAGTGAGTTGTTCAGCTAGTTATTTAGTTATTTGGTTGAATTTTTAAGTTCTATGGTTTGGTATCAACCGACTCAGTAAGCTAGTGAAGTCAGCCAGATCGTTTAGCTGAGTCGAGTTGACGAAGCTATTTCGATGTTGGCGGACACAGGCAAAGTCTAGATACGGTTGTACGTTGGTTAAGCTAGATCGATGCAGCCAAATCGTCGTCGGTTTGATATTTGGTTTGGACGAGTAGTTTGAGTTAGGTTTGTTGGGATAGTTCAGGTAGTCAAGCTTGCCAAGTTGTGAAGTGACTCAGGCGACTTCTTCTTAGTGGAGGTTGTTCAACTAATTATCTTACTTTTGCCAGCCACCCCATTTTGCGTTTGTTTGGTTGCGTTTGTTTCGCTCCTCTTGCGTTGTGGGCACGCGACCCATTTTCGTCTGGCCGATCAAACTATTATTGTTAATTTCCGCATTTCACTTTGCTCTTGCAAGCCTCTTTCTTTTTGGTCTTTCGACATTAACAACCCGTCGCGTGGTCCTAGTTGCTACTCCTTAATCTGATGTCAGAAAGATGAGCGGCGGGCCTTGGCCGGATTTGTCCCCTTTTCCTGTGCTTCTTTCAATTTAGCCTTGCAATTGTAGGTCTTCCTTGCTGTGTCTATTCATTTCCTCTTTGCTCTCATCTATTCGCTCGGCTATGTAGAGTATGGAACTCAGTTGTACTTGTGAACCAATTTTTGCAACTGAACCTCCGTTGGTCAAGAAAACATGACGCAAACTAAATTCAATGTATTAGCTCATGGCTTGATGGCAAGCAAACACCTCTATGATGAGAGATGACCTCTCCTGGTTGTTGGTAAGACGTGTCCATTCAGAGCAGTGAATGCATTCTGCATGGAGAGTGCTGGCAGGTTCCCAAAGAAGATGCCGAAGTGACGCTGGATGTGATCAGTGGTGATATCACTGGAGATCGCCACGTCGGATCAGCGAAGTTTCTGCTGTCCGATGTCCAAGCTGCTGCGGCGCCAAGGATGGTGTCCACCCCTTTGAGTGGGGGTGGAGGGCTGGAGTATGAGGTTCTCTTCAGACCAGCCCTTGCGAAAGCTGAGAGTGCTGGCTACAATGACAAACGCGGCACAGGTTCGGTGTTGGCAGGACTTACAGCCGCAGTGCCCGGGGCAGCATAGGACAACGTTTTGCTTTTGGCATTTGACAGGTGCAGAAGGAAAACACGATTGTGCACTTGAAAGCGCGTTTGAAGGTCAGTTGACTCAGGTCTGGGACATGGACGCGGCTGAAGTCCAGGATGCTAGCAGCTGGATTGTGTCCGGTGCAGGGAAGGCGTCTTCCAGGGTGCCCTCGCAGCGCGGCCTCATTTGCCCTGCGGGGCATGCCATCGACAAGCGCAAGGCGGGAGAGGTGTCGAAACGACTTGTTGGCCTGGGGTCCATTTGCCCCTGCCTTGCTTCTTGTGCCTCTTGTGCTTCTTGAGAGTCTTGTGCCTCTTGCCTCTTGTGCTTCTTGAGAGTCTCTTGTGCCTCTTGCCTCTTGTGCTTCTTGAGAGTCTCTTGTGCCTCTTGGGCTTTGCCTGAGGAGGGAATGTCCTGGCGCCAAAGCTTCATTCACGGAGACACCAAGCTATGCGACGTCTGCCGCAGAGAGATTGCTCGTGCGGAGACGCGCTGGCGTTGCTTCCACCACTGCGACTTCAATGTGTGTCAAGGCTGCTACGAGGCCAAGAAAGACGCCACTTAGGGGCGTGAAAAGGGCGACCTGCTAGTGACACGCTTGCCGCCAATTGATTTCATGCCAGTATGCTGCCTGCCTGTGGTGCCAGGTAGGAGGAGACGACTTCATTGAGGCAGGACACTTGCGAAATTGAGTAGCTCTTGACTTGCCGGAAAGGCATGCGGTTCGAATGGCATATCCTTCTTACCAGTTCGAGCGAATCTCAATGGGCAAAAACAATCACCATGTATTACTTTGGGCTGTAGGAAAGACTCTCGACAATACATCCAAAACGAAAAGGCAAGTGCTTGTCCTTCCAAGGTTTCTTGTAAAGACAATGTGAGTGAGCGGTAAGACCAAGTTCAAGAGCAGGGGTTTTTGTTTGACACAGCTCTTGACCATCACACATATTATCACTTAATCAATTTGTATCTTCTTTGGATTCTATCTCTTCACCCACACATACAAATGAATAACCCCCTTTGCAAGATTCTAGTTTCAAGAAAATGCCGACGGGGGAAGCCAAGGGAGTGTCCATGAGAGATGGGCCGCTCTTGGATGATTTCTTCAATGGCCAAGAATTCTTGAATTTTAAAAGGTCATTTTTCTTTAGGGTTCTTTCGGGTGTTTTTCTCTTCAAGTTGTTTTCTCACTTGCAATGACTCAGCTTCTAGGGGCAGAGACTGAGAAACTGAACACTGAGGCTGACGGCAAGTGAGATCGCTAGCAGACAAATGAAAGCAGCTACAGTCCAGGAGATGGGTCGACGCGGTCTGGGTGTCTTAGCGAGTGGCGTGGCAGACATCTGGTCGGTGAAAGCAGATGCCTGGCGCCAAGGCTTAGTGCACACATAAAGATGAATGCATTCAGAGAAACGTAAGAGAGAGAGAGAGAGAAAGACAGAAAGAAAGAAAGAAATAAAAAAAGGAAATAATGAAATAAATAAATACAGAAATAAATCAAAGGAAATAAATAAACGAACAAAAGGAACGAAGAAAGAAAGAAGGAAGGAAGGAAAGAAAGAAAGAAAGAAACAAAGAAAGAAAGAAAGAAAGACAGAAGGAAATAATGAACTAAATGAATAAATATTTAATTAGGGAAAGAAAGAAGGAAGTGAAGGACGGAAGGAAAGAAACAAATAAATAGGCGAGTAAATATGAATAAATATAGCAATAAGGAAAGAAAGAAGGACAGACATAAATACATAAAGAAAGAAAGAAAGACAGAAAGAGAGCGGAGAGAGACATTTCACACGCTTTGAGCAAGAAATTCAACAATGACCCGAGCAAGACCAACGAGTTAGGTATGCAGAAGCGCCCTGCGACTGCTGGCTCTCGCATCTCTTGAGGCAAGGGGCTATGGATGGGATCGGGCAAGGAGTGAGTTTCGTAGCCGCGAGTTGCCCCTTGGCCGAGCCCCGTTACTCAAGCATGGGACGGCAAGAAGTCAGTTTTTTGTTTGTTTTCGTTTTGTTTCAGATGCACTCCTGGGACGACGCTTTTGCTCTCGCCCGGATCTGCAGCGCTTTGCGGGTAGACACCCCTCGACATCAGATACCACAGGAGCATGCACAGCAAGCCCATACTTTCGCAAATCTTAGGCCTCGGCAAAGCGAAGCAAGCGAAAGCAACTTTCAAGGCAGCCACCAGTCACGTTGGCCTTAGCTGACCTTTGCGCTTACCGTAGTCGGCCATAGTTGGCCGTAGTTGCCAGTCTCACTTACCATGGCAGGCACCAGACTGCAGGCGCAGTATGCTTGGAAGTGCGGTTTGTCTCCAATTGGGCGAGCTCTGTCGCCCCTTCGCACGCTATATGCGTGAACCAAAGCTATAGAGCAGCTGATGCCTTTGTCGCTCTTTACCAGGTGCCTTTGGACCGCCCACTGGGCAAAGTGCCGCCGGGCTTCCTGCGGAACCTCTGCCCATCATCCACCTGCGCCTCAGTGCAATGAGCTGCTCCAAATCGGGTTTTGCATCGGCCGCTCTGAGGCTCGTCCTTTCAAACGACCATGAGCCTCACTTCAGACCGCTGCAGTCTCAGCGCAAACTCATGGACTGGCTTTCCGGCTGTGGTGTGAGTCAGGTTCGCACCTCCCCACCGTCCAGTTCCGCGAGGCTAGGGGTATTGTTACTTGTGGGGATCTCCAACCGTCCAACCAGGACATGTCTAGGCACCCATTTGCACAGATGTCAAAGGATGGGGGACTTCCGTGGCATCGGGTTTCTCCGGACTCGCTCAGGCTAGCGGAATGGTGGCAGGCCGGGCCGCGCAGCTTGGAGATCCGGTTGACTATGGTTGCCTCGCTTGAAACACACGGATACGCGCAGGTCGTCAGCATGTGCCTGCCCCGGTTCTGCAAAAGAGCCACACTCAGCACTGCAGCATGATCGCATGCAGGCCAACGCTGGGCAGAGGCGCGAGCCTCCATGGGCACACACTTAGGTCCCTGCAAACTTACCCAGCTCTCTGTTGGGAATGCGTTTTTATCTATCGTTTGTCAAGCGACGCTTAAGGGAAAACCAACAGGCCTACAACCACTCTCGCAGGTTTCCGCGACTGCTGCCATATTACGGCTGCGGCCCTGGGTCTCTGGCAAAGCGCATGCCGCATGTTGACAGGTGTAACAAAGATGTGTAGAAAAGCATGTGACACGCTTCACACGTGTGGCGTGTCTGACGTGGCCCGGATGGCACGTGCCACGTGCCTCAAGGCCCAGCAGCTGGGAAACCCTCTGCAGCGAGGCCGAGAGCTTGGCAAGTTGCAACGTGGAAGTGTCGAGGGCTGGCTCAGGCCTGGCCATCCAGCGATTCGTGCTAGCTCGGCACCAGCAGGAGAGAATTATGCGAGAATTGTTGCGTTGCAGTCGTTGGCCTTCGCAGGAGATCGCCATGCAGAGTTGTGGTCAGGCCGCTTAGGTACCAGAATGAAGTTGTTTAGTGTTTTTGGGCTTGGCTGACGGTCAGCGAATGAACTAATTGGTTGAGCCGAGGCAAGCGCGTCCCTTCAAGGATGGGAGTACCGAATTATGTCGAATGGCGGACTCTGTTTGAATCTGACAACCGAAGAGTGGCGGTGAAATGTTTCCTCTCTGCCTTGGGAGCCCAGCTTTGGCGGAAGCCCCATTTTCGATTTTCAGCTTGCCGCGTCCAATGCTCCGCGACATGGCACAGGAGCTGAAGTGAAGTGCTGGGTTCAAGGCCAGAGACTTTGTTCGGCCTCCGCTGTCTGCTCGACGGGTCAAACTAAGGCTCACTCCCCATGGTTTGCCTCAAGCTAGGCTGAGCCGGCTGAGCGACTGCCGTGGAATTAAGGCCCGAAGGCCAGCCTTGTACAGTACAATCCAATATTTGGAGGTGCCCAAATTTCAAGACATTGCAGGGCAGAACTGCAAGTTCTGCCTTTTTTACTGCCACATGTGAAGGGCCAGAATTCGCGGAGCAGTCTTCGTGATGGCCTTTCGAAGTGCAATTTGCATGCATCGGGCTAGAGGCCCGCAAATTGCCACTGCTTCGCGAATCGGCCACGTCCGATGTAACGGCTTCGAACCACCAAACGGTGCAAAGGATCCGGACAGCCGGAGGTTCCCACCCCGAGACGCGGGAAAAGGCTTGGCAACACAAGGAAATGCAATATCCACATCATTTTGCCAGAACTCGCCCCGCGTAATTGACACATCCCTACTTTCACTCGCCAAGCACAGCGTTTGAAGAAAAGCTTGGCCTTAGGCTCTCTTGAGCGGGATGGGTCCCACAAGTGGGGTTAGCGCATGGAGATGTTATGCTTGGTCCCATCAAATGTCGGGGGCGTGTTGCTTGCAGCTCTTCGTGGCCTTCCTGGCGGAGAACTTGCTTCTTGGCCTGGGCCGTGTCGAATCGAATCGGTTCCACTCCCGCAGCTTGAGCCAGGCTCAGATTGGCTCATATTAGGCTCATATGCGGCTCATACGCTTCCCGTGATTTCGATTTGACAGGCCTTGCGCATTCTGCATTGCGCATTCATTCTGAGGAACAACGAGATGGTCATCCACCTTGGCCTCGAGGCAATGGCAGAAGTTGCGTGTTTAGAGGTGTGAAAGTAGAGAGACAGTTCTCGTGGGAATTGGGCGCGTCGGAGCTTTGCTGAAGCTCTTCAGATACCAACGTTCCCCCGCCAAAACATGAACACCTTGAATAGGGCTCTGTGACGCCACTGTCGAACATGGAAGCCTGTTTTTGTCAACAAACTCGCACGGACTCACTGTGCAGACCAGTGACTGCCAATTGTGCTTGGTTCCAGACACGGTGAATCCCACAGACTTGCCTGGAGACATTTGTCAAATATGTTGCTCAATGCGCAATGCAGCCTTGGCTCACGTTTGGTCCATGAGCGTGCTGACAGCACGTTGGGTTGGAAGGGGATGGGCGGCATATGACAAATGCATACAACTTGCCGGAAGCAATCGAAGGTTGAGGAGTTGAGGCAGAGTTGTCTTTGTGTGCGAAAGGCTGTGCCTTTGCATGTTCAGCCGGTTTGCATGCTCATTCCTCTCACGCATGCCTCAGAACCGGATATGTTCGATCGAGAATCTTGGAGCGCCTAGACTGAGCCATGGACTTGGGCGAGATCAAGGAGGCGAGGGCGGCTTTAGCCTTCCGAACTGCATGCTCCGTGATGATCTGCTACATCCTTGGAACGAGCCGCAGCTGCAAACTGGCTAAGATGCCTGGAGGCTCCTGGAGGCCTATGCCTCCCATTGCCTTTTGTATGGAGAGTGTCATCAGCGGCCATGTCAGCAAAGTGTGGAGCTGTTCATCAGACAAAAGGTACATGTCATTTCAAATCTTCACCAGAATCAGGCACTCGACAGCTGCTCGTGTGCGAAATAGGCATCAACACTGCGCGGCAACCTCTGTTTGTAGACCTAATCTTCCACGATTTCAGGCAGTTTGACTCCATGGCTTGCTTCATTGATTGCAGGCAAGAAGGTCTGCAAGCGTTTTGACCGTCCGCAAGCGAAGGATCGCCTCGGACCACACAAGCGAGGCGCTTATGAACTCGCACTCCCAGGCACGCGTCGTGGTCTGTGTACGGACACTGCCTACTTCCTAGGGACACGCGTCGAGTTGCAAGTCCTTTCTGAGAGCGAGGCAGCTTTGCTCTCCGTCATGGCCTTCATGGTTTCTACAACTCTGCTGGGCGCGACCTGCAAGATGAGCTTCACCTTGGATGCCTGGCAGCACCGGGTGTCCGCCAATGGCTTTCGGGTGTGGCGCACACTTCTTCACGAAGTCGACGGGCGATAAAAACAGCGAGTCTTGCCGAGCGAAAGGCAACCAAGGCGTTTGTTTGCAGAAGGCATGGGCATGGGCTGATGAATCTTGTTACCGTGCATACCCAGGGCTTGTCTTCGTTGGTGCTGGTGCCTTTGGGCATCGGTGTGGGTGCTGACCTCAGCTTGACAAGAGCATTTCAATCGCGTTTTCCCCAATGCCCCATGCCTTCTTTAAATCGAACGAGGTTTCCTGTGCTACCTGGTTGGTGGCATGGAGTGGCGCGCTTGGATCTTGAGCATAGGCCGGCCCGCTTGGGGAGCGGGAGGGGGAGCCATTAAAATATCATAGATATTTGGAGATTTGGAGATTCGGAGATTTGGTTTGCCGAGTTTTGTGCTTCGCTTGACTTTGCGAGGCCTCGGGGTTAGCTGCTTCCTGGCGGTGCTGTGGGGAGCGGTGGCGGAATCCATTCAGCCGCCCCGGGCCTTGCCGCTGGGACTTGGAGGGACTTGGATCGCGATTTTTTGAAGCGAGAAGCGGGATTCAAAGAGCGGGATTCCAGGTCACAAACAACGCTGCACGCATGACTTGGTTGGTTTTGAAGCACGCTTCCTACCGGCTCTTGACTTGAAGTGACATGCAGCACCTTAGGCCGGCAGGACCCCCGCTTGCCATCATGCTGCTTCCGGGTCTGGCCTTGCAACTGCATAACAACACGGATCTCCTGCTGAACACTGCTTGCCGCTCGACACCGAACACTGAAGCCTGAGAAGTTGAATGGGGGACATCAGTGACAACCACAAAGAGACTTGGCTCCCCTTAGTTTAGAATGCGGTTTGGGTCCTTTGAGGCAGAGGTTTGGCCGCTTCTAAATGATTCTCATGTCGGTGTCTTCTTGTTCTCGCCTTCAAACTGGCATGTTGCATGCCAGTTCTGTGCTGACAAAGGCCCGCCAGACAATCGGCCGCAATGTTTGAAGATCAGGCATGACTGCATACATCATCCTTGGCCTTGCTATCGCCCTGCTCTTCAGCACCCTGGCTTACAGCGAGTTCTCAAGTATTCGAGTACCCGAGTACCCGAGTACCAGGTGAGTACATTTGAGTACCTGAGTACTGTGTCACCTCTCGCCACACTGCGCACTCGGAGGCTGGCTACCCTTGGTTGGTGCTGAGCCGGCTTGGCGGCACATGCCGGCGCTGGCTGCACGTCTAGCCACAGTGCTGGCGGAGATGTGCGAGGCCAGCAGTGTTCAACGCCCACAATTTGTAACTCTTAGTCTTCGTATGTGAAAACATGTCTATCAAGTGGCGAGGTGGTGACAATTTGGCAGACGCCCACCACCGCGGCCTTGCTGCGGCACCGGGAGTGCCGCTTGAGGCACGGACTCACTGGGATTCACTTTTGAAGAGAACGCCATTTGTTTTTTCACTTTTCGTTTGTTCTTGAATCGAATTCTTGTTTCACACCTCTGAAGGGTATGTCCTGCGCAGGTTGCTCAAGACCCTTCACGAGTTTCGCCTCGCCCAAGATGCCAATGCATTTGAACTCTGGCAATCCGGAAACTTAAGTGTGACTCAGCAGAACTGAACTGTCTTGTAGCTCTCTGTGCAGCCTCCCTGCAGTATAGAATGCTGAGGGATTTGACTGGGCCAGATTCTCCAGCGCAACAGAGAGCTGCCGCCTGTCGCTGAATATGAAGTCTGAGACTCAGATGAATGAAAGCGCCAAGTCGGATCACTGGATCAAGCGCCGCAAGGTCCGGCATATTGGCATTGGGCTTTGACCCAGTGCATGAAGAAATATGGTATCGAGGACAGCTCCCAAAAGTGGAGGCCCTAGGAATGGACGGCGTCGGATGGGCGTCAGGTGGTCGTGGCCAGGACCTCTTGGCGAGGCCATGCGACAATGCTGCCTCAGCGCGTCGGCCGCACTCCGCAGCAGCTCCTCGCGGCTGGCAGCAACGGCTGGGGTGCCGCCACCTGCGCAGGCCCATCCAATTTCGAGTCGGCTTTGCGAGCTGTGGGTGTTCTCAGGCGACACGTGGTGTATATTTGTGGCATTCTTTTTGCTCGAACGCCATGAGCCTTGGCGAAGTGGGCATATTTGTGGCCTCGCAGCTTCGAATTTTAACAGTCCGACCGAAAATGCAGGTCCCAGCTGCTCCTTGGCTTGCTTCTGACCACGCCACTGCCGGTGAGTGTGAGGAGCAGTGTTCGTGACAAAACTGTAGAGCGGATGATGCATGTGTTTTGAGATGCTCGGCTTGCGAGCCTTTGTGCCCTTTGCATGTTTCACGGCTGATCTCGCAAGATGCGGGCAGTGACCTTTTGGCAAGGAGTTTCCTTTGTATGGCTTTGCGCCTGGAGGGACCTCTTGGATGGATCGTTGGACTAACTGTTTGGTCGAATTGTCCATTGGCCAACTCTTGACAAAAGAGACTTGACATCGGCACAGAGACGCAGTGCTTCTCTGCTTCGCTTTTCGGATTTCGAGGAGGCTGCCGAGAAGTGCCGCCGGGTCCTTGGCCGCTACCTGGCGGCGTGGCAGAACGAGGTGGATGGCCGGGAGCGCATCGAGGAGATCCGAGTTCCTCTTTTGTGGAAAAACAAGAAAAGAAAGAAAGAACAACAGATATGTACATAGCCAAGAACCTGGCTGAGAGACAGGCAAAGAAGGAGAACACACCGTTCTGAATGGTCTCTTTGATCCGCTGAGACGGGCACTGAGAGGGGCGTTGCTGGGCGTTGCAGGAGGCGCTGCAGAAGGCGAACCGGCCTCGCACCGGCTCCGCGTCGCCAATGACGATGTTCCTCAGCGGGAGGCACCTCGAGGCACAGAGACGCAGTCTGCTCGGGAAGTTGGGCGATGCCGTGAACAGCATTCAGGTTGGCCTGAAGAGGGGACAAGCTCTAGCATAAGTGATACTCGTATAAGTTGATATAAGATGATATATCAATTGTAAGTGCATGCTGGGGAGCCAAGTGGCTCCAGCGGCCTGCATCAACCATCCCGCTTGTCCATGTTCGGTCGAGCCAGTCCCAAGAAGTCACTGATACCTTTGGCTGCCCATCAGAGCACCAGAAGCAGAATGAGCAAGACAACCATGAAAACGCGGGCTCCTAGAATCTACACGCTCAACTTGCGTCGGTGGACTTGCGGACATGTTGCAGATTTCACTTGTGATATTGACCGTGGATGTGGCACCCCGGCACCGCGCGCTCAGGTTGGAGGCTTACAGCTGGATGAAGCGCGCATGGCAGCTTTTGATGAGGAGCCGCAATGCGGATCTATTGCATCATGACTTCCCTCCACAATTGCCAAAATCCAGCTTGTAAATACCTAAATGCCCCCATGTCAGGCCTGCCGCCACGCGGCCTGCTTCTTGGGAGTGTGCAACGCCGCAAAGGCTGCTGCAGAGATTGCCACAATCGTGGCACAGGCCAAGGAGTCACAGCTATGTATTGCCTCTCGAGCCTTTGTTGACGAGTGTTCTGGGCCCTCACTGTGCAGTTTGTTTCCGTTTCGTTAAGCCTTTGTTTTGGCGATCAACCATTGAGGAGACCTCGGGCCACTGCATCGTGGGTTGCTCCTGGCTGTCCGCGTGGCTGCGGGCGCCCTTTGCCTGCAGTGCTTGGCCCAAGGCCTTTGCCAAGGCCGGGCCTTTGGGCGCGCACGTCACTTCTGCGTCACTAGTCACTTCAGGGCCACTCGGATGTGAGGTGAAATCCTTTGCTTTCCGATTGGCCGTGGCGCAGATGATGATTGCCTTGATTTGTGCAGCTGGGCTGATGGTGCACACTCTCACCTGATTCCTATGACCCTTTGCTAAGGTCTTTGTGGAGCCAAACTCTGTGTGGCCCAGCAAGAAGGGACCCCTGTGGACTCTCTTCACCATTGTGCTGATCATCACACCTGTCCAGGGTGCATCTTGTCTCGCAAGGATCGCGAGGAGCTCATGATGTCACAGGGAAGACCCGGATGACTTCGGAACGTCGGAGTTTCGGAGATCGAGGCATCGCTGCTGCGGAGCCTGCACCGGATCCTGGGCACCTGCTTCGGCAGCCTCTTGGCGCTGGCCTCTATTGCGCTCACCGGTGTCTCGGCCTAAGGCCCAGCCATCTAACGTGCTTCCTTTTGCCAGCCGGTGCACCATACGCAGACCCGGTGAGGCACTGTGAACGCACGAACACTCTCTTCGCACATCTTCTTGCTGGCCTTGGTGATGAAGTTTTTTGAGCCGGAACCTTGCCTGTGCCAGCGTCTAGTTTCCATGCTGGAACAGAAGGCTTCGAAGTAGCGGCCGTTTTGGGCACGTGCATGGGCCCAGGAGCTTCAATATACTGGCGCAGTGCCTGAGCTACATGAGTCTTTGCCTCAGATCTCTGTGCGTGTTCACATTTCCAGGTTTCCTTCATCACCTTCATAGTAGTGATGAGCAACATATCAGATTCCACGGACTTCAGCTCGGCTGCTCGCCATCAGCTTGATGCATTGTGCAGTTTTTGAAGCGCCTATTGCAGCAAGAAGCTTCCAAAGAATGAATGCCGTCTCAGGGGGAAATCGTTTTCTTGCAGTGTCCGCAGTGTCCGATGTTGGAAGGCGCTCCCCAATATGTATCGTACCAGGGAACCTAGTGCGAATTGCCACAAGGAAACCGAGATGATTGAGCTCACATGGAGCCTGACCTTGCGGCGATGCTGTGACGTCCTTGCCGGAGTACTCGCAGCCATGGTGACTTGGCAATAGCGTGCATTGAATGGCAGCAGGCTGTCAGGGTTGCCAGGTGGACGGTTGAAAGCGTTGCAGTAAGTGGCAGTGCTTGCGGAGAGTGGGGCGTTTCGTCTGTGGCTACACTATCCAGAGCTACTCAAGCATTGTTTGTGGCGACCGGCATAGTCTTGGCGAAAGGCAGGCCAATATGTTTTTTGTGCAGTGCCATGTTCTCGTGATGCTGTCCAACGTGGCTTGTTCAAACTCAGCAAGCTCTGCTTGAGACAGCGTCGCTGTTAGTGTGGCTTCTTGAAGCCAGCATGCATTTGTTTGTGGTGTGAAGCGCGGCAACCGTCAACCACAGAGCGGTGTACTCGAAGTGCTGTTTTATTCTTCACCATGAAGTCATGGCGGTGCACACCAAAAAGTTGTCAATGGGTGGAGTATCATAGAACTCGTTGAATGCCTGGATATATCTGCTGACCGTTGTCGGCATGAGTCAACTATTTGAGGTCGTGAGCATATTCGTGGCTCCAGATCGCGCAGTGGATGCGCTGCGATTGCGCCACGCGTTTGCATGGCTTTCATGTCTTTTGTTGTCACCACGAGCCAGCTGTATGACCGTCTCGGCTCAGGCGAGGAAACTGCGCTGCAAACTGCTGCCAGCGTGATCCGCGCTGCGGCGCGGCATTTGGCGCTGCGCGCAAAAGGTCAGCAGCCTGGGGAGGAGAGAACCATTCATTCACTCGTTCTGGCCGCCAAAAAGCTAGGGTTCGGGATTTGGCAGGCTTCCAGCCAGTTTGCTTTATTATGCATTGGTTTTGGTGCAAGGCCGCAACACAATCTGAAAAGCTGCTTGCAGGAGCCCTGGAGCGAGCTGCACAAGGAGTGTGTACCTTTGCAGTTCTTCCATCACTGTCCGCTTAGTTCAAGAGACGTCCATTGCATTCAAGAATCAGCGTCCTTGGCGCGCTGGGTGCGAAGTCAGGAGACCGTTACCAGCTTCGAGGGGCTGAACTTTGGAGGTGATGGTCGGGCCGGCGTGGCCGACCTGTGCCGCAGTTGCATCAGAGTGATGTCCGGCGGAAGCAGCCTCTGCCTTTTCTCAGAACAGCTGTGCTTTTCAGGTTCTGGACGCTTCAAGCATGCATGCCCTTTTCATTAAGGGCGTTGAGCTAGTATGAGCTACATGCAAGTGGTAAGAATATATCTCCAACCCATTCCAGCTCCCTGGCTCCGGGGCAATCGATGAGCGCTGATGGAGTCAGGGTCGATTGCCGCACCGAGGTTGGCCGACGCGCGCTGGGAAAGCCGCTGGGGTTTGGATGGCGGCAAGCTGGTCCTAGGCGCGATCACAGTGAAGTGTTGAAGCGAGAATTTCAACTTAAGGAACACCTCAACTTAATTCAGTTTGGAGAAAATGGGACACTGAAGTTCCTGAAGTTACGCGACTTGCATGTCCGCTTTCCAGGCGGCTTGCTGTGGTTGCCCTGGTGCTCCAAGTCTGCGCACCCCGGCCGCCGCCGTCTGGAGGCCGGACACCGGAAACTGAAAGTGTTTCAGTCAAGGTTCACTCAGGCCGAGGTTGTCTTGTACACTCCCATTGTGAGGACAAGCTCAGTCTTAGCCCCACAACGTGCATGTTACGGTACCTTGAGCAAAGGCCTTGCTGATGATGTGTTTGTACGTTTGTGGACTTCGCTTGGACAACGCTAGGACACAATGGCCGTAGTGCTTGTGCACCGAGTTCTACCCTTGCTTGTCTGTGTTTGTGCGCGCGCATATGGATAGTCTCGCTTCCACATTCCCCTTCCCTCCTTCCCTCCTTCCCTTTCCCGCTCCGGTTCCCTCTACCAAACAGCTGCTAGAACCAGCTGCTAGAACTACTCCATCGTCCCTACCGTCCCAGCGCGCAGCTTTCAGAATTTCAAAATTTCAGGTGGTCGAGACGCTGTCACGGCTGCTGCGCCTGGCCAACTTGCTCATCTCAGTCCTGCAGCCTGGGCTCGGCGAGGCGATCCAACTGGCACAGACTGTCATGAAACAGCAGTTGCATATATATATATATATATATATATATATTTACCATACCCCTAACCCTAAAAAAACCTTTAAGCCAACCCCCCGAAAAGCAACCATTTTCTGTGCCATTTGCAAGAAACTTCCTTTGGCCTTCTTTTTCTGCACTAAACCACCCTCTTTTGTATGGGTTTTAGTACGAAGCTTTTTGATAGAGCGGTGAGCACCCATGGACTGATGTGACCATTCGTGAAGTTATAAATAGAAATTTAAAGCTCCTTGCCCCACTTGGTGAGGTTACCTGTGGCGATATTGTCTTGAAGGTGGGCACAACCTTTATGGTAGTATTGTTATCAATGAGGTTCAGGCATGCTGATGCTACTATGTGCCATCGTATTTGGTGTATGTAATACGCTTCCATATTCGCTTCCAACATATGGCGGGATGCAGTGGGATTCTTGCGAGGATGCCGAACGGCTTCTGTCCCATGACCGCCGCGTCGTGGATGCCCTCGGGCCCGAAGCCAAAGACTTCAACAAGTCGGTGGCTCCTCGGCCGAGTTTACCGTTTTTTCGCGACTGCGCTGTCACTTTGTCACTTTTGCGGGCACTTGGAAAAGTTACTTGTGAAAGAAAGCCAAGCCCAGAGGATGATGTCCTCTCATCTGCGGTGGCCATGCTGCAGATGCCGGGCCATTGTGAAACAGAGGACTTGGAGGCGGGACATGGCGCAGGCCTCGCGCCCAAAGTCCTTTTGGCAAGTGTCGGGGAAGTGCCGAAAGAACATGCCAAGGCGAAATGTTCAAAAGGGTCTGCAGACTCAGGCGCAGTTGCGGCTGCTGCTGCAGGGCTGCGCTGCGTCGCGGGTGGCAGCGGGCGGCCTGTTGCGCTCGAACCCTGCTGCGGGCGGGCAGCGTGCGCTGGGCGGCCTACATGCAGCGGCAGCGTCACTCCAACGCACGACTTGCACTCTTACCCAAAATCTTTGCCCAATGTGCAAATTCCTTTCCTTGAAAAAACGGGCAGACTGGCGACTGTTCTATGATATGCTAAGGCTAAAGCTCCTACAGGTGGCCGCGGAGTGTCTGATGCAGGTCGGCCGAGAGCTGGACGCCCGGCAGCTTCTGTTTTCTTGAAAGTACTGGTTTACCCAGAATCCCAAGAAGCGAAACACTTGCCCAATCTGCCCCGCCCAAAGTGAGACTGGTGCATGCAGGCGTGAGGTGGTCGACTTGAATAGACGGTCCTTTAGCCCGGTAGAAGCTGACACAGCTGCTCTGCGTGTTGCGCTTGCGAATCTGAGGAAGGGAGTCAAGTCCTCAGAGACAACCTGGCAAGAGAAGCGCGTCACACGCGCAGCACCATGGGCCACTCATGAAAGGGTCGCAAGGACACTGATGCATGCAATGCGTTCTCCTTTGTTTCGCTGAGCGTAGTTGGCACAAGGTGCTAAGCCCAAGCACGCCTGGTCTCCGAGCAGCCCTTGTCTCAGGAACTCAAAGTTAACTTATATTAACTGCAGTTTCGCAGACATGGGGCTCCCAGACCGAGGTTCAGACTCCGAATCAGCCAGTGATTTTCCGAGCTCGTGAGAGGCTTCAGCCACTGGGCTCAATGGCTTTGAGGCGTGGCAGCACTCGTCAAAATCCATCAGCCGCACATCGATCTGCAAGATGCAAGAATCTGTTGTCAATTTGGAAAAGGGGGGGAAGGGGGAAACCACATTGTCCACAAGGCTCCATGGCTGAGCTCTCACAGAGAGGGGCGAAGGCCTATCTCCTTAGCGCTTTCATGACTGTTTGGACAAATTAGGGCCAACAAGGCGCATGTTTCAAGTATGAGATGAGAACCAGATGCACAGATTTGCTGAAGTTTTGACATGATGTTTCCATGTTCTTGATGTAATCACGGGCTCCATTGATTGACATGCCGTGAGTATCATGCGGGCCGGTCTTTTGGGTCTTCAATTCAAAGCCTGATTTGACCCCGAAAGAGAGAGTGAGAGAGAGAGAGAGGGGTGAGAGTGAGCTTCACAAGCTTTGCATGGCAACCGCAGGACGAGTGGCTGAGCAAACCTCTAGCTTTTGCTCAAGGTGCTGGTGCGGCTGTTGCATTGCCTGCTATAGGATGTTGGAGGTTGCCCCGGATCACAGCATTTTGCGCATGCGCTGCGCTAGACACTCGGATCAGAACCGAGCTGTCTGGTTGCAAAAAGCCCGCAACAAGAGAGTAGCTCTAAGACCGCCCCGGTACATCCCAAGCACGTGTAAGCAAGATCCTGCACGGCGTAAGCTGGCGCAAGCACTTTTTGGGACACATGCTGCGTAAGCACCTGCGTAAGCTCTTCTTCGTGATTGCTTGGCAAGATTTGTAAGCATGCTCGGAAGAGTTGTTTCACACATGTGCTTATGTGTTTGTTGGTGGCTCGGGCGGTTGCAACCTAGTCGAGCTTGGCAACTTGCACCATTAGAAAACAACACCAGCAGAACTTTGATTGGGAGCTCTTGGGGCTCATGCTAGGTGCTGTTGCAACCTTTACTAGGACAAACAAAGGCTTCTGAAACCGCTGATGCAGGAAAGCCAAAGGGGCTCGGGCGCGCAAGCTCGTGTAAGCAGGCGCGTAAGGTTCGCGTAAGCTCGCCTAGCTCGGCTGCCCGCTAGCCCTTGCGATGGATGCTGCTGCTGCATAACCCGATTCTTGACTTGCAGTAGGAGAAACAGCGCCAAGCTGCTGAAACTCGCGAGGGTAGTTCTTCGTCATATTCCTCCTGAGTCATCCACATCATCTTGAACAGTTCTGGCGGCTGCATGAAGAAAGGAGCCCGCATAAGCAATTCTTGATGGGAAGCGCTCAAAATGCCGACGCGTAAGCGATGCGTAAGCTTAACATGCCGCTGACTGCCACGTAAGCCAAAACATGGGTCGCGTAAGGAAAGCGCAAGCTCGCGCAACTTGATACGACCTGGGGATTCATGGGAGGTTCATAGAGTCGCTCAGGTGGGTCCGTGCACTCAAGAATGCTTTGGCCACGAGGCCACTGGTGAAACAGGTGCTTTGCGGTGACACTTTGTGGGCCTCAGCATGATTTGGGATCATCCCGGAATGGGATTGGCCTTTCCTGCACGTGGCTCGAGCGTGTGCAAATGTTTGCTTTGATTTGAATCTTCAGCCCATGCCGTCGCTTCCTGCGGACGAGGCTGGCTGGGTCAAATTGTGAGCGATTTGGCCCCATTTTTCTGCACTGGTTGCAAAGCATGCTCAGGGCCAAGATTTGATCAGGCTTTCTGTCTAGGTTTCAAGCGTGCCGGGATGGCACGTAGCTAGTTCTCAAACATGGATGAGTTCTCGCGTCGTCTCAGTCTAGCTTTCAACCGGAAATTAGCTTGAGACGATGTACCTGCTCGGGCAAATCATCCTTCAACCAGTTAAAAAATCTGGGCTGAGCACCGTCAAAACGATTGCTAGCTGGATCCTAGATCCAACAGGAGCTGAACCAACAACGCAAGCTGTGACGCCGGGCCAGCAGGCTTCACCTTGAGGCCAAACCTCAATTCGGGGCTGGTGCTCTCACGGCCACGTCAGCGTACCTGTGGAAGACACGAACAAAAGAAGATGACCTTAACTTCACACGGAAACTAACTCGAAGCTCACCAACAACCTCAGCTTTTCTGACACCAGAAGTACTTATGCACGAGACCCACCCACGCACACACACGGCCATGCTTTCTCCGCTTTCAGCGATTGAACGGACATGAATTTAGCCCCGCACAAGCGCCGCAAGCAGCGCCATGTCTGCAAGCACAGCGACGTCTCTAAGCGCCAATTGCCCAATGCGGCATGCTGATCGCTGCGTGTCTTGAGAGCAACCCGCAACGTGGCACGCCACAAAATATACCAGCAGAGCCGACGAAGCCGGTGGGCGGAAGTTTCAAAATATACGAACTACAATGATTGCTTTGTGTCTTGCTTTCTTTCGTTTTCTCTTTTACTTTCTTCTTTCGTTCTTTCTGCCGTTGCTTTTGTCCTTCTTGATTCTCCCTTCTTGCTTTCTATCTATCTATCTATACATCTATCTACCTTCCGATCTGTTTACACATTAATCTCTATCTATCTGAGTGTCTATCCATCCATCAATCCATCCATCTATCTATCTATCCACCTACCTATCCATCAATCTATCAATCTATCTATCCATCTATCCATCTATCCATCTATCCATCTATTCATCTATCTATCTCTCTCTTTGTATGTGTCTCTGTTCCCTTCTACCTATTTATATTACCTATCTATCTTTCCTATGCATGTATGTATCCATCTCTAATTTATATTTTTATCCATGTATCTACCTGTCTAGCTATCTAGCTATCTAGCTATCTAGCTATCTAGCTATCTAGCTATCTAGCTATCTAGCTATCTATCCATCTGTGTTTCCCTACCTATGTGTATTACCTACTCATTTATCTATCTATCTATCTATCTATCTATCTATTTATCTATCTATCTACTTATCTACGTATCTATTTATCTATTTAACTATCTATCTATTCATGCTTCCTTTCTCTCTCTCTCTCTCTCTTTCCCTATCTTCTTATGCATTCGACCTATTTACCTATCTATCTATCTTTCTATCTATCTATCCATCCATCTATCCATCTATCCATCTATCCATCTATCCATCTATCTCTCTATCTATGCATCTATCCATCTATCCATCTATCCATCCATCCAACAACTCTCTCTCTCCAAATCTCTTTCTCTTCTATCTATCTATCTATCCATCTGTCTGTTGCCAAGTTCCTTGCAAGCTTCCTTTGGTTAACGCCCGCAAGCCTTTTGATGCGGCATCACAATCAAAGTAGCAGCAGTTGCATCAAGGGTGAGACACGTGCATTGAGTGCAACCCCCTAGCAGCCAACACTTCCCTGTCTATCATTGACTCGTACTCCCTGTTCATTGTGCGTAGGTTTTCTCTTTGTTTTTCCGTGTTTTCAGGAGGGGAACAACATGCCGGAGAGCAGTGACATTGACCTGGCAGCTGTGCTGAAAAGACTGGCTGACCAAGAGCAGCGAATCCTCGAGTTGGAAAGGCGTTGGGAACAAGCGCAAGTGGCCTCTGTACCGGGGCCAAACAGCGCAGAGGGGAATTTCGAGAAACCATGTGACGTTCAAATTTTGGCAGCGGAAGATCAGCAGGCAGACGCGGATGTTGACCCGGATGTTGCTACTTATGAGTTTGACACCTCCATGTGGGATGCAGCTCTCCTAATATTTGTTGGCCATTCAACCGCTATGGACAAGATCGTCCTCTTTCTGGGTTGTGCCACAAACTTGGCGCTGCAGGTGGCTTTGCTCTGCACTGTATTCTTGAATATGCTCGAAAACGATTTCACAGATGAGACTGTGCAAGGAATGCTGGCTTGGCGTACGAAAGTAGGCCACCATGAAACAGAATTTGATGATAACACTGGTGACAGCTTGATCACAAAGTTGTGTTCGCGCTCTGATTGGTCATTTGAGCAGGACCAGTACAAACAAATGCACGATTATCTCTACAAACCGATGCCTGGAGTTGTTCTCAGTGCGTTGGCAATCGTCCTGTGGGTTCTGACCGTTATGGTGGAGTACCGCCGCTGTGTGGAGCAATCCTTGGCCGTGATTCAACTTCCAGCCCGTGGAAGCAAGGAGTTCATGGCAACCGAGCAGGGCACCATGAAGCTGCAAGGGATCCGCCCTGCACAGCGGATCTTCGCCCTCACGTTTCTCACCTTGCCCCGGCTTGCCGTCATGTTCTTCTTGGCGATCACCGGCTGTCAGTATCTGGCTCAAACTGTAAACTTGTCGGATATCGTGCTGAATGCGGTGGCCCTGGCCTTTGTTCTAGACGCTTGGCAAGCATTTTGAATCTTGAGCTGCCCGCGTTTGCAGCTTTGCCAATTGGCCCATGCTGGCCATTGTTGCAATTCTGGTCATGGCTGGCTTTCAAACCAAGCCAACCAATTTGTGTTGCCAATTTTGCTCATTGTGGAAGTTTTGGCCAGAGGTATGTTGCAGCCCTCTGCAGGATGTGGACGAGCTCGTTGCAGACGTCTTCCTCACCGAGAACTTGAGGTCGTTGCTGTCCAAGGTTGAGCCTCTCAGCTGTGGCAAACCGCACAGGTGGTTCCCAGCCAAGGATATCATCAGGTATGTCATCACAGCAGGCCAGGGTTTATCTGTTTTTTTCCCCGCCAGCATCATCTCTCTGTGTAGCACTTGCAGCCAAGACAAAGCTTCATGTCACGAACGCATGTCGTCCCTGCCAGGACTCGTCATCACTTCATTGTTCGTTTGGCTGTCGCCCTTCAACCTCAGCGTTCAAGCTGCTGCCATGGCTTTGTGCAGCGGTCACCAGGACTTCAGCTTCGAAGGGGGCACCGTAGCAGAGCCTGCGTTGATCCTGCAACCCAAGAGCTTCGGGAGCGATCCATGGGCGGCTAGCTGCACCCTGGCTGAACGCCGTCTGCTTCTTCGCAGTACTGTTTTATGCTGATTAGAGTTCTCAAACAGGTTTGCAGGTCAACCCATTCATCCCGAGCATTGTCGGTGAGGATAGACAAACTTGAAGGGGAGTAGCCTTGGGTAGTTCCTGGCTGACCGAAATGCCATGCTTTTTTGGCGTGTAATTAGGGTTTCATGTCAGCTCCAGTCGACCATTTCCAAAGAGCTGCGGGCATTTTTGAAAGCAAGTGTGCTCCATGGGGCTTTCCCTGGCAGCATCCTTAACTTGCCCAAGCTTGCAACCCATGGTGGAAGCATCCAGGGTTCAAGATTCAAAGTACTTGGTTCTAGGCAGAGGTCTGCTTTTGAGCTGCAAGCTGCTTGTGGTGTATCATTAGATGGATGCTGATTTGAGCTGTCGAATCCTGACCTTGCTCTTGACTCGCTTCCCGTTTGCCTGTTGCTCATCTGAGGCAATGGTCTGGCTGAGGATTGGTACTTGAAAACATACTACGGAGCGGAGTTCAATGTGTCAAATTCCTTGGCAACGAGAGCGTCATCTCTGGAGTCCAAGCGCAAGGATCACATCTTGAATTTCGCCTTTGGCCCCTTCTCAGTTGGAACGGTTGCTGCCTGCGGTCCGGGCAAAGTCCTACGCCCGCAGGCAGCTGACGGGGCCAGGCAATGCGTTGATGTTCCAGAAGCCTTGAAAAAGAACCTTCCGTCATCCGTGAAACCTGGAGAGGTGGCAGCTCCGCCCAGCTGTCCACGCTTCGAGGCAGCAAACGGTTGCGGCCAGGTGACACTGCCAGAAGTTTGTCTGTGGACATGGCTCTCGAAGAAATGTGATCTCAAGCCTCCGGGTCAGGTGTACACTGAGGCCTGTGATGTTTCCACCCCCCTAGATGTGTCCTGCCGGCTGTGGCAAAATGTCTTCAACCAGTCGCATCCAACTTTCAACTGCATTGCCACGGAGCACTGCAGCAGGCCTTGGAGCTGTTTGACAATGATCGGAGCTCTTAGGATTGGCCTCAATGATACTTCGCAGCTCGCCCGGGCGTATGGATACGGGTCAGACTATGCATCAGCATTGGGCGAGCCTTTTGTCAAAGCGTTGCCGGTGCTGGGCGTCTCGAAATTCGGCATCACTGACCCTGGCAGCAATTTTATGGATCTCCCTGGAGACGACGAAGCTCAAGGATATGTGGAGTTCCGTTTTGCCATTGAAAACATCGCATACACAGTTTCTCCTCTCCACGAGGAACTCGGAACGAGCTCCTTTGCAAGACTCATGACGGACTTTTCAGACAAGCCGCTGAACTTCACCTCAGCAAAGCTGGTCTCTTACGAATACATGAGCGCAACCGTCTTTGCCGAGCGCTTCCCCCAATCTCGATGATGCACAGCTTGTGGGAATTATGTTTGAGCACTCGCACTGTGAGCATGTTTGTGGCACTCTTTTCGTTCTCTTTCTTTCTCTCTCTCTCACTCTCTTGCTTCAAGTCGTCTTGAAAACAAGACGGCTTCACCACATCAGATGCTTTGACTGCTTCATGTAGCAAGAAAGACTTGAGCGAAGGCTGATTTGGCTGACGTAGCAGGATTCGGCTAGCTTCTGCATGCCTGGTAGGTCTGCGATGTCTGTGCGGCTGCATGAGTCTTCCTGCCACCAACAACCACCTTTCAACCACCTTTCAGCAGCGCGCATACAGCAGCCCTCACAGAGAATGCACAATCAGGTCGCTGCTAATCCATTTGGCAACTCAGCACAGCTTCATTGCGAATGTCTCCAGCTGTCTTCGCACAAATCGAAGCACATATGTCAATGACAACAAAGACGAACTCTGAATTTGGTGTCGGTGCCTTGCCATGGACGTTGGCAAGATCAGGCAGGCTAGAGCGGCTTTGGCCTTCCGCACCGCGTGTTCTGTGCTGATATGCAGCATTCTTGGTACGAGTCTTGGCGGCGGTCGTTTGCGCGTTTTGCGTATGAGTCACACGTGCATTCCCGCTCAGGATGCTTGCCGACACTTTCAAGGGGTCCTTTCTTCACTCTCAGGCGCCGGGGCCACCGGGGCCACCGGGGCCACCGGGACCACCGGGTTGAGTGAGTGCGGAGTTGGGCACCGCGCCAGGCTGCCCTGGCGCCCATCATGGCCTTTCTGGTGCCCGCGACTCTGCGAGGGGACACCTGCAGGGTGAGCCTCACCTTTGCCGCACGGCCAAGCATGGCTAGGCATGGAAAATGCTCGGCTTCGGACATGGATGTGCCGTGCTCCGCTTTGCCAAGGTAGTGTCCTCCTTCGTTTTTGTGCCCTTGGGCATAGCCATAGGCATTGACCCCAGATGGCCGGTTGAGCTTGCGCCTTGAGCTTGCGTGCTGTTGGGTGCAGTTTGCTTTGACCCGACAGCCCTGAGGTTTTCTGTGCTATCTCATCGGGGGCTCACAGTGGCGACCATGGATTGTGAGCCTAGGCCCTGTGTTCTCGTGACGTGGTCGCTTCGTGCGCCGCCTCTGCTTCGCTGCTTCGCAGGTGTTGGCTTTGGCAGCTTTCTGGCAGTGCTGTGGGGCACCGCGGCAGAACTCATCCAGCAGCCTCGGACGCTGCGCCTGGGACTTCAGTCATACGATGCGTTCTTCCAAAGGCTGGCGACTGACGCCCAAACCATGCTGCAGACAAAGCATTGTTCAAGCTGCCCCAGACATTTGGCATCCTACCTGTACAGTACTAGTTTCCACGAAGTCGGTATTGATGTAGATTGCTGCCCCCATTAAGTCTTGCACAATTTGAACCAGGCTCCCAAGCCTGCGATGCGAAGGGTTACAACTTACAACCTCCAGTAACCTGCCAGGGTTTCCGCCTGAGGATTGTGGGCAGCCCTGTGGCCCTCATACTGCTGTTGCTGACTCCAGCTTTGGCGTTCAAGCAAGATGACAACGTGCGGCTGTTGCTGGACACGGCCTGCGGCTTGGCATGCATTGCGAGCTTCCAACAAAGCCCGTGTTTCTCCAAGGTTTTCTCAATTGATCGCAAAGCGCTCCGCTGCAAGTGAGCACTCCGGGCCCTGTGCCAGGCCTAACAGCAGCTGTCGTTGTCGGCTGCCTGATGTCCTTGGCCCTCAGCGACCTGTCTCAAGCTGAAGATCAAATGCCTGGATGGGCAGTCGTGGAGCATTAGAGTGTGCACAGATTGCGGGTCTGAGGCCACTTGCCCTTTGGTGTCGGTGCAGAGCCAGCTACGCGGCACGTGCCAGCGCGAGCGGCGCGCAATGCAGCTGCTTTGGCGGACATGTTTGAGGCGCGGTAGCTCCAGACCATTATTCCCCAAACAGCTTAGCTGTTGGTGTTTTCTATTCATAGAAAGAAATGCTCCCAGACACGACATAATTGCTGACTCGGACCTTGTCACGGCTTATCTCCCCACTTGTCGACCTACTTGCCTCGCTGCGCTTGTTCTTGGTGATGGCTTCTCTCCCCACTTGTGGCCCTACTTGTCTCCTCACTTGTCCCCCCACTTGTCCCCCCACTTGTCTTTTTGTTTGTGCCTTCTGATTCGGACCTTGTCAAAACGGCTTCGTTGGAAAGCAAATTGCCATGGCACACTAGTAGGGCTTTGCAAGCGTTGGCCAGGCTGTGGCCATTTGGCAGACACCCAGCACTGCTGCCTTGCTGCGCCACAGGGAGTGCCGCTTGAGGCGCAGACTGCGCTGGATAGAGCGGAAGGCTTGCGTTTTTTCTTAAAGAGTCATTCGACTTTTCGCCACTTGGCAGGCTGCTGACGGCTTCCCACGGCTTCCGCAGTGCCTGCAGCTCCAGCGCTTTCGAGCTGCGACCTGGACTGGGGGTGCCTCGTCTCGGAGTGGACCAGGAAGGCAGAATCGTCGTTTGCAGCAGTTGGAGCTTCACCCAATCTGCCCCTGTCTGAGAGTCTGAGAGTGCAGCAGCCTCATAGGCCCGTAAGGCCTACGAGGTGAAGTTGCCCCCCCCAAAATTTTTTCCCCCCCAAGGTTGGGTGCTATCAGGTCCTAGATGACCTTTTGGGAAAGCCTTGGCCTCAATGACTCAACTGCGAGGCTTGGGAGAATTGGGAAAGCTTCGCCGATGCTGCGGAGAATTGTCGCCTGGCGCTGCAGCTGAAGCCCAGAGCTCAGTAGCTCAGAATACGCGATCACAAGGCAGGTGCCTTCCCAGGTCTGGCATGCTGTCGTTGGGCTTCAGCCCTGTCGCCATCAAACTCTGGTACCAAGGACTCTGTTTCCATCCACGTGACACACGTGCCTCACCTTGCCACCCCTTGCGTTTGCAGAAACCGCCAAGAATCGCCACACTTCAAAGATCTATACATGCGTAATTCATACACGACTATACGTACGCAGATCTATTCAGACATATGACATGACATACACATGTGCTTCATGTGCTTGATGCGCGCAGGACACGTGGGGGAGGCCATGCGGCGCAGCTGCTTCAGTGCCGCGGCCGCGCTCCGCAGCAGCGCCTCACGTCTGGCGTCGCTGGCGGGGGCGCCGCCCCCTGCGGAGGCGAACGAGGGCTCAAGTTGCTCAATTTGTCACAGGTCCAACCATGTGGCGTTTTGACAGGATTCCTCTGCACAACACGAAGCACTCACAGTCCCTCAGGTTCCATCGGCTCCCTGGCTGACCTCCGACCACACCACTGCCAATGACTGCCAGGCACTAGCAGAGGTGACAGTTCGATAGAATCCCTGGAATTCTCAAGATGAGATCGACTCGGAATTGTTTACCTTTGGACTGCCTGGATTTGAACAAGCCTTGCAGGAGGCTGCGACGCTCTGCCGACATGCCATGGATTCCTACTTGGACTTCTGGCAGCGAACCTACCTGAACCACACAGACACCCGCTGGCGCCAGCACTTGGAGGCCCGAGGTTGCAAGAAATCATCCAATGATCAGATTGTGTGTTGGGAAACCAAGCGCACAACATCGAATTGCGCGCTTAGCTTCGGCATTCACGCACCAGGCGGTGTTGTGCCCAGGAGCAATTAACAAGCGGTGTCTCTTGATGAAAGCTCATGCAACCAGGGAAATCTTGCGGTTCACACTGTTGGTAGCGGCCCGACATTGGAACACTCAGACACGGGATGGTTTGGTCTGAGAATGTTTGTGCTTTTGAGCTGAGGGCTTGCAGGTGCAGATGTATGATATGTATGGAAGCATTTTTTGCTGTCTCTGTGGCTTCAGACTGCAGGAGGTGATGCTGAAGGAAATGACTTCCTTCGAAACTTTGGACGAGACTCCCATGCAGATGTACTTGAGTGGCAGGCATCATCTGAAGGAAGACAATGCGCCGGGCCCAGTGAGTTTTGCTCGTGCTTTGGGCCAGCGGAATGTCATGGCCCGGCCACGCGGCCACATCTTTGCCCCATGGCTCAAAGCCGAGGCAGAAAGCTGGCAGCTGGATGCTGCGCGACTGGCTGGATTTGACGAGGTCGGCAACTGAGGGGTCGTCAGAAAACCCCGTCTCTTGTATATAGTCTATCGCGGAATATAGATATAAGAAATCTCATCCCAAACATATGAAAACATGACGTAGGCGCAAGAAGGCGCAAGGGCGGGCGCAAGTGCTGCCACTACTAGCTCCACTATTACTACTACTACTACTACTACTACTACTACTACTACTACTACTACTACTACTACTACTACTACGATTATTACTGCTGCTACTACTACTACTACTACCACTACTACTACTACTACTACTACTACTACTACTACTACTACTACTACTACTACTAATACTACTACTATCACTACTACTACGCGGTATTATAATTAAAAGTATTGCAAACTATTGTTTCTGCTGCTGCTACTACTATACTGCTATAACGCCCCGACCGCGCGCGCGGCGACCGTGCGGCGGCGGCGCCGCGCGTTGAGGCACGAAGGACAATACCTGGACTCATGGCAGTCAATTTTCAGCTGTTTTGCCCGTCGCCCGTGAAAGTGCCATGGGATGTTTCAATGTGTCACGTGGCGCCCAGAGTTTGCATTCAGCATGCGAGCTCTACCCGAGGCCTCCCGCCTGTCAGCCTGCCTTGTGGGCGTGTGCAATGCTGCAGAAGCGGCTGCCCAGATGGCGGAACTTGTGGCTGAGGGCAAGGAGAAGGACGAATCAGAGCGATGTTGCAAGCGTCTCACGTCGCCGATCGCATGTCTCAGCATTTACTCACGAGTGCCTTTGGCTCAATTTTGCAAGCAACTCGAATTGGCAAAGAACAATAGACATTCACCTAGAGCTTTGCTTGGACTGATTTTTGGGGTTGGCAGTCCTGGGCGGCAGCCTGTACAATTTCAACAACAATGACTCTTGCTCCCTGTCTCTGTTGGGTAAACCCGCTCAAATGGGTCCTTACGTGTTTGTGCTCGACGCATATCTGCTATTTACCGAGCAGCAAATCTAAGAAACTGTGAAAACGCGCAGCCCCTCCCCACAAGCTTTTGGCGGATGTATACATTCAGCTTTTGACAGATCTCGAGTCTTTGCATTTAAACAGAGATGTTTTCTCGGGAGTGACTCGAGAGGAGCCACGTGGGCAGATGCGCTTCAGCTGCCACGTGGGTCTCCGCGCCTGGCTGCAGGTGCCGCTGAGCTGCCGCCCCTGGCCCGCGGCTTTCGCCAAGGCGGGAAGAAATTGGACGCGGGAAGGTTCAGAGCCTGAGCCAACTTACGTCATTTATCCATTTCCATTTCCATTTCCATTTTATTCTTCATTCATTCCATTCATTCATTCGTTCGTTCATTCGTTCGTTCATTCATTCGTTCGTTCGTTCATTCATTCGTTCGTTCATTCATTCGTTCGTTCGTTCATTCGTTCGTTCGTTCGTTCGTTCATTCCTTCGTTCGTTCGTTCGTTCGTTCATTCATTCATTCGTTCGTTCGTTTGTTCGTTCATTCGTTCGTTCGTTCGTTCGTTCATTCGTTCGTTTGTTCATTCATTCATTCGTTCGTTCGTTCATTCGATCGTTCGTTCGTTCGTTCGTTCGTTCGTTCATTCATTCATTCATTCATTTGTTCGCTGGTTTTAGCCAGTTTTCAAGCTTTGCCCATCTTTGCCCTCACCCGTCCGTGCGAATCCGGCAGCTCCAAGGGACAAATCCTTCAGAGACATAGCACGTGGGAGTCTCAAGGCTAAGTCCTTTGGCTTCCGCGTGTCCGTCGCTCTCATCACGATCTCGCTGATCTTTGCTGCATGCTTGCACTTCAGGCAGCCCGGGCTGGCTTGGATATGAGGAAGGGGGCCTGCATCAAAACCGGGGCGCTTTAACGACTGCAATGCCTTTTCCGCCATGCCGTGTATCAAGCAGCGCCAGACTAGACTTGTCTGTACAGATGCTGAGGCCTTGGTCGAGCCGAATGCGGTTTGGCCAAGCGAGCAGGGCCCTTTGTGGACACTCCTCACAACAGCACTGATCATAACGCCAGTGCAGGGCGTGCCTTGACGGCACAAAGTGATATTCATGTACACCCGGAGCCAGTTGCAGTGCAAACCTCAAAGACGGTCTTTGCCTAGTTCTTGTGAGGATAAAACAAATCCTCATATCTAAACAGACAACATGCGCAACATGTACTGCACATTCTTCATTTTTCTGGGGTGAGGCCTCGCTGCTGCGCGGCCTGCGGCGCATGGCGGGCACCTGTATCGGCAGCGGCTTGGCATTGGCCTCCGTGGCGCTGGGCGCCGGTGCCTTGGCCCAAGTCGAGATGGCAAAAACGGGACGAGATGGTCGCGATGGACTGACTCGGCTTGACTTAAGGACTGAGAGAGACTGAACAGTTTTCGTGGCTGAAAGAGACTTACGTCGAAGCCTGGGCTGTTTGACATGCAAAAGCCAATGTCATTACTGCGAGCCAAAGCATTCTAGCCGAGCTGAGGCAAGCCAGACATGAGACAGCTCTTTGCGCACGAATTTATGCTGGTCTTCGCTCTCAAGTTTCTAGAGCCAGAATCTTGCCTGACTGGTCTGCCAATCGCTCCAATGACATCTGGATACTCCCCATCCTTCACAGGTCCTTACTTTGTGACCAACCCCAGCAGCCGAGGAACTGCAGTATGCTGGAGCTGTGCCTTAACTAAAACGGCGATCTGCCTTGACTCGTCCGTTGAGTCCAGTCATCTTCCACCGCCAAATCTATCACGAGCACAAGTGGATGGATGGCGACAGGCAAAAACAGCCGAGGTCGCTTTCGTAACATATGCAGTGGTGATCAGCGGTTTGTTCGACTTGAACAACTTCGATAGCCTTGCCGCTCGGCCGACATGTGAGCCGCTCATTTGGTCGGTACGGGCATGCTGAGCTTGTTTCTTGTCCAGGACTGGGAAGCCAACTGGATTCAGCTCACTGGCGAGCTGGCGCTTCGCAGGTGCTGCGACGTCGGCATGGGAGTGCTGGTCGCTGCGGCGCCATGGCAAGTCCCAGTTTCGAGCCCTGCGGCTTTGTCTCCGTGTCACACGTGTCACCTACGGTCTTGAACTTGAACCGCGTCACTTGAGGTGGTGAGCATCTTTGTGGCGCCAGATCGTGCGACGGACGAGCTTCGGAAGCGCCGCTGGAAAGCATTAAAGATTTGGGCGGGTGCAGGAGCAGAGGCATAGAAGAGAACTGGCAATGCTTTTACAGGGAATTCACGTTGCGGATCTTAATCGACTGGCTTGACAGGCAGATAGAAGTAAACGAGGGCGGGATTTAGTCAGTAGTCATCTTTGTCGGGACAGTTTTGTGTGTTTTTTGGATTACGTTTGCACACACTTACACGCATCGCGCGCATCCGCGGAAGAGCTGACTGAATTCGGTGCTTTACACCCCAAGGCGAGGAGGAGGCTTTGCGGTGCGCCGCCTCTGTGATCCAGGCTTCAGCGCGGCACCTCGCATGGCGAGCTCAGGGCATTGAGCGGCAGGAGTGGGCAGCGCATGGGCAACGCATGGGCAACGCATGGGCAACGCATGGGCAGAAGGCTTCCATTCATTCCATTCGCGGATGGGAACGAGATGGACCAGAAGCTCCCGAGACGTCCCGAGACGTCCCGAGACGTGCCGGGAGTAAGGAGGTGCAGAAACCAGGCAGTGAGCGACCATGCGCTGCAGGCTTGGAGCAGGTTGCTTCTTTGTCGCTCAAGACCAGGTGCACAAAGCTCGTGGGGTGGTAAGATGTGTTGATCCAAAGCACATCGGACTATCAGTTCAATGCTCTCTTCTCAAGATGTCACATGCCGGCTTTGCGATTTGACTTAGATGGAACAGGAACATGTCTGAAATTCATATATGCAAACTGTGGGTTACTAGATATGATGATCCATGGTCTCTACACAACGTCTGAAAACAACTCGGCATGAAAGTAAAAGCAATGTTTGCCATTCGATCAGCATCTCTGAGAAACTACGGCAGTGGCATAGGAGCGTCAAAAAGCAGACTTCGTGGCTTTGTGAGACGCATATTTCATATGGCATTCCACCGAGACGCTCCTTCTCATGCAGGAGTCCTGGACTGAGATGCGCAAGGAGACCGTGCAAAGCCTGTGATGTCCGGGCTTCTCGCAGTGCTACATGTGAAGCTAGTGAGTCAGTGCGAAGGAACGCAATAAATGAGTAAATCAGATGAGAGAAGCATTGCGTGCTACTTTCAGGAGACTTGGAGTAGCTTCGAGGCTTTGAACTTTGCAGGCGACGGCTTGCCTGGCGTGGCCGACCTGTGCCTGGGTTACACCGAGCACATGGGGTTGAGATGTCAAGACTTGAACGGACTACTCCAGCCTTTTGCCTTTCAGTTGGCAGTTTGGGGAAGACGTGCGGCGTTTGGTGAGGCTCGAAGACGTACGCTGGGAGAGCCGCTGGGGCGTCGATGGCGGCATGCTGATTCTAGGCGCGCAGCTCACCGATTTTGCTTCCATGAAGCCAACGCAACCGACTCGAAACTCGTTGACTTGAGGCGACTCGTTTCTCTTTTTTCCTTCCGGAAATGGAGTTGATTGCACGCTGACCTTGGGCCCATTGGCAGAATCCAGGCGGCTTTCTGTGGCTCCCCTGCCGGTCCAAGTCCGCACCCTTGCGCGGCCGTCAGTGCCTGGAGGCCATGGATGTTGAGGATTCATTGGGAGTCTGGGAGCTTTGCATCTTTGCATCTTTGCATCTTTGCATCTTTGCATCTTTTCATCTTTGCATCCTTGCATCTTTGCATCTTTGCATCTTTGCATCTTTGCAAGTGAATCGCTGATGCCCTGGCGGATTTCGCTTGTTGTCTGTTTTGTTTTATTTTAATACACACCCCAAGCTTGACGCGCTCTGTCGCAAGTGAGCATATGGCCATCAGGCGGTGAAGGAGCTGTCAAGGCTCTTGCGCACGTCGCACTTGCTCATCTCCGTTCTGGAGCCTGGACTTGGCGAGGACCTGATTGGTTGATCTCTTTGGCAAACTCTGTGTGTGACTGCATGGACATGAGAGGCTAGACGGTGTGAAGCAGCATGAAGGCGTTCCAATTGAGTTGAGGACGCAGATCGGCCGTTGGCCCATGACAGCCGTGTTCTGGAGGCCTTGGGCCCCGAAGCTGCAGACTTCAACCAGCTGCTGGTGGCTTGGGTGCACAGGCGGTGGGAGTTGCAGCCATGCCGTTATGCCGTTGAGACATCAGCATGGCATATCCAGTGCTCTGGGCCAGCCTGCCATGCTTTCCCACCCTGCGGGGTATAGACTTATAGCAGACTACACTAAACTGAAAGCCGTATATCAAAAACAGAAACCTAGGAAGGTGCCGAGACATCCGAGGACCAGGTGCTTTCGTCTGCCTCGACGTCAAAGTGTGCCAGCCTTGCCGAGTTAGAGGCTGGACGCAGAGCACAGCAAAAAGGGAGCAGATCAGATGGGTCAGTGATATTCGATGCACGGCAGTCCGCAGACCTGATCCCATCCAGTGTTCGAAATGGCAATACCCGAAATTGGTGAACTGGTTCTGATTGGAGATTCCTCTTCAGATTTCTCTTCAGATTTCTGGACATGCGCCATAGGAGCGGCTACATCTGCTGATGCAGGGCTGCGCCGCGTCGCGGCAGAAGGCGGGTGGCCTCATTGGCCCCAAGGCGCTGGGCGGCCCCCGCGCGGCTGCGGCGTGGCCCGGCCGATGTTGGCCCAAGCCCACGCCACGTGTCAGACCTGTCACTGGCGCGCGGTCACGAGCTCTGAGGCTGAAGCTGCTGCAGCAGTGTGTTCAGATCTTGGCGCAAGTGTGCAAGAAGATGGATGCCTGGTTCAGAAAGCAAACGACTTGGAGTGCAAGGCGTCATGCTGGGCAGGAATGTACCGCAATGTTTGGATGTTTGCCCAAAATATTCCTATCGTGACAGCGTGTCACTTCCTCCCAATTCACTGTTGCTGATTCTGCGAAGGTCAACAAGAACCGGTCGTGACCCTTGACACTACCTAGCCAAATTCCAATTCCAATCCTGTTATACCTTTGCATCATTTGACGACAATCACGGCAAGAGGCTCCCGCAAGCAAAGCTACTAGCACATGTCTTCCAATCATGTCGTGAGATGGTGTCAGATACTGGGGGACTTAATTAGCTGGTCTGTGCACAAGTTTAAAGCCATTCTGATCAAGCCATTCTGATCATGGTGGAACATGGAGCTTCCATTGGCTTCCCGTTGAGGGAACGCAGATCAGCTAAGGAAGGTTGCAACAATTCATCAAAGGCTGAGTCGTCGACGACGCTGGATCAAAATTTACCGGCACTCGCTTGGATGTTGCGCGCTCCGGACTGCCCAATCTCGACGTGCCAAGGATTTCACACATTGAGTCTCGCACATCGTGGAGTCTGCAATCAGACACAAAACTGCAGTGATGTGCATGCCACGTGTTTTGCGTATGTAAGCCAGAGTTGCAGCCATTGTTGGGCCAATCCTGAGCCAAGGGCCACGATTTTGCCTGACAGGACTTCTGTTGTTTGCCGGATGAATAGCGCCGCGTGCATCCAAGGAATCCGGCTCAGAATTGAAGGATGGGGTTGTGACGACAGAGCTGCCGTGTATGTTGCATCCAAGACAGAGTCAGGGGTTTGGATGTAGCTTTCCCGCGCGCTGTTGACTCTGTGGAAGCATTGGCGTGTGCAGCCCTTCTCAGGACGCTTTCGCAGTCTGAGCGCATCGCCACGTCGCGAGAGGTCACACCGCCCCGAGATCAACCTCTGGCCACTCACTTGGAGCGGCCGTGGGTGACTGCTCACTTGAGGGCGCGAGTTTTGTGCCTGCGGCACTAGGAACAGGATACATTTTCGAAGGGTTCCCAATGGCGGGCCTTCCAAAGTTGGAGGCTGAGAGAGCTCTGCTCACTGTCCCCATGCGTTTGGTGCATGCCCATTGCAGCGATCCAGGACGGTTATACAGTACAACTTTTGGCTAGTGCAGGAAATCTGCTCTGTCAGTATTTCGGAATCAAATGAGCAGTCCACTCTCCAGACTCTAGACCTTTTTGCCGCTGCCCGAAAGTGTCGCACTTGTAAAGTAAATCACTTGTACAGAGAAATCAAGACAACCAAATGAAACCATGACAGGCTCACAAATGTGACCTGATCTGTACAGAGGCAGAAAGGAAAACCATCGCCACGGCGGTGGGGGGTGCGCATGAATTGATCCTTCGCCTTTGCCACGCCTCTTGCAAGGGCCTCCGCATATTCCCATATTCCCCATCGGCCTCTTTCTCTTTGTGGGGGGTGCCGCGCAAACAAAGTACAACCCAACCGTTTGGTGAGAAGTTCGAAAGTCGAGAGCACCACCCACTTTTGCACAAACGCATGATTTAGTTCTTGGAATCCTTTCTAAATCATGACGTTGGCACATGTTTCGCCCGTGACTCTCCGGCCCCGATACTTTTAGTATTTTTGTGGAACTTCGTTATCGCAGGGTTCACGCACACAGAAACCCTCCTGACATGGAAACTGATAGATCATTTCCTTTGGCTTAACGCACCAGCTTCATCTCCCTGTCCGAGCACGGCCAGGCACTGAACCGCTTGGCGTGCGAGAACCCCACCATGCTGGACGAGCTCGCACGCTGGGGCGGGCGTGAGCTGATGGAAGATGTTTGGGGCTCAGCCTCGACGCACAGCGTTGCTTGGCAGTGACTGAACGTGCTTGGTCTGAATTTCTTGGACAGACTGCGTGCAGTTCGAGCCAATGCTATGTGACTTCTTCATTTTCCCTTTGGAGACCCGAGAATGCATTGATCAATGAGACTACCTTGGAGTGGCCAGATCGGCTTGCCCAAGACAGGTGGAACTGGAGTGGGCACAGAAAGACAAGCAAGGATCCTAGCGCCACGAAGCCGACAGCAAGCAACTTGCCGAGTCATCAGCCTTGAGCTGGCAGCTTGAAAGTGGCAACGTGAATGCGCTTGTGCTTAGGATGATTTACTTGCATGTGCTAAATCTACGACGGCGGCTAAAAAAAACGAAGGCCAGGCCATGTTCATGAGGAGCAGGTGCTGAGAGGCTGCGCATTCTTGGCGGTGTCGTACAGACTGCGCATGCTTTTGTCAGTTTTATCTTTACACCTGAGGTCTTTACTACTAATGTATTTACTTCCGCCGAGTGTGTATCCATTCATGTGGCAGGTGAAGTCAGAGAGAGCAAAGAAGCCCGTGCAACTCCCAGGATAGCGCGGTTGTGGGACGCAACTCGTTCTCGCATGGCACGAGGTTCCGCTGCCTCCAGAGGATGTCATGCGGATCCGCGGGCAACTCGACTTAGAGATCGGGGCATCGGGGCATCGGGGCTCAGAGCGAAGCAGATGGTGACAGCGAGGTGCTTTGAGGCTGTAGATGGGGACGGCACTGGCCAGATTTACGAGGACAGGATGCCGTTCGCCAGAAAACACAGCGAATATTGCGCTCCACAGTTTATAGTTGTCAGACAACTGGGCGCAGAGGCAGAGCTGGGCCTTGCCTTCCAGATGATTGGGATGAAGTGCTCCCCTCAGAGTCGTCCACGAAGATGTCGTTTAGAGGCTAGTGTCAGTCCATGTCCAGTTTCCGAGGCTAGATGCCAAAGAGCTGCACGAGAAGTTTATGAAGGTGCGCAAGTCTCCCGATGGCTGGCAAAGACACGCCGCTCGCAGGCAGACCTCACAGGAACCGGAAGCCTGGAATGGCCTGAGTTTCTCTTTCTGATGTCCCAGTGAACACCTCAGAGCAATAGCAAGCCTCCACTATGCGCACTATGTCCGTGTCAGTCAGACCCGAATCCGAGTAGCTCGAGGTACGGCAGCGGCAAGGGTCTTGAGAACAGCTTCACGGAGGAGCGACTTAGTGAGCTCCGGGATGTGCGGCACCCGAGCACCCCGACCGATTCGACCGTCAGAGTAGTTTCCATGGGCCAGGCCGTTGGTCCTTTGTTACATGGCTAGCACGAGGTGTTCAATCTGTTCGATGAAGATGGCAGCGGTTCACTGGATGCAGAGGACGGGCCTTCCGAAGGCTACCTTGGAGTCTCTTCCGGATTGAGAATGCAGCTCCAGTCCCGAAGCCGCATGAAGCCGCCAAGTCGGGCTGATGTGGAGGAGTTGAACTTTGTGCTGCGCTCCGTGGGTTTGGCGCTCCAGCCTGAGAGCTGCACAGGAGGAGCATTCCCCCTGCCAAGCCCGCGCTCTCGAAATCGAGCCATGAATGTGAGTCATGGCTCAGTGTGCTCAGTGTGCTCAGCGTGCTCGATGTGCTCAGTGTCGGTTGCTCGGTTTGGATTGCAACTTGCATCTCAGGCCTTCCGCCAAGGAGCTCGAGAGGATGATCGACGAGGTCGATGCCGATGGGCCGATGCCTCAGAAGCGTTTTGGCGGCAGAGCTCACTTTGTCCTGCCATTCCCGATGCCAAGGTCCGGCATGATCGAGTGGCCGGAGTTCCTTTTCCTGATGTCCAAGAATGCCAGCAGCTCAGACACAAAGCGTCCTGCCCGTGTCAGTGCAACAGGCCAGGCTGATATTGCTCAGCTTATGGGTGCTCAGCACATGAGAGCTCAGCTGAGCGCTGCATTTCATGCCCAAATGGCAACACAACATACACACACACACACAACCAACACACGATCGAGAGCAAGTACCAAGTGTCCAGAGAATGCCCAAACGCAAAAGCCAAGATGTGGTGTGTGGTCTTGGGATCTTCAATCAACAAAGGATCATGTTTAGCAAGATATTGGTACATCTAAACTGTGTCGTATTTGTGTTGCATGTGTTCAAGCTGATATTTGGTCAACCGTTCAAGCCGTGTGCGGTAGCATTGCTTTCTAACAGTGGTGTCGATGTTGTATTTCTGGAGATTGGAGACACACAGTATTTGCTATCGTTCGGGACTCAGTTCGATAAGCTCCAGCCAACATTATGTTTCGAGGCAATGAACACAATGCTTAGCTCACATGTCAATGTTTTTCCTGGCAACTTTGTTTGCGATACTTTTCTTAGCAGTGTCTTCGATGAGCCCCGTTGAGAGGGATGCCAATTCACAATCCAAGTTTCATGTTCTCGACTTCTCAGGAACCTTCTGAGTTGACTGGGGTAGAACCTATGAAGAGTGGCGAACAGGTTTCAACGCAGAATGTTCGAGGAGTTGTTTGATGCTTCAAGCTTTGCCCTCCCAGACCAAACAACCACCTTAAAGTGTGGAATCGGATGACAGCCTGCAATGGAATAATTTTGAATACCTCCGCATAATCCCTATCACCGGGAGCACAAATGATTCTCATTGTTACATACTCAGCAAGTTCTTACGGCCACAAAGAATATCGACCGTGCTTACGTCATTTGCTCACCTCTTTTACAGGCAGCAGTGCTCTTTACAGGCAGCAATGCTGACACTGTCACATATGGTCAGTGCCAAAACACGATCCCAACGTTTTGTTCTATCCAAGAAGCATCAGCTGCAGCGGCTGGCGCTTTGGGGTCTTGCAGGTTGTGAAGCCAGATGAGCAGCTCAGATTTGCCTTCGAGTTCTTCGACAAGGACTTGGCAGATACTTCTACTGGTGCAGCTTCCCTTGGAACAGTTTGCGTGTTGTGGTTTTTGTGCACTGCCAGTTTGGCTTAAGGGGGTGTTTGGGAATTGAAGCAATCAAACAAGACCTGATGCCAGCATTTGTTTGGCTGAACGAGCTCCCACCCTTACCCTTGAAAACACAGGCTTCAAATGGCCCACTGTCACATATGTCTACAAGTGCTGTCGGGCTGAGTATCGATGTACCTCACCCACCCAGATCATCACAGAAGGAGGAGTGACTTGTAGTTCATTCCTCAGCCAGACACCTGTCCCCCATGGACGATGCTGCGGCCTACGACTGGCCGCAGCCCCTGCAGCCTCGTGAAGATGAGGAGTGCGGTGATCGCTTCATTCCGAACCGGTCTTCAGCAGACCTGGAAAGCCGGTTTGCCCTCTTGTCGGAGGACAGCCAACCGGTGCCTGGCCATGCCTAACAACTCGTGTTTTTTTTGTTTTTTTCTTTTTCCGCTTAGACGTTTTGCAAAGTCTTGCTTCAGAGCGGCTCGCGATGGTTCAGGTGAACACCGAGGTCACCCAAAACGAGAATAATTCAGCCTATCACCAGCTGTTGCGCAGCGAGCTGCTTGGCATTCGATCACCGAAGAGTGAGACTCTTGGCTGAGACGGACGCATGGATTCCTTCGCCATGCCTTGATGTTCTGCGCCACATGAGACCGCAGAGCATGTCAGTAGGCTGCCCCGAGCCAGTTGCATCGTATGGCAGAAGAGGGCACTGCCGTTTTTGTTTTGGTGCTTGTTTGTGACTTTGTTTGGCATTTGTGGCTCTGGCGTTTCTTTGCGCCTTTGGTTTTTTGTTAGCCAATCTGAACCCTAACATGACCCCACCCTAAAGCTGCGGTAACTGCCTAAACCAACGCCAAACTTATCTGTAGCCAACCCAATCCACCCAAGCTATCCATGGGGGGCAAAACATTCTGATACCTTGCCTGGCTCTCAAAGCCTGAACGTGGCATGGGGACGAGTTCCAAACCCCAGGGTTCCCTGTTGGATGGATCTGGGGTAGATTCAGGGTAGGTGTGGGCTTGGCGCTTGGGTGCTCATGGCGGCCGGTGGGGTGACTGCCAATATAGGTTCGGTTGAGGGAGCGTGTGGCAAAGCAGGGCTGAACGACATGTCGTATCCTCCCCTCTTGGGCGTCATGCATGTGGCAACCTGCCATTCAAGAGTTATGTCATGCCTAAAGTCACCTCTCCCAACTTTAGGCCCAAATCAAACAAAATTAAACCACACGCCTACCTTGCCTCATCTTTGCTCAACCCTTTCCCCCGTCCCTGGTCACCCGAGCCAGACACAGCCAGCCCGCAAAGAATTTTGAGCCAACTCTGAAATTGACATCGCTGCCCACACCTGCTCACACTTGCCCTACACCGACACCCACCCTACGCCTACCCTACACCTGCACTGACCTGAAATCTTCACGAGCCAAGACAAGCCCAACACCCACCCAAATCATTGGGGCTTGCGAGCAACCCATTTTTACCACAAACCTTCTTTAGTCCACCATAGACTTGGCGCCTGACCCACGTTTTGCTTGGCCAAGCGAGGGCCCCAATGTAGCTCGATCTGGACACCATCATTTTCAAGCCCAGGCCAGACGGTTCATTGCTTGCGGAGGCTCCGCTTCAACAAACTATGAACTGTAGAATACGTGCCGGGGCGTCTGAAAAGTGGGAACCGCCCAGGAAGGCCTTCCGGTCGCCGGACAGCAAGAGCCTCTTCAAGTTCAAGAGCTGCCCACAGACCAACCAGGAAGACGCCTTCTCCCTCTCGCCCGTCTCTTTCCAAAGCAGCCATTTGCTGAACACGCCTCGGAAGGCTCCACGCAAGATCGCGAAGGTGCCTTTCAAGGCGGGGTCGCCTAGATTGCCAGAAACAAGGAATAGTCTTCCCATCTCCGATGATTGAAATGCAAGGTCACCTGTCTCCCCAAGCTTCAAGACATCCTGCAGGTCCTGGATGCGCCTCAGCTTCAGGACGACTTCTACCTGAATCTGGTGGACTGGTCCCCGGCCAATGTTTTATCAGTTCCTCGGCCACAATAACGGCTCACGTTTAGAGGGCCGGGAATGGAAGCGACAAGAAAAAGAAGAGAACGACGAAACGACGGGGACGCGGGGGACGGGACCGGACTTGAGGTTGGCCTTTGCAACTGCGTCTACCTGTGGAGCGCTTCCACCAGCCGCGTCACCAAGCTGTGCGACCTCGGCCCGGACGACACCGTGACCTCGGTGTCTTGGACACAGCGAGGAGCACACCTGGCCGTGGGTACCAACAAGGGCGAGGCAGGGAGGATCGGAGCCTCCCTTCGGTTTTTTCCTTTAAACAAAAACACGGGCGTTGTCAAGTACAAGGCTGGCTCAGCCTTTCGGAGCCTGTCCAATCAGCTACTCGTAGGCAGTAGCATGAATCAGCCTGGAGTCCAGGTGTTCAAATGAGCTCTCAAATGGCCGCAAAGGTTACGCGTGGCAGCAAGGTTACTGCTGCTTTGCCCCTCAGGTTCAGATTTGGGATTCCACCCAGTGCCGAAAGCTGCGGACCATGAGTGGGCACCATGGACGTGTGGGCACCATGGCCTGGAACGGATATGTTCTGTCCACGGGCAGCCGGGATCACCACATCCTGCACCGCGACGTGCGGCAGCAAGCGCCGTACATGGCCAAGCTGCATGGGCACCGCCAGGAGGTCTGCGGCCTGAAGTGGTCCTTCGACGAGCAGCAGCTGGCCTCTGGCGGCAACGACAACAAGCTCTGCGTGTGGTCCCTGAAGTCCAACGAGCCCATTCTGAAATTCAACGAGCACCAGGCAGCCGTCAAGGCCATCGCGTGGTCCCCGCACCAGCATGGCCTTCTGGCATCCGGCGGTGGTACTGCAGACAGGTGGGAGATCCAAGGACATTTGTTAACGGAGGGAGCCATAGATCCCACGCCCCAACTTTCCGTGTGGTGTCAACCTTATGGAAATGCATTGGAATCCGTCTTGTGCAATTCTTTACGAGCCAGGCAGCTGCAAGTACTTGTTTGGCAATTCGACGCGACAAAGGCATGCCCATGGCGTTGCAGTAAGTTGCATGAAGTAAGGGCTACCTTTGCAACTTTCCAAGGCCCCAAGAGAGTATCCACACGTCAGGTGCATCCGATTCTGGAACACCGTCAACGGCATGCCTCTATCATCGCACGACACTGGCTCCCAGGTTTGCAACCTGGTTTGGTCCAAGAATCTCAATGAGATTGTGAGCACGCATGGCTACTCTCTGAACCAGATCATCCTGTGGAAATACCCGTCCATGACAAAGGTAACCACTTTGACTGGCCACACCTACAGAGTGCTATATTTGGCAATTTCGCCAGATGGGCAGACTGTTGTCACGGGTGCAGGTGACGAGACTCTTCGCTTTTGGAATGTCTTTCCAAGTGCAAAGTCCCGGTCAGGATCTGGTTTGTCATCATCCCTTCTGGGGCGCACCATCCGCTGAGAGGTTTGGATCTTTAATTCAGAAATCGATGCCTTCAGGACCGGGCCTCACAGGCTCTCCAAGTTTCACTGGCAAATCCGTCAAGAGACAAACTTGAGCTCTGCGGCTTCGCCTTTCGCAATTGACTTTCAATTCAGAAACACTTGAGCAAAGCATAGCAAAGCTATCCAAAACACAGGTAGATGGCGCATGCAAGGTATTTCATTACCATTTGGCACAGAAAGCCGCCTGTAGGGAAAGGAGGGGAAGATCCAGAAGCACGACTTCGTCTCGCCGGGGGCCAACTACTCGCGTGTGAGCGTCGCATCGAGCTGCACTGTGCGGTCTCCATGTCGGGGTTTTCGGTGTCGGCCGGTTCACCGGGGTCCACAAAGTCCACGAACAGGTTCACCCGTTGTCAACGAAGTCCTTAAAGCGCGACCCACGATCCTGAGGACGATGATGACGCTTTCGAAGGACTTTACCGCCGAGGAGGGTCCGTTGCTCGGGAGAGCTTCCAGTTTTCCTAAGTTTGGTCCTGATTCCTTGAGTGAAGAGGTCGAGAGGTGTCCTTATGGAGGCTGCTTGTTCCAGGCTCCCTTTGTACAAGGCAAATCTTGAGTAAAGAAAGGGAAGGCAGGGCCGAATGTCGATTTGCCGCACAAGGCCAGTCCTAAAACCATTGTTTTGCTTCATCCCGTGTTGTTTTGTAGTCTGCAGGGAAACTGCAAATGTGGCTGCTGGTGAACAGCTTGCAAAGGGAGCTGTTGGCCGTGCTGTTGGCTGATGCCAAAGCCTTAGGGCGTGCGAATTAATCCCCAAGACCAATCGTCGTTGAGCAAAAAGTGTGTATGGCATGACTGTCGGGAATCCGATTATGATTTTACAAGGGATGTGTGAGTTGCTGTCGCTTCCCCAAGCTACACGACGGCATTGTTGCAGTGTTTGGTTGGGAGGGCGATTGTAGGGCACTGGAGAGGGCTGATTCATTCAGAAGGCTGTGGTGCATGCCTGGCGCTGAACGCTTGAGGGATTACGATGTCTCAAAAATCTAGCTGCAACCAGTCAGCGGCCTTCCCGTGCTGGAGCGCATTGGGATTTGCTCAATGCTGGATACTTTGGAGGAGCTTGAGATGATGTTTGAGGAGGCCAAGTTTGAAGACGGCGACACCGAGCAACTCACATACAAGGTGCGAGGTGCGAGTAGAATGCACGCCCAGGTGCCTAAGCCAAGTTGTCAAGTTGTAGTCAGACTGGTTGCAGGGCTTGTCCTGACGACTTGGCTGTTGCAAATGAGCACCGCGTTTGCGGTTCTATCGGCCTGCACTCTGAATGCATTTCTTGAGCGGGTGTGATGTGAGGATTTGCTGTCCTTCATGCAAGAACTAGAGGCTTTCGACTTGACAGGAATTTGTCAAGATCATGATGCGATGAGAGGCTTAGCAGCCGGGCCTGGCGATGGGGTTATCACATGATTACACGCCCTTTGCTCAAGCAACATGAAACGCAAACTGGAATTCCACTGGACAGAGCTTACGTTCCGTTACACGTTTGCACCTGTTTCACTGCTGCATGCCAAAGGCATGACTAGCAGGTCTCACAAGTGCCAAGCTAATTGTCAATCTTGGCGGAAAAGCTGGTGCTTCAAGCAGCAGCTGGCAATCTTGTATGAGAACAAAGCAGACAAGTGAGGTTTAATGATGCCTGTGGAGGAGCAGCATTTGGGGTAAAACATCAAGCATTGCAAGCCTCGTGCCGAGAAGTGATGTGCATACTTGCAGCTGTGCTTGGCTCAGCTATTATTCACGCTCTCCCACGATCTTAGCCAATTGATTAGACTACTAGCGAATCAGAGGACTTCAAGTGAGCTGATTTGGCCTGCTCCATGTGGTTGTGAGTACTTGTTCGAATCCCGTCCGAAGGATCAAGCGAGCAGAAAAAACGAAGAACTATTCCGCCACGTGGCTGCACTAGACCTGATCACACGTCTGTCACACTGAAGGACTTGGGGTCACCTCGCACGCGTGCTCTTGACTCCGCAAGATCACCAGAATGCGCATGTTCATGAAGTTCATGAGGGGCTCTGGTTGCCGTAGAATGATGTGACCTGTCTCCAAACCGTCCATGCCGTGCCAGGCCAGTTCAGTGGAGACAACGTAGCCAATGAAGGCCGCAAGCCATGATATGCTGTGCTGCGTGTCTGAAGCGTGAATGAAGCGCCAAGATGTGTTCTTGCAAAGCACACTTGACTTGCACGCGGCTGCATTCCAGTGCCAGGATGGATGGGTCGCACGACTTTGCATGGTGCCTGGGCTTGTGCTGTAGCGCTTTGCTAGCGAAACGCACTGAAAGATGCTGAAAGACTTGTCTCATGCTTGCTTAGCTCTGACTCTCGCCAGGTCGCAGTGACCTGGCTTCTGTCCGCCGCGCAAGAGCAGGCGTGGGTGAGAGACTCTCAAAGTCAGCGCCTTTTGATTTTGACTTAACGGAATCAAAAGGACACCATGTCATGGCCTCCCATTTGTTGAGACAAACCGAGGTAGCACCCAACAATTCGGCACGAAGTGGTGTACTTCAAACACCTACTAGTACGTGTTTGTTCAAGTTTTCATAAATGCCTATTTGAGCTGCCACCAAAAGGGTCGGAGCAAGGGAGTGGAATAGGCCCCACAAAAGAAGGTGAGTCTTCAAAACAAAGACTTTGAATGTGAGCGGTCAGCTCAGCCAATAAATTGTTTGCATTCCTAGCATTTTAGGCTTTGAGTGCTGTGTTTCAGATCCGCGTCGGCAATGTCGGCGTTTACGATTTGGGAGGAGGTTCGGCACGAGAGCTGTTGCATCCTTTTCCAATGGCATGAGAACAACTGTCGCGCATCAGGCTCACGAACGACCAAACGGCCTCAAAAGCGAAGGCGAGTCTTTACAACGCAGGCTTCAGACATATTCCGGTTCGCGCATAAGGGTGTTGGCGGCAGCTCATTTCCTGTGGGCGAAAGAAACATTAGGTACCAACATGTAGGATGTTGCAAAATGGTCCGACACGGTATTTCAGCTTTCTGGCGTGCTGGCAATATATGGACTCTTGGTCATGTACACGACGACCTACGATTTGTTGCGCAATTGGAACACCAAGAAGGAGTTCACTGCTGTGAAGCTCATGGTGGCGCTTGGCATCTTACAGGGAAGCTCTTTGCCGTCCTTGTCCCCCTCTTTCCGGGAGAAGCTGGGTGGACCCAGCACACCCAAAGGGCCTGGATGACCTTCGTGACGTTGCTTGCGACTGTACCGATGGCTTGGCTCGTGACAGCGGCGCTCCTACATATCCGAATTGGGGTATGTTCCCTGGACAGCCCCTCAAGCACAACCTGCATCACCCACCCATTATAAGCACTGGGCACTTCTGAAAGAAACCATAAGCCCACCTGTCCCCGTGACCAGACGTTTAATAAATGGGCGGCAGTCAAAGCCTAGCTCTTTGGGGGTGCATGCCAAGGAATGTGGTCCTCGCTTGCTGCAAATCCGTATGGCTGCGTGTGCATTGACCTGGCTCTTTTTGCCAGGATGACGCCTCTTCGCTTTTGGCCGTGGTTCTGCAGAATCGTTCCAAGGCGCGTGGTGATCAGACCGCAAGGAGAAAACTTTTCGCTTGCCAGGTCATGAAAGCCACCCAGGCCAACGCAGCGCGTGAATCAATCACCGGCAAAGAAGCCGACATCTTTCCTCGTGTGCGCATCGTTTTGACGTGTAGGAGAAGCCTGGCCTCATTTTGGTGAAGCTTACCAGGCATGGGTTGTGTTGACTAAGCCTTACTTATGTCGGAAAAGCGATGCCTTGTGGAGAAGTTGCTTGGAATGCGAGCATCTGATGGGATATCCTTGCATCTCGACTCGTGGCAGGAAGTTTGGGCAGCCTCAAGGCACAGCAGGCACGCACTTGCGAAGGGACAGCTAGCATCTTAAAGCCACAGCACAAGTGCAAGCATATTTATATATTCATAGATTCAGAGGGCTCAGACTCTGCGGTTTGCCAGCATGGATGTTTGGCAAGGCGCTTGGCGGAGCTCTGCCTATGCTGCTGCCCCGGAAAGATCAATGCATTGATCCTACGCCGACCTATGGGCAGTGCCTCACTGGACTCATCCGCCGCAAGAGCGCTCCTTAATCAGTGGCAATGTGTGCCACACTGTGAGGTTGGAGATTTGCTCATAGGCAGCCCGCAAATGCAGCAGCTCCAAGTGAGCTTCGACACAGCCTCTGGTCAGGCAGGAGCCTCAGGAGACTGCCGACACGACATCCGAAGAGTTGTGCTGCTGCTTCCAGTTCCGAGTGAAAGTCACAGGGAGGTTTCTTTTGTTTTCTTCTCTCTGTCCACAGCGGCCCTTTTGCTTAAGGTGATCCTTCCTTCCAGCAGGTGCCACAGCGCCGGCCCCATGGCAGCGCCTTGTAGGGCTGGTTGCTGTGAGGGAGTTGGGCACGGGTGAGGCGCAGCCTGCAAGGAGTTGGGCGCCCGAGAGCTTTGTCCTGGGTCAAGAGGGTCATCAGGGCCAAGAGTCTCAAGAGTCTCAAGAGTCTCGCGAATCTCGGGAATTTCAAGAGGCCAAAGAGGCCTGAGAGGCGTTTGGCTGGGTCAGGCACCGCCGCTTTGCTCCCGGGGCCTCTGCCAGCGCCCGGGAGATCAATGCCGACGGCAGCGAGGCCAATCGGATCCAACGGGGCGACTGGACCAAGTGGGCGGATCAAGTGGGAAGCCAGGTGCGATTGCAGCCAGGGGCCCTGTCACGAGCTCAGAACCGATTTCAACGATTTTCAACGGAGATAGAGTCGGATAGAGTCGAATAATTAGAGGGTCGCAGCGCATGGCGTAGGGCCGGTGCTCCAGGTCTATCAAGCGAGATGCCATCACAGTTGGAGCTGGAAGCTGAGCAGCCACCAGCCCGCAGCGCTGAGAGAGATCTTTCGACCGCGTCAAGCAGACCATGGGCTTCCCACGAGGGCTCAAACAATGCAAAGGCTTTGAATGGCAGGTCTCCAGCATCGACCACGGCTCTGGGCACGCCTACGGGGATCTCATCATGGATCAGGTCTGCACGTTGCTTAGCCGAGAGAGCGCGAGAGCGGCTCAGATCGATGGCGGGTCTGAGACCGTCTCAGGCCTGGGAGGGGTGGCGCCGCAGCAGTGTGCAGATCTGGGCCTCGTGGCTGTGGCCTGGCGAATGGCCGACCGACCCCCTTAACATTGGCTACATGTTCGACATGTCATTTGCTTGGGATGCAGATAGGTTACTAGAGTATCTGCACATCCTGTGGAGATTCTTCTTGCAATGACTGAGAAGATGGCAGTCCTTCGCTGAGCAATTGCCGCATGTTATGGAGGAATGTGAAAAGTAAACACTAGGGCCCTTTTTGAGACTCTGGTGTCATTTGTGTCGACTTCGTGAAAACGATCAGAGTTTGCCTCCTGATGATGTGCAGGCTAATGCAGGAAGGTGTTGCAAACAGGAAGTCGCGGTGGTCTGACCGGACTGCTCGATTTGTTCACGCAGGGTTGACTCTGTCGTTGCTTGTTGCTGCTTGTGATTCTCAGCGCCACAGAAACGAGCTTGTCCATCCGAGGTTACCAACATGAGTGATGTGCCCTTCAGGGCTATGGTGCAAGATGGCATCGTGGGTGCTGGCCTTACAGCGTTGGGCCCAAAGCCCAAACGGGTTCTTCGGGAGTGCACGGAGACTTCAATCATTTCAATCCACCGAGGCCTGGGAATGGAGCAGCTGGCGGCCAACCCGACCTTCCACACTTTGAGCCGCCCTAGCCTCCGTTCGATGCAAGCCCTCTCCCCCTCTCCCCCTCTCCCCAATGTGTCCTGAATTGAAGTGGCTATGGACGGATTGCTAAGCATGCTAAGCATGCTAAGTAGCTTGTAGATCTTGTAGTTACAGAGACAACAAAGGGAACTCTCGAATCTATGACTTGCGTGCGGGCCTTGTTTAGCTTAAACAGTCAGGTCTTGTCCTTATGATATTGCACTCTCGCTTTTGACCTTTGCCTCATTACGTTTGTCGTGCATTGGTGACATGAGCACATGCTGGACAGCGTGCACCCAGCAATGGGTTTGGAGTATGTGTTGTCAATGCGCGCAAGGGCATTGCAGCGTGGACACACAAGTTTTGTTGGCAGCATTTGCCCAGGTGTGGACCCTGCCAAGGCCAACCTGTCCAAATCCTTCAGCTTCTATTTAGGTGTGTGGGCGCCCAGCTTGACATGGAAGAAGCAAGGTTCAGACAAACAGGAAAGCAGAACCGGTGCTCAGGCCGAACATGGTGAACTGGCCCTGGGTGGCTTGAACCCAGGCAGACTCTCAGGCAGCCTGAAGCCTTCGCTGAGCTTGCGATTTGCAAACGGACGAGTCGTAAGGGCTCCTCGTTGGGCACTTGCAGGTGCATTGAACTGGGTCCCAGTTCTTCGACCCGAGGACTCCATGTCAAGCTCTGAACCTTTCGAGGAACTTGCAAACTTGCGAGATGTGTCACTGCAACTTGCTTCGCCATTGCCAGGAGGGCTACTGGCAATTCTCGATTCGTTCCTTGCGCGTTGGGAATCGGACGCTGGCTTGCTGCCGCCTCAGGATTTCTTGCAAAGGCCAAGGTTGGCACCCGGCGGTCATACCACAGTATGACAGAGCGCATCGAGCGTCAATGGGGGCATGATTCTACCGCAGGCTCCGCGAATGCGACAGCGCCTTGCCGTGGAATCTTGGACACTTCTGCGGCAGCCTTACTTGTTTTGCGTTATAATTATAATTGACATTGGCTTTGCTGGTGCTGGGTCGCTCGACTCTCAGGCTGCTGGTGTCGGACTTCCGCCAGCAGTGCACAGTTCTTTGATGGCGGTCCTGTCACAGGCGTTTGCGATGCAACCAGTGCCGATGCTTCGCCGTGCATGTCACTGCTGACACCAGGCGCCATGCGCAGGGCCAGGAGTATCCCTTGAAGTGGAGTCTGTTTGCCACTGAGATGGCCACTGCCAGGCTGAGTAGCCATGTCAACCAAGGACTGGAGCGGGTAGACTTGTGAGATTTGCTAAGGCAAGAGGCAGCGTGGAACTTCAACTGGATGCACAGGCAGTCGCTTCATTGCTTTGTGCGTCGTGAATTGGGCTCGACAATTAATTGTTCCGGCCTCATCACTTCGCTTGCCTTTTTTTTCACAAATCCAGATCGTCAACACGCCCCAAAAGACTTGCATTGGATTGCATCACAGGACTATCGCCAGAATTGTGAGGCCATGCAGAGCTCTCAGCACAGCAACACCACGCTATCACACGGTATAATGTTTCACAGATGTTCATGGTGTTGTGGCCAACGCGTTGGTAAGGGGTAATTGAGCTACAGATGCGGACATGCCATTGCCGGCCTAGGTTCATTCCAACTGAACTACCAGAGGCAGGATCTGAGATGCAATCCATGGGGGCGGTCCTTTGCAAGGATCAGACAGGTTGGCATGTTCAGTTCAGCCTGCAGGCCTTTCAGGATGTTCTCATTCTTGGCCAGCTGGTGACTCAATTTCCGGCACTCGAATATGAACTGTGACTTTTCAGCAAGCCAACCAATTGCCATCTCTCAGGCCCCTACTGCGCAAGTACTACACTTCCTTCGACTGGGAGACGAGGCCGTCTGGTGGACCGTCGGTGCTGGCAAAGCTCGTTTTTTGGGCCAGGCGTCTTGGCTTTGGCCTGGCATCTCACGCCCAGGACCCACTGCCTGTGTTGGCCCACGTCAGCTGGAAAAACCTAGCCATGGGTAAGTATGTTTTCACCTGTTGGAACGCAGGCACACAGGATATGTTGAGAAGCAGCACCAATTTGTAGTTTAGCATAATGGGCGGCTGGAAATCGCAATCATCCACATGTGCAGCGTGTATGCTTTGCAGGATGCCGGTGGATCATCCATTGAGGCTCTGGATGCCCAGACATTGGCTTGCCATGCTTTGATTGACATTGGCAGCCATGCACGCATGCCAACCTGGCACTGAGCACAGGCCAGCTACCCCGTCGCAGTGCTCAACACCCGGCAGGCAGAGGCGTGCAACTTGCGGATGATCAAAAGACGTTATGCAAGCCGGTAGTTAGGAGACCAGCAGAGACACGAATACTTCCTCATTTCGGTAGGCCCTCTTCACAGACAAAGCGGGTCAATGCAAAGGCTGCCATGCCAAATAGGAGCTGGCCCTTTCAGGCAACGAGGCGTACCATTGAAGGGGTGTGTGTGTGATGAATGCTTTGCCTTTTTTCTCCCCTTGTTGGCTGCTGAGAACAGCCCAAGATCATTACTACTGCTGCATCAAGTGGCAGAGGCTGATAACCAGCCTTATTCAAACACAGGTGGAATCGTGGGAGGCCAACAATATGCACGACAGTGTGTTGTTCAATCAACGAACAAAACAAGCCTTGCAGTGCTTAAGGTGTTGATCATGCCATGTGACCTGGGAGATGTGTGCGCGATTCTTTTGGCGCCTGGAAGGAACTTGAAGCTCAGATCGGCAAAGAACACTGGCGAGCTGATTCCCTGGCTGCAGTCGATTCAAATGTCCAGTACAATGGTTTCCACGTTTTGTGGCGTGTTGCAGCTGTAAGCACGAAGGCCCGTGCTTCTCGCTTAGCAGAGGCAGGTGCTCAGAATTGCTGGGCTTCGCACAGTGCCTGCCCGAGGCCAACATGCTGGCCGTCGTGCTGCTGCAGGTGCTCATTCTGCAGGCCCAAGCTGGTGGGCATGCAGCAGACTTCACCGTGCTGACCCTCAGGTTTTGGTGATCTTGATCTTTTTGGTCTTTAGTCGCCAGGATCTGGGGGAAGTCTTTGGGACACAGTGTGTCTGGTTTTCCGCAGTGCAAGCAGATCTCAAGCAGCTGTTGCCACAGGATCTTTTGAATGGACGGCTTCCTCTTGTATGGCTGAGAGCTGGATTGCAGCGATGTCAGAAGCTGAGAATCTTGAGGGTGTCCTGAACGTTTGGCTATCGGAAAGTGATCGCCCAGGGTTTGGTCTCAAGATCCCGGGCAAGGCAGGAGGCTAAGAGAGCGGACTTTAAATTTCAGCCGACTGGAAAGGGGCGTTGCAACTCGTCCCTTGGGAGCCCAGTACGCGGAAACCCACTGCAGAGACTCATGGCACGGCACATGGTGTCCGTTTCAATCTATTAATGAAAACCTACAACGCCATCGATGGACATTCTTTTTTGATACTGGACATAGCTGTGCTTTCAACACCGGGAAACATGCATCACCGATAAAAGATACCCCCCCAAAGCCTAACAATTGTGATCCATGTCCGGAATGATGGAAGATCAATGTTCCAGAAACCTGCAGAAGCGCAGACCAGCAGGTGAGAAACACGGACTTGACGTGATCGAGAAGATGCATCATTGTGCCAAAGTGTGCCAATCCACCAGATGCCCCAACCGATATCCGACCGATAGGGCGACCAATGTCTCATTTGGTAACTGAGATTTGGGTGTCTCGTGTATTGAAGAGTTGCGATCTTAAAGCAGGATATGCTAGCATGTACTTCCTGCGACTTGTACTGACAAGTTGTCATTTTCGAGCTGGAGCTGCCATGAAAACAAGAATACACGACACTGCTTTCGGAGCAACAATTTCCGCCTCTTGGTAAACACATCCTTGTGCGGTTGATGCGTTCCGCGCAATACTGAGAACCGATCTGAGACCCCCCCCAAAGTATGATGTCCTTTTCTCAGTATATTTTGTCTGACTTTGCATCGAGGCCTGGCTGCTGGCGATGCAGTCTTTGCCTTTGGATGAGGCACCAGAGGCCTCTTGCTGAGGTTTGCAGTTCATGGAGTAGAGTTGCTCGATAGCTTTGAGGTGAGTTGAACCTGTTTTGATTTGCTTGTGTTTCTCGATGGGAATGGCTGCCCAACATTCAATTTCTGAGGCGTCCGAATGCGTGGTGTGTCTGGGGGTACGCGAAGAGGACCTGCGGTAGGCACTCTGCATTGGAGTGGCACAGATTTGATGCGAGGAGATGCAGCCTGGCAGCCGTCCATGCTGGTGCTTGCACTCGGAACATGAGATGATTTGTTCAGGGGATCTTCCCGATACCCCCTTCACAAGCCTTCAAGGGCCAAAGGGCCTTTTTGCACCAGGCCTGCCAATAATGTTTTGGGTACCTGCCTGGAGTTACCTGATGTTGTGAACTTGTAGCCGAAGCGTGCGCAGAGCAAGCTGCTCTCAAATGTGACAGGTGCAAGCTGCGCTGTGGGCATGTCTTCCACCAGGAGACAGTTGGGTAGGGATTTAGAGTCAGAAGGGCTCCAGCATTCCGCGCAGGATTGCATCGGAGAGTGGCTGGTCAAGGTGGGGCAATATTTGTGGCAAGCGCATGCATGGCTAAGGCTGCAATTGCAGAGGGATGCATGCTGCGCTGGATGCACTTGGGTAAGAGATAGATGGAATGGCTACTACTTTTTGAGCATTGGATTGGTGCAAGCATGGCGCAAGGAATGATCAAGGAAGAAGCATCACAAATCAGTAAAGGAGGGGTATTCCTTTTAGACGCGCGAACCTGCAGCCCTTAAGGGTTGCAAGTATGCGCGCGCAAACCTGCAGCCCTTAAGGGTTGCAAGTACTGCAGCCCTTAAGGGTTGCAAGTATGCGCGCGCAAACTTGCAGCCCTCGAGGGTTGCAAGTATGCGCGCGCAAACCTGCTTCCCTCAAGGGTTGCAAGTATGCGCGCGCAAACCTGCAGCCCTCAAGGGTTGCATATGCGCGCGCGCGGCATTTAAGTGCTAATAAACAATACGAGCAGAGTAGCATCCGCCCATATTGTCCTGGCGTTTCTGTTTCGTACTAATATCCAAGAGTTCTTCTCCAGTATGTTCGAGGGACGTATTCAGGCCGATTCTTAACTCCAACCAGGCTTTGCTCTGGGGGCTCCGGAGCCCTTCAAGGCAAGACTGCAATTCATAAACACGTGCCTTAGGACGCATCACGCGTTCGAAGACAGAAATCCTTATGCATTCGTGAAAGAGAAACAGCTTAAAGCACAACCCTCAGAATGAAAGGGCTTTTGAAACAGAAGACAGCCAGAGAGAGACCTTTCTTTGTGCGTCAGCCCCAGTTTTGAGGGCGGGCTCCCAACTGCGCATCTTTGGCTGTACATAGGGGACTTTGGACACATCATGAATGCTACTAGTAGGACAAAATCGCTCCGCCAAAGAAAGTTTGTTCTCGGCAAACAAAGTCGTTCACTGCAGCTTCATGCCAGTGTGATGGTAGTTTCACAGTGCCCCAGCTTCTCGTAAGATTCCCTGGCGAAGCTGTTCCACTGTCTGAGACAGTTTGTTTTGCTTGCAATTCGAACCATGGGACCTCATGTCAGGAGCCTCGAGTTGCAGAAAAAGGCCGTTCACGCCAAAGAAGGTCGGTCAATGCAAAGCAAAGGTTGACTGAACCATCCTTTGTTTTAACGGACGATTCGGACGAATTCTTCGCTCTCTTGCAACCAGCAAACCTGACAACAGAATTGGCTCTCCATCGCCAGTCAAACAAGGTAAAGGCGACGCTAGTGACAGGGAGGTATGAAATGTTTCAGCTGTAGCATGTTTTAGAGGCGCTTTCGCGATCAGAAGAAAGACCAACTTGGTGGCAGAACTCTGAATCTTCGCTTACCATGTCCGGCTTCTCTCGCCCCAGATGAGTAAGAAACAAGACCCATGGTGCTGCGCGATCGCCAACTCGGCTCTCTTTCGCGAATGCATAAGCGAGTCTTTGAGAGTGGGAGGCTACATGAGCGCGAGTTGCAACAGGCAAAAATGAGACGTTACAGATGGCCACAAGAAAGGTGACCTGGACCCCCAAACGAGCACAAAGTTCCGCTCGAGGGAAAAAGTGCCCTTAGGCAAAATGCGCCCGAGGCCAAATAAGTGCTCGAGTGAGCGCCCTTGCTTGCGCATCATTGCATGTTGGAGGCGCCAAACCTCACACAACCCCATCAAGCCAATATGTCACATGTGTGCACAGTGGACAGCGCGTCTTCAAATTCGAGCACCTGGATATCTTTGCGCGCTTTTGGCCGCGGGACAACGGACCCGCTGACACTTTTTGGAATTGCGCTCGGTTGCGGAAAATTGCGCTCGAGTTGCGGGAAATTGCGCTTGAGGTTGCGGGTTGCAATCTGCCCCCAAAATGCCAAACCGCGTCTAACATGTGCAGGTTTGTCAGGCTTCCACTAAACACGCATTTGTTGCCCGAACACGCTCCAAAGCATCTAAATCCCATGGAGCTGATTTCTGCTCGATTTTTTCGTCTTTTTCCTAAAAAGTGCTCGACTACGGAAAAAACTGCGTGTATGAGCAAAACCTGCTCGAAAGAAGGGTTTGCCACAAATTTGTGCTCGTCTGGGGGTCCAGGGATATCTTTTTCGCGCTGGCTAAAACGCCCTCCTTGCTTAAGCGCAACCAAGAAGCGGAAGCTTTATGCTGCAGAAACACGACAACTGAGCGAAAGAAACGAGAATCTTTCCACACATGCGTAGAGTACGGCAATAGGGCTGCTGGGTGACCACCGAGAATGTGGTTTACCGGCTGTGATGAACGGTACAGCTCGCTCACAGACCCAATCAATTCCCCCTGGGAGGTGCAGAGCTGCCCCGTTTGCCGCAGCCACATCTTCAAGAGGCGCGCGTTTCACGCGGCTTTTGAGGTGTGAAACTGAAATGCGCAGGGAAGAGAAAGCCAGTCCCTGACCGGATCTGATCTGATTTCAGAGGCGACGTTCGGCTCTTTCTCGAAAGGGCCCATCGGAAGGCATCCTGTACAAATCGCAAGGCCTGAAAGAAGGCCTCGTGCCCAACCGCCTCTAATTGTACAAAGACGTACTTCACGTGCAAAAGACTCTGTGCACACGCGCGTCCGTTTGTGCGACATGTGGCGCGTGTGTGCGTGCGTGCGTGCGAGCGTGCGAGGGTGGGTGGGCGGGTGGGCGCGTGCGTGCGTGCGAGCGTGCGAGGGTGGGTGGGCGGGTGGGCGCGTGTGTGTGTGTGTGTGCGGAGTGACAGAATGCCCTGTCACCACTCTTTCGGTTTTCCAGCAGGGGGCTTGAGGCTTCTCATCAGGACTCAGGCCAACGAAGACGCCTGATGAGAAGTGTGATGCAATCCGGGACGCTGGATTGTGTACCTGCATCGGTTGTGCAATGTCCTTTTGGCCCGTTGTTTCTCTCGCTGTGTGTGCTTCATGTTGAACCCTGTAACGGTTTCGCATCTAGACGGAAACCACGTGACGACAAGCCGAACCTTCACTTACTCGAGACTCATCAGTTGTACTCGAGACTCATCAGTTGTACTCGAAACTCATCAGTTGTACTCGAAAGATTAGCACTCTCCATCTGGAGTTCAAGTGTGTTCACCCCATTCGTGGGGAATCCTCGGGTGTACCCATTGTGTGACCCCGGGCCGGCTCTGTCGGAAAATTTGACCTCAACGTTCTTATCATAGAACAGCGGAATTTCACATTTAACCAGGAACGAGGTTTCACTAAAGGGAAGACAGCCGTCAGATCATAGAGACGTCTCACTAGGGCTGCTGATGGCTGCTGACTTGAACTTGCATTGACTTGTATTTTGTCGGACTCGTTCCTCTCAAGATTGTGGAGTTGCGGTTTTGCGTTTGTTGCGCCATCATGTCTCGACGTGATGATCGTAACAGATCTAGGACTCGGCGCAGACGTGATCGGAGTCCTTCCCCTCAAGCTCGCAAAGCACGCCGACGTGAACACAATGACAACCAGGTCTCGGAGGGCATGGATTGGAACAACCTGGTATCTTGGCAACACAATTCCGGCTACAACTCTGCCAACAATTTCCCGATGATGCCCACCAATTTTCAATCGACTCACAGCCCCACACAGCAATTCCAACACCCAGCGATCAACTACATGATGCCGATCCCTCCAGACCCCACGCCAACGAAGTTCATGCCACCCGTGATGCCACCACCGGTCACTACTCCCCAACCTACACCGCCACCTGGACCTCCTGCGGCTCTACCGGTTCGCCCTCAGAAAGCCTGGCTTACACCTTCGCCTGACTGGACACCTGGAGATGGCATGTTTGATGTCAATCAGCTCTACAACTTTAGCCTGCCCATGACCGTTGCCAACACTCCGCATGGCAACCTGCGCGACATGTCAGGCATGGATATTCGTGACGTTCGCCTGGTTCAGGTTATCCATGGGGGCCTCACCAACTGGCTACTCCGACCGTTCGCTCACGGCAGATTCGTGACGTGGGAAGGCTTTCGCACTCGCACCGAGGCCTTACTTTGGAGTACCTGTTCCAAACTACTACGACGATCACAGTCGCTCAACCTGCTCACCCTGGAAAAGGACCTTGCCAACTCGCTGGGTCTCAACATCGATGACTTCAATCAGCGGATCAAGGTTCATGACCATTTGGCCAGCTTGGTACTTCAATTTCTTCAGCAACATCACACCTCTCTCACACCTTCCACCCAGACAGATGACATGGTCAAGAAGTACAATGATCTAAATCGTGCGCACGAACTGCTCCAAGCTCAGTATTCCGCATCGCTGCGCGCTTCGACCTCTCCCACGATGGCAAGCCAAAAAGATGATGCAGAGTTGGTTACACCGCCACCGGTCAACCACACACCATCCTCGTCACCTGCCAGCTCCCTTCCTACAGCCAGCGCAGCGGCCCTTGATGGCAAGTCGTTTGATAGCGCGGTGCAACCTCGGATCATTCAGTCTCTTCACGGAGTGTCGTCAGGCGTCACAATTGCTCACCATGCACAGCACGCCGGATGAAGTTGTCAAGTACTACACATGGACCAGTGACCAGCCTCGCCTTTATCTCAAGCAATCGCCCACAACCACGACTTTGGCGTCACTGGTCAAGTGGGCCAATCACCCGTCCCGGCTCAACGGCAACAAGTCATTAGATTCCATGGCGACGCAGCTCCTTCAAGCGCGTCAACGCATGCCGAAAGGCGACGCACCTACTCTCGGGGTGATGGCGGCTTCGTGGGGACTGGAGCCCGGCTATCTTACCAAGCTCACTGAGAAGGCATTGAGTCACCTCATCGTGACCGCTCGCCTACTCAGCGGATGATCAGGCATCTTAACGACCTTCGTTCTCTTATGAGCCCGGAGCGGCAACCATGTCACGGATGAGTCAAGGTGAAAACTCGTCCGTCATCTTTCTGCGTTGCACCAGTTTGATCTTGTGCTTCATCGTTCTTGCATTGCCTTGTGTGTGTGATTGTCTGTGCAGCTTGTGTCCATGTCGCCGCCTTATGGTAGATTTCATTGGTTGCATTTTCACCATGTTGGATGAGCTTCGCCGCTGTGGAATCTATGATGATGTTGCACAATGGCAGTCTCTGGACAACTTTTTACACTCGTTGACCATGTTCTCTACGTGCTGGCAATACTGCTTCCCTGGACTACCACCACCGTCGATACCAGCTGATGAGTACGAATCAATCACACAACTACCGTGGTTGGGCCTCATTCTCGAAGTCTTAGTTGTGGTCCGGATTGCCCTTCAGATTCCGAATCACGCTATGTCACACTCTCAACACACTGTGGCCAACAGGTATGAGATTCATAGATGTCGGTGCACTGCCTATTTATTGATCAGTTTCTTACAACGTCTCATTTCCCAAGATCATGGCTACTTTCCGCCGTTCTTTGAAGTCCTTCACTTCTACAAGGCTTCTCTCTTGTGTGAAATCATGCACTCCACTTTTGCTGACACGCGACATCTTCGCTCATTGCGGGCACGATTTCCGGACCTCTATGACTTCATTCACGATCCAGGTCATCATCAACAACCGTGCGTCTACATCCGACTTTCCCCATGGCACACACCCTACTACGTTGGTGCGACTGATCAGGATGTTCTACGACGTGAACACTCACGCAGTCGCAAATTTCTACAACTACTTCGTGGACGTCATGCCTTCTTCGAACCCGCGCTTCACTACTGGAAGCGATCCAATACTTACTGGCTCTTCTGTGCTGTTCCGGTTGAGATCAAACTTCCCGTTTCCTCGGTTTGGGTCCAAGAAAGTAAATGGCAATACTTGCTACGCCCGCATTTGAATGCACCCTGGGTACACAGACTTTTGCGAAAGGTGGGCTTCCGGGAACACCTCGTTGATTTTCGACGTCACTCGTTGTCGTCTCCCACTTCCCTCAGCTTGCACAAACGCTTTCGACGACGACTACATCCGGATCTCCAACGGCAACTACGACCCGACATGCTGGATGACATTCAGGCCCATTACTCTATTCTCTATCAGCTGGGATCCAATACAGGAGCATCGTTCCAAGCCATGCGTGACCTACTGTCGGCAGCTTTCCCTCCTACTCAGCTGTACTACTTTCTGCGGCTCTCCGTCTTTGTCAACGAGCCCTTCCGCTCCAAGGCGCAGAAACTCCTCGCCCAGGTGTTGCGCAAACGACGGCTACAACCACCCACCACTTTGACACAACTACTCCTACCGCCTCTACATGTCCGGAATTGGAAAGCTCTACTTGGCACATGGCTACAAAGCTGGATTGCTTCTCATCGGGATTTGTTCCCTTCTCTTTTCCTTCCAAAGATCCGGGTGGTGGAAACTCGCAGTGCCACGTTGGGCGACAAGATCTACAACTACCGCACATGGCAGCGCAGATGGACTCCTGAAACATCCTTTCCGTGTCGCTGTTTGGACATCGATGATCACCATATACACCGAGCACATGGTCATGCTGTAATGGTTGATGAGTTTTCTCGCATCAATGCGGACATTGACATGGAAATCATGGCCGCATCAATGAAGGATCAGTATTTCGGTGATGTCGACTTATTACATCAACGTTTCACCACGCAACTTCGCAAACTTGCTCGTCGCTGGCATGTGCATGGTTCCAGTCTTCTTGCAGATCTGCAGCCGGTTTTGACTCAGTTAATGGACACTCATCGAGCTAACCTTCAAGATCGTGCTTATTGGTCATCGACATCGTTGCAGCGCACCGTGGCTTCTCTGTCATCGTGGGTTGTTATCCCTGCGGATCATTTTCCCTCCCGCGCACATGTGATTTGTCCGTCCCTGTTTGCCATACTGATGCGGAAGACCTTTTGCTCGGGAGATGTCTTCTCGCTTTGCCGTGAATCCGCAGCATCTTTTCGCTCTGAAGTGGTAACTACGGTACCTTCTCTCCTACGTCAACGATATGCATGGGGACTTCGACTTCAAGCACCGTTGCCCACAGCACGCATCCTTCCAAAGCCGACCAAGGACTGGCAGAAAGCACGACCCATCATTTCATTCTTTCGCACGTGGGCAGCTCCCTTCCTCACGGTCTTCGGCGCACTCATATTTGAACTTACCAAAGCTACTTTTCCCGACATTGCAGGTCAACTTTCAGTACAAGAACTTGTCCAGCAGCTGTGGGAATCGCTGTCAAAGGCAGATCCCGATGAATACATCCACCTGGTGTCGCAAGACCTGTCAGGCTTCTTCACGTCCATTCCTACGGAACGATTCCACCAGGCGCTGCAAGTGCTTCTTCATCGGTACGATCAAGTTGTTGGCCTTCGCAGATCCTCTCAATGGTCAGTGTTCGAAGTAAAGTCGGATCATCGACGCCGTATGTTCAAAGGAAAATGG